TTGATGGGGATTTATATAATCACAGCCGATAGCCGCCTAAATGACTATACCCTCCGGAAATCAAACGTGACAATTGAAAGTTCCCCATGAATAGCTGATTGCAGTGAAAAACATCATGTTAAAAAAAATACATTGCCAATCTTAGATACCTTTCACAAAAATAAATTCTTTGCTGGTTAGTAGATATTCCCATTAATACCAATAGACTAAAGGATTAAAGTATCCATGTAAGATTGAGAAAGAACAAGGGTTAATCAACTAGAAATGAACCATGGCTAGCGCACACGCTTAAGTTACCGATGGCTCAAGAAATTGGCATTTATATCACAGACAATATTCGTTGTATATCTATATCTGCCATGGTTGTATCATATCCCATTTAAACATATGGGGTAATATGGAGGGTTCCTAAAATATGGGATCCCCAAGTCACCATAGGTTTCAATACTAATACTAATTATATTGTCATACATTATAAATTGTCTATGTTTGGATGATTTGGATTGATTTGGGGGATCTGAAAACCTTCTTAAACCTCCTAAAATGGTCGAATTTGGATGACTTGGGGGATACCTCCATTTTCGGACACCTTCATATTTACACTCTGGTAATTTAACATAGCTATTGAAAATGGCAAGTTATATATAGTTGATTTACCCATTGATAGCATGGTGATTTTCCCGTTCGTTATGTGAACGTTTACCAGAGGGTAACCCCATATATTCCCATGATTTCCCCATAAAACCATATAAAACCATGTAAAACCTCCATTTCTAGTGGATATGTCCTATAAAACCCCATTACTATTGCTTGGATGGGACAACTTTTCCCGCTGACCCGGTTTGATAAATGGCCCCAGAAAAAATCGGCGGAAGCCATGTCACCGTCCAGGTAGATGATCTGTCCCTGACGACCCACCTGACGACCCACCGCGTGGCCAACGGTCAAAAACAATTCTAATGGGTTTATATGAAAATCCAATGGGAAGATGATGAACATCTAATGGGGAGATGATGGGAATCTAATGGGAAGATGATGGGAATTGGATGGGAATATGATGAAATATCATTGGAATACGATGGGAATCTGATGGAAGTGCGATGGGAATAATCGGAATATCATGGGATATAAAATAAACAACGACAAACTTAATCATATCCCTGCAGTCATGCCAGGATACTTCCGTGTTTATGACATGCTGAGAAATATCCTCCAGATGTTTCGCCCTGTCATATTTCTAACATACGGAGGTTTCCTAAAAGGGTGTACCCCAAGTCAGCATAGCTTTCAATACTAGTCACATGGTCTAATTTGTTGTTACTTTTCCATATATTCGGAATGTCATCATCCCAACTGACTGATATTTTTCAGAGGGGTAGGTATACCACCAACCAGTATGTATATATATATATATTACTATGTGATTGCTATAAAGGGTGTATCCCCAATTTTATAGCTACTTGTTAGCGTCCATTCGGCCCCAGCGTGGCCGACTCAGGCTCCCCACATTGTATGCCTCACGGCCAAAAAAAGTGGAAGGCAACACAGTGACCAAATCAGCCAGTACCCTCTGGTAAACTAACAGTTTGCTATTGAAAATGGCCATTTGTAGTCGATTTACCCATTAATAGCATGGTGATTTTCCATAGCTATGTTAAATTACCAGAGGGTAACTATGACCAATGGCCATTTCAGGAACCTAGATTGGAGGTACCTACCATATATAAGGCCTATATAAGGCCTATGTAAGGGAATATCCCCGCAATTCATATGGCCTTATGTGATACAGTACCTCCATTTTAGGATCCTGAATTTCCCATTGATATGAGCTATATAGCTATGGTTACACCATCTGATATCCCACAGAATGTATATCTGGTTGGTGGTATACCTACCCCTCTGAAAAATGATGGAGTTCCTCAGTTGGGATGATGACATTAAGTCATGTTCCAAACCACCAACCAGATATGTAATATAAGAGGAGTTGATCCATCTGGGCCACAGAACTACCGACTCCTTAGTTAAGAAGTTTGATCATAACCCAAGTATGCTGGGTCTTCGAAAGAAACAACATTGACAATCGCTAAACTCAGAGTTGTCCGGAAACAACCATCAGGCGCTTGCAAACGTTGTGGAGACATAGAGGAACTGAACTGGATCCAATCACATACTGAACATCACTTTGAAACCCGTGTGCTGAGCAAATATGCACCCAAACATACTCAGTTTCCAACAAACACCTTTGACAATGCGCGCAGGATTCTCAGGATGTCAATTCATTGGTATAGAGCTACATCCAGCCTGGTTGGTGGTTTTAACCATCTTGACAAATATGAAAGTCAATGGGAAGGATTATCCCATATATTATGGACAATAAAATTCATGTTTGAAACCACCATCCAGCTGCTACCTTCTGCAACGTCGCTCCCATCTGCACCTGCACGGAATGGGTATTCCCTGTGGCTGGCAGAACGAAGGAGAACGACGCCTCGCGTAGCCGCGACGGCTGCCAGGGCATTACGAAGTCTCCCGAAAATTGATCTAGGTGGATTTGCACATCAAAATCCATGGATTGTTTTTTGAAATTTATCAATTTCTAATACGAGGCTTTGGGAAAACTAACATCATATATAGTCATTGTAAACTTTATTTGTCAACTTTTACAATTAAGTATATGGTGTTAAATTTATGGTGCTAAATTTTGGGATGGGATTCTTCGATTGAGTTCAGCAGTGATTCGTGTTCTGAACCAAAATGTCGATCAATGCAGTACGAATAGCGTGTATCAGCTGAACGTGCCTAGATTGAGCAAGCTGTTGCATGTCAATGTGGTGCTTACTGCTTTCAAATCAAAATCGTGTGAAGATACTAGAGTTGACTGAGCCAAACAACTTGAACGGGAGAAGCAGAACCCATCATGAGTACTTTGTATTCCACCGCTGCTGTGATTATCCAGTATTAGTAATATTGATGAAATCCTACCAACCAGTCATTCTCATGTCATCATGATTGCCTTCGAATATTGCGCACGTTTAGCACCATGTGGGTATGGTTCCAAATCAAAGAAAAACAGCTAAAGATAACTAAAGTAACTGGCTTTTCGATCCTGAGCTGCTGCTTGACTACAAACTTGGATAGTTCAACACTGTTTGATCAATCACTTCACTGCCCCTAAATGGCCTAAAGACAGTTTCATCATACAACATGAGATCATTTCGCAATGCGCGCCCATCCTCAATTCTTGCAACCATATTCTCCAGATTCTTCAACTTCCAGCTCTCCCCCAACAAAAAACATAGGGATCCCCGGTTCAGTTAAATAGTACCCCAATGGATTATAGATTTTGAGTTAAATCATAACAAATATTGTTTTCTCGTTATATCCTGTATATAATCTACGAGTAACTTTGAGGATAAAGGTATTTTTCAGAGGGATAGATACTCTTGGAGTTTTTTTTGTTTTTTTGCAGGGTTGGCCCATGATTCCAAAACATTCAACATCCACCATTGTTATTCGAGTCCTGGAGTGATTTAGAATGGTGTGTATGTTTTTTTTTCAGTGTTTTAAGGAATTGTGCAAGAATTCAAAACTCGTTTTGACTGTTTTGGATTCTGTGGGGTTATTGTGCTTTTGGTTTTTGCATTGTTTTGTTTCTATTTTTGTTTGAAACGTGTGGTGTGTTTGGGGAAAATGCGATGGTACATGTAGGAATCAAAAAGGAGGTAAGGCATTTTTTGGAATGTTGTGAAGGTTTCTGGAAGTTTCGAGATTTTTCAACAATGCTTTGACATGTTTTGGAATGCCCGGGGTGGCAGTGTGTCCGAACCTGTGAGGAGTATCCTCGGGGGTCACAAATGAGTTTTCATTATTTCAATGGGAATTTCAGGATCCTAAAATGGAGGTACTGTACCATATAAGGCCATATGAATTGTGGGGATATTCCCTTACATAGGCCTCAAAAATTTGCCTTATATATGGGATTGGTACCTCCAATCAATCGGTCCCTGAAATGGCCATTGATTATTGGTGGGTTTACCAACTTGCCTCAACTCCCTCAATGGATACCAACTTCCTCAACTCTAAGCCACCAATTTCAACGTCCCACGACTCGGATTTGCTTAAGGAAGCCTGCAAAACTAGAGCTCCTGTTCCCCAGAGATTTCCCAGTCGTGGAGCCATCCCAAGTGGATTTCCAAGTCAAATCAAATCAGAACATCCCCCCTTTTTTTGTCGAACTCACATCCCAAGTCATCCTGCTTGGCAAACATCCCAGTCAGCAGTCAGCCTTAAAATGGCGACTCATAGGTATCAACATCTATTGATCAACCTAGACTCTAGACCCTCCAAGTACCCGGATAAAAACCAAGAAACAGTAAGAAACTTATGAGGTAAAACATCAAATTTATGGTTACCCTCTGGTAAACTAACATGGCTATCGGAAATCACATTGGTTTCATATAGCTAAATCATATAGGTAAATCAACCAACTATTAATATAAATGGCCATTTTCTATAGCAAACTGTGATACCCTCTGGTAAACTAACGTAACTATGGAAAATCACCATGCTATTAATGGGACAACTCACTATTTCTATGGCCATTTTCAACAGCAAACTGTTAGTTTACCAGAGGGTACTTTCTATATACTGATATCACAAAAATCCATGATATTCCATGATATTCCCATTAAATCCCATTAAATCTCCATTTTCCTATGGTTTTCCTATGGTTTTCCTATGGTTTCTCCATTTTCAGAGGCTCCTTGGAGGGTCACCGCCGGCACCTGCAGTGGCGCGTCGGCTGCCTCCATGGAAGCCAGCCCAGCGCCCATGTCCGAGCCCTCGGCCAAAAGGTGCCAGGCCTCGTTCGGAAAGCCACGGGGTTTAATCCACGGTTTTTACTGGGGAAATCTATGGTAAAACTGGGGAAATCTATGGTAAAACTGGGGAAATCTATGGTAAAACTGGGGAAATCTATGGTAAAACTGGGGAAATCTATGGTGAAACTGGGGAAATCTATGGTGAAACTGGGGAAATCTATGGTAAAACTGGGGAAATCTATGGTAAAACTGGGGAAATCTATGGTAAAACTGGGGAAATCTATGGTAAAACTGGGGAAATCTATGGTGAAACTGGGGAAATCTATGGTAAAACTGGGGAAATCTATGGTGAAACTGGGGAAATCTATGGTAAAACTGGGGAAATCTATGGTAAAACTGGGGAAATCTATGGTAAAACTTGGGAAATCTATGGTAAAACTGGGGAAATCTATGGTAAACCTGGGGAAATCTATGGTAAAACTGGGGAAATCTATGGTAAAACTTGGGAAATCTATGGTAAAACTGGGGAAATCTATGGTAAAACTGGGGAAATCTATGGTAAAACTGGTGAAATCTATGGTAAAACTGGGGAAATCTATGGTAAAACTGGGAAATCTATGGTAAAACTGGGGAAATCTATGGTAAAACTGGGGAGGTGAAACTGGGGAAATCTATGGCAAAACTGGGGAAATCTATGGTAAAACTGGGGAAATCTATGGTAAAACTGGGGAAATCTATCGTAAAACTGGTGAAATCTATGGTAAAACTGGGGAAATCTATGGTAAAACTGGGGAAATCTATGGTGAAACTGAGGAAATCTATGGTAAAACTGGGGAAATCTATGGTAAAACTGGGGAAATCTATGGTAAAACTGGTGAAATCTATGGTAAAACTGGGGAAATCTATGGTAAAACTGGGGAAATCTATGGCAAAACTGGGGAAATCTATGATAAAACTGGGGAAATCTATGGTGAAACTGGGGAAATCTATGGTAAAACTGGGGAAATCTATGGTAAAACTGGGGAAATCTATGGTAAAACTGGGGAAATCTATGGTAAAACTGGTGAAATCTATGGTAAAACTGAGGAAATCTATGGTAAAACTGGGGAAATCTATGGTAAAACTGGGGAAATCTATGGTAAAACTGGGGAGGTGAAACTGGGGAAATCTATGGCAAAACTGGGGAAATCTATGGTAAAACTGGTGAAATCTATGGTAAAACTGGGGAAATCTATGGTAAAACTGGGGAGGTGAAACTGGGGAAATCTATGGCAAAACTGGGGAAATCTATGCTAAAACTGTGGAAATCTATGGTAAAACGGGGGAAATCTATCGTAAAACTGGGGAAATCTATGGTAAAACTAAGGAAATCTATGGTAAAACTGGGGAAATCTATGGTAAAACTGGGGAAATCTATGGTAAAACTGGGGAAATCTATGGTAAACCTGGTGAAATCTATGGTAAAACTGGGGAAATCTATGGTAAAACTTGGGAAATCTATGGTAAAACTGGGGAAATCTATGGTAAAACTGGGGAAATCTATGGTGAAACTGGGGAAATCTATGGTAAAACTGGGGAAATCTATGGTAAAACTGGGGAAATCTATGGCAAACTGGGGAAATCTATGATAAAACTGGGGAAATCTATGGTGAAACTGGGGAAATCTATGGTAAAACTGGGGAAATCTATGGTGAAACTGGGGAAATCTATGGTAAAACTGGGGAAATCTATGGTAAAACTCTATGGGGAAATCTATGGTAAAACTGGGGAAATCTATGGTAAAAAATCTATGGTGGGGGGGAAATCTATGGTAAAACTGGGGGTAAAACTGGTAAAACTGGGAAATCTATGGTAAAACTGGGGAAATCTATGGGGGAAATCTAAAACTGGGGAAATCTATGGTAAAACTGGGGAAATCTATGGTAAAACTGGGGAAATCTATGGCAAAACTGGGGAAATCTATGATAAAACTGGGGAAATCTATGGTAAAACTGGGGAAATCTATGGTAAAACTGGGGAAATCTATGGTAAAACTGGGGAAATCTATGGTAAAACTGGGGAAATGGGGAAATCTATGGCAAAACTGGGGAAATCTATGGTAAAACTGGGGAAATCTATGGTAAAACTGGGGAAATCTATGGTAAATCTATGGTAAAACTGGGGAAATCTATGGTAAAACTGGGGAAATCTATGGTGAAACTGGGGAAATCTATGGTAAAACTGGGGAAATCTATGGTAAAACTGGGGAAATCTATGGTAAAACTGGGAAATCTATGGTAAAACTGGGGAAATCTATGGTAAAACTGGGGAAATCTATGGTAAAACTGGGGAAATCTATGGTAAAACTGGGGAAATCTATGGTAAAACTGGGGAAATCTATGGTAAAACTGGGGAAATCTATGGTAAAACTGGGGAAATCTATGGTAAAACTGGGGAAATCTATGGTAAAACTGGTGAAATCTATGGTAAAACTGGGGAAATCTATGGTAAAACTGGGGAAATCTATGGTAAAACTGGGGAAATCTATGGTAAAACTGGGGAAATCTATGGCAAAACTGGGGAAATCTATGGTAAAACTGGTAAAACTGGAAATCTATGGTAAAACTGGGGAAATCTATGGTAAAACTGGGGAGGTGAAACTGGGGAAATCTATGGCAAAACTGGGGAAATCTATGGTAAAACTGGGGAAATCTATGGTAAAACTGGGGAAATCTATGGTAAAACTGGGAAATCTATGGTAAAACTGGGGAAATCTATGGTAAAACTGGGGAAATCTATGGTAAAACTGGGGAAATCTATGGTAAAACTGGGGAAATCTATGGTGAAACTGGGGAAATCTATGGTAAAACTGGGGAAATCTATGGAACTTGGATGGACAATTTGGAGTGAAACTCCACTGAAATGCACACGATTTTGCAGTGCAAATAAGACTAGTGTTCAACTCCCTTGTTATCCCATGATGGGCGGGATGGGATTTCCGATTCATGGATTATGATCATCCCCAATATAAACGGTAGTAGAACTCCCAACAAATCATCAAGCAACAGGGGATTGTTAAAAACCGACTTTCCCATCTAGTTACTGTTTTGAACAGAGCTTAAAATGAAACTGGTTTGTTCCCAGCTCCTATGTATGAATTATCACTATCCCAAAAAACAACACAAAGTCGCTTTGAATCGAATTCGCGGAACAGTTACTAAGGGATATAATATATATTATAAGCAACTATGTTCGAGACCCCAGTTGGTTGATGTTGGGGAGTTGTACTGCAGTTTATCTTCGGGATCTAAGCGACCATTATTCCTTCAAAAAAGTGAACAACTGAGGAAACAAAAATACAGAGATTGCACTCAACATGAACCAACAAGGTTCATAACCCATGTTTAACTGTTAGCAATATTGGCTAAATTGGCTGATGATTACTTGGGGGGTTGTACTACCGTTCATATATATATATATATTTGGGATCCATTAAATGACCATTGTATACATTGCCATTCAATTGCAATTAAATTACCATGTCACCATTAAATTACCATTCAATTGCAATAATATATGCAGTACCGTTAGATTACCATCATATTGCACCTGTGATATCACCATAAACAAATCACAATTTATCATAATCTATGATGATATCACCATTAAAAAAATGTCGTATGATATTACCTATTGTGTTAGATATTAACATCGGAATCATCCTATGATATTATCTATTATCCCTCGAAAACAAAACAAAGTCAAAGTGAACGGCCCTTTCCCGAAATACCAGTTATAAGTACGAACAAGTCACCCCATTTATAGAATCTATGATCCCATTGAAATAACCAGTTATAACCATCATTAATGAATTAATCACTATTATTAGCCACTCTTAGCCATTATTAACCATCATTAACCATCATTAACCATCATTAACCATCATTAACCATCATTAACCTGTATTAACCTGTATTAATCACCTATCGCCATGAGTTGCACATCAAGACGCTCCGTCATCCAACTTCGCCAGCTGCAGCAAGACACCCCCTGCTGAGGTCGTTGGAATCGGTCGTTGGAAGCATGTGGATTTCGCCAGTGGTGATGTGATGGGATATTTGATATTTCATGGGGCTTCATGGCATTAAAAATGGCATAAATCATGGGACTTTAGGACTTTTATGATCTAAAATATCATGAAATAGGAATATGATAGGGACATCATGGGGATAGAATCGGCCAAATGGAGGGGTGAAATGAGAGCTCCTGCCATGTGTTTGAAACAATCCAATACTGGGTTTCGAGAACATGGGTGATGACAATATGTGTATCTATATCATATATCTATATATATATATAATATAATATATATATACATTATACAAACAAATTCAGTTGCTTTTCACATTTTTTTGTTGGACCATATACAGCAATGGACATAAATTCACATCTGCGATAAAGCCTGAGAACCATATATAGATCGGTCATAACACTTTTTAGTGACTATCCATCTTTTACTCAACTCTAACATAGACGCATTCTGACCCGCCGAACATCTTCATTTCATGGGGAAGCACTGATTTTAATACATTCATGGGATTGGTTTAAGGGAACATTTATAGGACACCCCAAATTCATGGTAACAACTATGGTTTCCTGTAGATTTTCCCTTCAACCAATCCAATGATCCATTAAAATCCATTAAAATCCATGAACAATCCATGAAAAATCAATTAAAATCCATGAAAAATCAATGAAAATCAATGTTCACCATATCTTAGCCTTGGTTTCCCCCTGCCGCGGTCCGCCTGGCCCGGTGAATTCCAGGCAGCCTTCCGGCACCTGGCAATGGATGATGAGTTGAAGTTCACAGCCCAGTGAAACCGTGAAACCTGGCAATGGGAAATCCCTTAGGTTTTTATAGGAAAATCATGGAACATCCATCAACAAATCATCATAGTGTCATACGTTATATATCACTATGGATCCATGGCCACTGTCTGAGAAGGTACATACTTAAGCCTCCAAATTATAGTAAATTATACCCCAGTCCCACTTCCTAAGAAGGTACGACTGGATCCATAGGGATAGGCAAATCATGGAACATCAATATTTGTGGATAAATGTTCCCCATAAACGAGGGTTTAATTAGGAAAATCCATCTCTAAATGATGATTTTTGCCCTTGCCACGTTTGATTAGGAGAGGGTAGTATATAGGGAACCCACATTTGAGGGGTGCTTAATACTAGGATGGGATGGGATAGGATGACAAAATCCACTACTAATAGTGTTTGTATCATGGGTCCCGTGTGATTTCATCCAGTTCGTTTGGGAGTGTTTTTGTTGACCGGGAAGGAATTAATCTTAATAGTTGATGAACATGCATGGAAATGGCCATGTATTTTTCTTGGATAATACAATAAACCATCGGAAGCTACATGGGGCGTCACATGTTTCTATCTAAAGCCAGGTTCCATGGCGATGTGTCTGCGTCAAGGATCCAATGATCAAAGGATTGCTGATAGCTGCTTCAATCCATCCTCAAAAACTCTGAAACTGACGCTCTCAGTCCCCACATTTCACACGTTTAAGATCGTTTAAGCTTTATGCAATATTTAGGAATATCTACTGATGCCAAGCGTCAAGAACAAAGCTCCAGATACCCACAAAGTGGGGCCCCCGAACGATAGCTAGGTTGGTGAACATAACTCCAATAACTATGGCAACTATGGTAAGCAAATAACTATAGTTACTAGGGCTTATAAACCAACTTATAACTAGGGGGGCCCCACATTGCAGTAAGTTCTGGGTCTGGATCAACTCGGTGGGAAAAAAGGGAGCCTGCGAATGGACGGATACCATCTGGCTACCAGGATCCTCCCACAAAATAAATAGGGCTAGTCGAACTCAATGATGGGTATTTTACATCCCTATGGATCCATGGCCACTGTCTGAGAAGGTACAAAAAAGCATCCAATTCATAGTACATTATACCCCAGTCCCACTTCCTAAGAAGGTACGACTGGATCCATAGGGCATATATATATACCCTCTGGTTATGACTAACATAGCCATGGAAGCCATGGCCCATAGAAATAGATGGTTTACCTATTATAACATGGTGATTTTCCATGGCGAACTGTTAAATAACCAGATGGTATATATTACGGTATCTTGGTACTTTGGAGGGTATATGATCATGACAATACACGACTCCTGTTTTTGAAGGCCATTGGAGGCAATCATTCTGAAATTACCATGGTAAATTATACCATAATACATCCATCAAGGTTGGTATAGTATTGGAAACGTATTATGTTGAAACTAAACGCCTGTATTTTGAAACTAAACAGTTGTATCTTGAAACTGATAGTACCCCATTTTCCCTGGTACTTACAGGGTCCAAATCACGTCATGCCCTGACTTCCACCTGCAAATCAGCCCCATCAAGGTAGAACTGCTGACCTGCGACAAGTCAAGGTGAGGATTTCCCGATGTTTGTTGGTTTAAGAACCCATTAAGTGGTTCGTTAATGTTTGTTATATATATATATATCCCCCATGATACCCAAGAAAAAAAACACAAAAACAAGAGACTTCAACAAAAACTCAAGTCAACTTAGCTAGCGGTTGGAGGCCTCAGTTTGTAGCATGGTTGGCTACATATGCTAGCCCCTATCAATTAATCATAAAAAATATGTATATACTGTATACATATTCATCTCATTGACTCATTGATTGTAGTTGCATAAACTATTTCCAAACTGAAGTACCGATAATGATCATGATTGTTTGGGAGCTAGTTGCACTTACTGATTTTTTGAAATAGCGTTCTCAAGCCAGCAGCAGCAAGAATGCAGCAACAACAAAAACACAAACTACTACACTTACCGAAACACCATGTGTAACTTGTCAATGTTTTCAATGTTGAACACCAACATCTGCCAATATATTATATATCGTGACTAAATAATATTAAATAATCAGGTTTCCAATCTAGATGCCTTGATTTTAAGAGCCAATAGAAATGAAGGCTTTCCACTTCGAATGTCTGCCAATTCTCCATATTCTGTGCGTCTTGGGAAACGTCAACACCAGACCTTGGCTGCTGACTAAAACAGAATACTTTTTTGGAAAGTCCCATGCCAAGTCCGTTGCTGAATCACATCATCCAATCACTATGAATCCCATAATAACCCATCATTATCACATAATATCATGTATTAAAGTATCCCATGATAATGAAGATTATTATGGGATAATTATGATAATAACTAGTATATATATATATATATCATTATGGGGAATATTGATTTCATGTTTTCAAGAAGGGAAACGGAAAAACACCATCCAATCACCAAGAGCATGTTCCTAAACAATCAACAACTATGGGCATGTTTAGAGCCATGCCACGAAAATTCAATCAACCAACATCCAAAATACATCAAACTACCATGACACTAATTTTGCTGATTGATCTTTGTTGGTAACCAAAATCATCCAAGAATTTGTTCTTCAAATATGACAAAACATATCCCGACCCGTTCTCTCACCCAGCTCTCTTCAAAATGCGCCTCGCTTGCCGATCTGTCGAACCTCAGATGAAAGCGGCACCAGCTTTGGATTTTTCCAGAGGGGCGGTAAACAGAAGTTGATGTTTCATGATCCATCATGTTTCATGGCAAACATGTTCCGCCGCACTATATTTTAACATGTTGATAGTACACCATGCATGCATTGGAATATCATAGATACTACGAAAAATGTTTGCACCAGCGGCAGCAGCAGCAGGAGGAAGCAGCAGCAGCAGGAGGAAGCAGCAGCAGCAGCAGGAGGCAGCAGCAGCAGCAAGCAGCAGGCAAGCAGCAGGCAAGCAGCAAGCAAGCAGCAACCAGCGTTTGCCCCCTCGAAAGAATGATCAAATATAAGCTTTAAAATTCAACTCAATACAAAGATTGAACTTTTTCCAGCGCACGGCCCCAAAACAATGAAATCACTCAATAAACAAAAGTTATGGTGATGCCAAACTTGAACTTTTTCCAGGCGCACGACCTCCCGATACGACTTTTACGAGCTGATACGACTTAACGCTAGCGCTTGTATCTGGTTGGTGGTTTCAACCCCTCTGAAAAATATTAGTCTGTTGGGATTATTATTACCAATATATGGAAAAATATAAAATGTTCCAAACCACCAACCAGCTATCCTGCCATGTCAAATCATCTTCATCTTCATTCAATATCCTCCTGTTGCTTCCCGCAATGTTTATGGCATCACAGGTCTCTTGGTATCTATCCCATTAGCATCCCACAGTGTCAACATATCCAGCAGTACAATATGGTGTCCGCCCAAGTTATATGTCGGTCTATAACCCCATGAACTATATAGATAATATATCTACCCTAAGTCCTAGCTACTGGAGTTATAAGCCAACTTATTTGGCTATCTTCGGAGAACCACCGTGTATCAGTATTCCATAATATCCCCATATCACACTTGTCATCCCGTATCACTACCCCATATTAATGGTATAATTATTAATTAATTACTATGATATCACAATATTATGCCAAAATATCCCATACGTCCCATGATGATCAATATGTGTAAAAACATTCCCAATATCATCAAAAAAGTATCCAAAAATCACAGTAAATCAGTAAATCCTGACTATCCCGACTATCCCATTCATCACTATATGATACTGGTTGGTGGTTCGAACCCCTCTGAACAATATGACTTCGTCAGTTGGGATGATGAAATTCCCAATGGAAAGTCGTAAAATTCCATGGTTCCAAGCCACCAGCCAGATTAACTATAGAGATTAATATGCTCCACTTACTGGAGCTGTTTAACCAACAAACACTGATTCCCAATTTGGGTAGTTTATAAAATTGCTTTAACCACATTATCCAATTCATATCCATTCATCACTATATGATATCAATATCCCCAACGGATCCCATGAGAGATATCATATGATCTCCCCACGAGTAGAGACCCCTGGATACCGACAGGCGCCCCCACCGCCAGCAAATGATGCCCCGTCGCCAGGGCGAACTGCCAACAGAGAGATGGTTCCTGGGCCGCGTTTTTCCACGTGACCGTCCCGGACCGTCCCAGCAAAAAAATGATGCAGTTCTGAAGAAACGGATCACCAAAAGCCATGGCTTTGTTGAATTGTAATATGATCTAATGATCTGGTTGGTGGTTGACAAACCATCTTGAAAAATATGACTTCGTCAGTTGGGATGATGAAATTCCCAACTGAATGGAAACATGATCCAAATGTTCCAAACCACCAATCAGGTAATATGATCTATGATGATTTGGGGTACCTTTTTAATCGAACCTCCAAATATTGCAAGAATGAAGACATAATTCATTGACACATGGACATGTGCAGAAAACCAATGCAAAAAAATGAGGTTCAACGTTGAGAAATGAGAATGATCCAGCAAAAAATAGTTTTTACAATACCTGATAAACATCAGTTTTTGTGATATCCCAAAGTCATCATTTAAAATCCCCAACAAATAGTATTTGTTGCTTGGATTTTTTAAATGATGACTTTGGGAAATCACAAACATCTCATGGAGACTGTGAATCATGATCGCCTAGCCTACTCTAATCAAACACGGCTGGAAAATCCCCCGAAAATCCATGGTGGTTTTGGATGGGACCATCATAGGAAAACAGCTGGGGAAAATACGAAAAATCCCCGAACTCAATGGAGGGTTTAAGGCTGGGAAAATCATCGAACTCAATGGGTGAGTGTCCAGCAAGTCATGTTTGATTGCCGGAGGGAATGTGATTGGAATCTCCGCTGTGGTGAGGGAGTGAAAAACACCTGTTCAAAGGTTCGTCTAGTAGAAATACATAGTCTATAATAGATATTAGTAGATTCAAATACTGTAGATACATTGTTTGTCCCTCCATGATGTATTTATGAAATAAAATCATATAGGGCTCTCAATGTGGTTGATATAGAATGTCCTTGTGCCAGCCACTAACACATCTAACACATTGTCATCCCAGCACAGTGGTACCAGCAACCGGTCCTGAACATAATTCACTATATCGTCTTTCTCACCAAAACATCAGACTGTGCTCATTTTGGAGGATGGTTCCTTGATAGACAAAAATGCGCCATCTTTATGAAGTCTCTTCAGGAGTCGTCATGACAAATTCACCCATCCGTCCCATCCCCGGCGCACCCCGCTGTCGTTTCCAGGATTGTGTTGCTGCAAAGGATAGCCATCGCAAAGCAACATCCTGAGAGAACACCCAAGCACTGTACTTTTTGGGATTCTCCCGGACTATACAAAAGCAACAAATGAAATAATACCAAAGAATCATGAAGAAGGGTAGGCCCTCAAATTAAGCAAGTAGAGATTGAGCTATATATATATATGTATATAACAACCACTTCATGTTGAGTCAGGACCCAATTGGTCACAAAAAAAATACGTCTCTAACATTGCAAACTTCATTAGCCACATTGGTGACCATGATGTTCCATGGCCATTTTTCAAATAAATTACAGTAAGATTCAGCTATGGAAAACTCATCATGGGTGTGGAACAGTTTCTCTTATCCAGTCAATTTGCTGCAGGGTATGATGTCTCTCGAACCAAAAAAATGCAACTATATAATAACCTGGGTCTTCGGCCACTGCCCGTCTTCTCGCTGCATCAGTTCCAAGAGACACCTAGGTGCGACTTCACTAGATGGCTGAATGAATCAACATGGTGTCACGGGTATCTCCAAACATGTACCCAGGTGCACAGAATCAAGGCAGTAAATCATGTGTTGGGCTGCATCGTTGAGGAGCCATTAAATGATGCACAACATTGATTCAGATGTTCACGTATGCGCGCCTTCATGGGCACCGCTGACTTTCCCAATGCTTAATGTGTTACTGACGTCCATATGTGCGACATGTTTTGGGGCATATGTTCTGACTGTTGAGAAAGTTGAGTTTGAAAAGAAACTGAAAAGAACCAATGTCGACTCTCCCGTTTCACATCATATCTGCGTCATGTCTGTTTGGTGGTTTCCACTAGTACCAAAATGTACCAAACATATATTTTTGTGAATGAAGCTCATAACTCCCGTTCCATTTCCTACATTTCTTGCGATGAAACACAAGCAAAAAAATGGAAGCCAGATGGGGATCAGCTGAACAACTGGGCTACCCCAACGCACCAGGACCGGTGAAACTCATCGTTCCCTCGCGCCAGCGTTTTTGGGCAACACATATGTGATATTTTTTTCCGAGATATCATTGGAAGTGGAAACATATTTGGAATTCTGTAGATTCTGTAGATGTTGTCGGATGTATGTATTTGGTGTATTCTTATTTTACATATATATATATATATTATAATATATATATATATTGATATATGGTTTAAACTAGATTTCCCGGGCTTAAACTCAATGAGAGGCCAATTTATATATATATATATATATTCGAGGCAAGTTTGTTGATCCCCCGATCAGTGGTAAGCTATTGGGCAAATCGGGCGTGCTTTATGGCCTTGGCTTTAGCACATAGTAATTCCCCTCAAAGTGCTTATGGATATGGGTTAAAGTACCACCATGTCCGAGTAAAGTTCCATTGGCAAAAATCAAGTGAGGATCTAGATCTGGACGATGTTCAAAACTTCAGAACCTAGCAAAATAAAACAAATAATGTTAGTAAAGAAATAACAAGCCAGCCATATGTTGATGGTTTATACCAACTATTTATGCCATTTATGCCATTTATGGGGGATGGTAGATCCTATTGCTGTACTAATATTAGAGATCTATATTAAGACTACATGGGGCACCCTGGACCTGTTCAAAATCCTTCAATAGCCAGAATACTCATTCAATATCCATCCTTTTGTGTTGCTGATTATTGTGTTGTTTCGTTTTTGCAGATGTTTATGCTAGCAACGCATCCCCCACTTGTTGTAGAAATTGTGCAAGATCCCCATTGTTCGTGACTTACATTCCGCGATTCCGCGACCAAGAAGAAAAAAACATATTAATTTATGCTGGTTGGTGGTTTCAACCCCTCTGAAATATATTTGTCAGTTGGGATGATTATCCAATATATGGAAAACATAAATTCATGTTCCAAACCACCAAACAGTATGGAATACAACATATTTCTCAAATGGACAGATGAAAACCTTTTTTGCAGCCAAAATACCGGGGGTGCATCCAGTGGTGCGCCATCAACCCAAATCTGCTGATGTGGCCTTGGAGGGCTTGAACTCAGAAACATTTTGGCTCTGAGGAAAATTCATAGCGTTGATAACTGCGAAAAAAGGCGTAAATACACATGAAAAAATATCCAAGAAGTAAAAAGTAAATTGTAGGGTTTTAGGAAAAACATATGACAAATGACAAAGCAACATGTGGAGCGATATCTCAAGATATCAACCACCCCCCAGATGGTTACCCCTAAACAACGAGCGCTCGAAATGGCCAAACTTCACCAAGGTCTTTGAGGCTGGCGGCGTTCCGATATCGGCAGCCCGAACCTGCTGTTCGATTGCGGCCCACAGGATTTGTGCTATCGATGTGTTCTGAACATGGGAACACTGTGATACCTCTATAGAAAATTGCCGGTTGACTTACTGGTGCTTAGTAGGGAATGGATGGGAATGGGGGAATGGGATGATTATAGAAAATTGCCACTTGATTTGACAAAACTATCGACACATTTATAAATCATGGGATTTTGACCCTGCAAAGAACCCTATACCATCTGGTTATGACTAACATAGCCATAGAAAATCACCATGTTTCATAGGTAAACCATCTATTTCTATGGGCCATGGCTTAACCATGGCAAACTGTTAGTCATAACCAGAGGGTAGATTTGATGTCTTTGCTACCCCTTAAAAAAAGGTGCCGAGATGTGCCAACGAACGCGGCTCAACCACATTGCTGAGCTCCTGGCATGATGCGTCCCAGTTCCGGTGATGCCAAATCTCCACCAGCAGATCTGCCTCGTTTTGGGATGTCCGGCCACCGGATGTTCTTCGTTAAAGTATGTGGGATGGTGTGTCATTGAGAACATGATAGTACCCTATATATTTTCCCTCGGCCCATGGAAGCTCTGAGTACCCTATATATATATATTACCCAATGATTTATATTCTATATAATGTTAATGTTATATATATATATCCATGACGGATCCATGGTGCTGGTATATATATATATGTTAACATAAAGAGGTATATTCATGGGATCCATGTTACCATATATGGCAGCAGCATGGATCCGTCATGGAGTATAGAATTAATGGTCCAAAACTATCAAAAGGTCCAAAACATTCCAATCTTATCTTTCTGTTCAACACATGGGATATAGCTATACAATCATTATTAATCATTAACTATTTGGATGTAGTGGTCCCCCCTGTAAAACAAAGTCAACCAGATCCAAACATAAAGCTTCATCATTTTTCCCATGGTTTTCCTGTACAGTTGGGGTTGGTGCAGTCAAGTCCTCATAAGTTGCACAGATCGTCATGATATGGGGTTAGTGGCAAGCTTTGAACACTGCCAAAGTCCAAAGTTTTTCTTACCTTCTGGTAATTGAACATGGCTGGGAAATCCCCGGTAAATGGGCATGTAAATGGGAAAGCCTTCGAAGTAAAAGTACTGAATTACCAGAGGATTCTTGATGCCAATCCATCGAAGAAATATGAAGAAATCAGGTCACCAATAGTCGCAGAAGGAACCAGGCAAAATAAGGTTTATCCAAACATGCAGTCAGCAGTCCTGGCGGAATATCTGATACATATATAATATACATATATAATATACATATATAATATACATATATGTATTTATTTAATTATTTATGTAACTTATGTATGTATGTATTTATTTATTTATTTTATTTATGTATTTATTTATTTATTTATCTATTTATTTATTCATATATGATGTTTCACAATGTGTTTTTCCATCATCTATGAGATGGTCTCAAAATGTGGTTTTCCCAAATCCAGTGGTTTAGTTGGATTATTTTCCATCTGTTGCATCTTTTAGGGCCATACAATACAATGATCTGGGTACCCTCTGGTAAACATACAAAAAGCTATTGAAAATGGCCATTTCTAGTGAGTTTTCCCATTAAACATGGTGATTTTCCATAGTTACGTTAGTTTACCAGAGGGTAAATTGTGATAATTCACTTATCTGAAATAAGGTCGGGGGTGATTCCCATTACTAACCATCATTCCAGTGACGGAAAACGACGTGAGGTCGTTGTAATGCAGATACTATATGATACTATCACCATATCCCTGAGTAATCCCATATCATTATTCCATGCCCATGGTGTACTAAGATACCATCACATCCCAAAACATCCGCCAAGCAGAGTGGCCCCCTGAGCTGGGCACTGAGTGCGCCCCGAATCAGTACCCTCCGGGGTGTAGAGTTCTGCCTCCGGGACGACATTTGAGTGGAGCGCGGAGAACATGGAGCATTGGGGAGATGTTTATTGCTGGGGCATCCAAAATCTATCCCCAAGTGTTCATTGCTAACTGCTGAGCCTCAATAAAACTAACATAGAAACAATGATCATTGGGGATTAAATTGCTGAAAAATACTGCGAGGAGATATATTTGCGATTATATTTGCATTATAGATGTTATATTAAGTAGATTGGAAACAGCAGTCTCAAGAAAAAACGGGATGCCTGACATCCAATGGGTTCCCTTGTTTTGAAAAACCATGGATCTTGGATGGCTTCCAGTCTTGGAATGTCTTGGAAAAACGTATGAATGTGTTGTGTTACGCAGATCTCGGACCTTGCATTTCGATCCATTTCTCCTCTCAAACATCTCAAATCAGAATCACAAGGAAGGGGAACATCATAAAACATTATGGTTTCCCTATTTTACAACGGAAAATCCTACTAAAATGCATGATTTGGGGGGTAGCCCTATGACTTAGGAAACCTCCATATCTTCAACATTCTTCAACCAGGTTCATCAAGCATGTTTCACGTCATTGCCCGAGCCTCATGACCATCCACCAGGAGAGTCCATTGCCCTTCACCCAGGTACTGGCGCAGCTTGATCTCATTCCCATGCCACATGTGGGTTTCCATAAATAGGCTACCCCGATAAAATCGCTGGATGGTTGATTTCCATGGGAAAATCCCCATCTAATAGCTGGATGACTAGGGGTAGCCCTATGACTTAGGAAACCTCCAGATATGTTTTGGGTGAAGATGGGTGCCTTCAAAACTCTGATGCTTCTGTGAGGGAAGCATCCGTGATCCCTAGAAGACAGCCCTGTTCCCCGACGAGGGAAATCCTGGTAGCCAATAATATTGACAGCCCAATAGTATCTGGTTGGTGGTTTCAATCCCTCTGAAAAATATGAAAGTCAGTCGGGGTTACTATTCCCAACATATGGAAAGTCATAAAATTCATGTTCCAAACCACCAAACAGGTATTAGATATGTAGAAACCTGACATCTCAGATTTGGCTCCCATTTTCTTGGTCCATCATCTTGACATTAAAAAAGGAGCTGGATCCAATAAGTTACAACAAGTAGCTGGTTGAATCCCAGTGTTCGATTTATCTGCCATATTTCAGCGGCTTTCAGGAAAATCTTACAGTAACCCATGGGTTTTGCATGTTTTTGTTCCAAATAGGAAGGGTTTCCTGCATATGTTCGTCCTGTAGTTCCAGCAATGTCGCTGCAGGACCCGTAAAGGTGTAGGTGCCGGGAGGGGCCTCCAGCGGTCATGGCCAGCATGATTTCACTTGACAAAACACCTTAAATCGCAGGGTAAGATTGCCGTGAGATACCCATTCTGATGGGAACATTGAGGGTCAGGGTATGCAAAAATTTGGGAAAATTATGCATTCAATGGAACATTTCTATCCGAAAATATCCATGTGTATGAAACATCATCATTGCCTCTCCATATATACCTAAACCATCCTAAACCCCTATTCAAAAGGTGATGTAACTCATAAAATGGAGGGGTTGAACCAGCCAAAATAAGACTCATCTAAGTTGAATGCGCACGGTACAAATCGCCTAGCCATACCAAGAGGAGAGTTGGACACTTTCTATTCCATGCAAAGTACTGCCACAAAGGGGAGGCAACATTTTTTCCCAGCAGTGTGAATGTGCCATGCCGCCATGCCCAAAGAAAAACCCAGCGGCAACACCTGTCTCCCCGCCTCCAACAAAGCTCCATCCAACATCACCTTGGGCGTACTCTGGTGACTATCGATGCGATACCTGTCTCATAACGGTTATCCCCTTGACCTTTCCACTGATTCCACTCCACATCGCTCCACTTATGTGGGGGCTCTCCAAATAAATATGTTAACATCATTTTTTTACCAGGATGTTGCGGGTGAAGCAAATCTTCTGAGTTTCCAACTAATTCCAACTCTTTGATCTCTTCCAGATTGCTTTAATGTTTATATCATATGGGGTGTTCTCATGTTTTCTCAACATGGCGGATCCCCAAAACCATAGGTTTCAAATGGTTTCAATACTAAAATGATCTAAAATAGTCTAATTTTGGATGATTTGGGGCTATCCTCCAGTCTAGGAAACCTCTATAATAATATATATATATATGCATAATTCATAATAATTTCACACAATGTGGCCCCCAGAGATCACCATGGCACCTCTTGCTCCTCGGTGCCTGGGTTCTTCACCCTCATCAGGTGAGAACCAGAGCCAGCCCTTAGCGTCTTCTCCACAGCTCCGCGACGCAAAACATGGGTAATTTTTTCGACCAAATGGGAGCCTGGTGGAGTAACAACCTCCAAAACCTCTCCAAATCCAAGGTCAATGTATGTGAGATGTCAGCTAAGGAGTAGACCGGTAATCTATAATATCCTATAATCTATAAATTGGACGCAACATGAAACGCATAAAATTGATGTTCGACATATTTCGACTGATTACAACATCAAATCATTTTCATGAACTGCACGAGTCGTTGCGACCGTCTTGCGTCTCACTTGGCCAAGATTGGGACGCAAATTTGAACCAAACCTCGGGTTCCAGACACAGTAGGTACACCATAGGTCCAAGGGGGGCTTCATACTCGCTGGGGAGCAAAAATGCGGAGGCTGCTATGGATCTATATAAGATTATATAAGTACCCCAAAAACTATGCCCTCACAATTCAGTTGTTTGAAGGTGTAGTTGTTTGAGTCATCGATGAGAAACGCTGCACAAACGTGGAACGGTGCTCAAACGAACAGCCTCCACTCTAAAAAGTCACACTGGATCATACTTGTTCAATCACCAAACGCAATTCGGTTAGCAGTGCCGGCCTTATAGTCCGCCATGTTAAGATGAACGGCCGGCAGTGAAGGCTGAGTTTCAGCTGTGGGTCTAAGTCACCTAATGGTGGCTCATGGTGTGTCCTGCTGGACATGGTTGTCAAACCAACCACTTCCATGATGGGCTTTGGAATCCAGAAGTAAGACTGGCAGATGTTCACTGGCTATGAAATTCAATAGCCGGCATACATAGCAACCACAATTATATGATTGCTGGCGGGGTTTTCTCCACACATAAAAGCACTAAAAACGGAAGCAACTGCTATCAGGCTAAAAACAGAGTGAAATTTATCATCGGGTTCATGGCCGGTCCAAATCAGACACCCCATTTGGGTCCTTTTTCATGTGAAAAATGGCTACTGATCTACCACCAGAAATGGTCCAGAAAATGGTAAGTTCATGGCCAGAAATCTTGAAGCAGATTGGTGGATCAAGGACTTCTTCGAAGCACTTGTGCTGTAGAAAACGGCGGCGGCAAAATCAGGGACCATTTCTCAAAGGTGGGTCGAAAAGGGCTTTAAGGGACAACGCAGCTTGGATTGTTTCTTGGAACTGAAACCATGTTGTGTTGGTTGGGGTCCCCTCTTGTAAACTAACATAGCTATTGAACATGGCCATTTAGAGTTGATTTACCCATTAAACATTGTGTTTTTCCATAGTTATGTTAGTATACCAGAGGTGAGAATGGCAGCACAGCTCTGCAAGGTGAACTCCAAGGTGATCAGGAAAACTGTTGAAAATGGTTGTTGTCTCAACAAATGAAAATAAGGATATTCCAGCTCTGCAAATGGTAAAAATGCTTCTATGCCAGTTTCCCTTTTCCAAACTGCAGGACGCTCCCAAAGCTTGCTTTTCAGCTTCCACTGCACCAAGTCTGCCGGCCACGGCACAAGGTAAAAAGGGCGTCCACACCCTATCGCAACGGATTGGTGACCCGGTCACCTGCTTATGGCTGCAAGGCACTATGTGCCACAAAACCCACCCGCCTCGCTCTCCTGAGCCAAGTGCCTGTGGTAACAGACAGAGTTTGCCCAATGGTCATGTACCTGACGGAGACAGATCTGAAATAGGAAAATCACATCGGTACAAAATCTTTATGTTGGGCAAACTGGTCTGATCCCTGCGGTTCTGTTTCGCCATCAGCTTGCTGTAACCAACGAATTCGATCTCTGGTCTTTGCACGATTTTTGAGGGTAGCATCTTCGTCATGTAATCGGTAACTTCCAACACGCAGGGTTTCTCTCAAGAAGTGAGACTGCATTGCTTTGGTCAAACAGTCTGCCAACTGGGCACCTGAGTGTACCCATCGGAGGGTGACATTTTCTTTGAGGGCATCCTTGATAGCTCTAGCAACCAACTGTGTTCGAAATTCTGAGCAATTTGGGGGAGCTGTCCTTGTTACTAGGTCATATAAACTTTTGCAATCGGTTACAGCTATGTCTTGATGCTCATGGAGAGTGGGCACTGTGATCGCTGGCTCTGTTTTCAGTAGAGCAGCTTCAGGATTTTTCCAGTCGGTTCGCGGATCATGGATCCATTTCCAAAATAAACGTAACCATGCCAATTGGTCCAACGCTGAGGCAAGAGATGTGGTTTCAGCCGCCAATGTGCTGGTCACCACCTTCTGAATCTTTTTGGAACCCCAAGATATTGGACTAATGGGACATTGAATATTATTGGAAATTTCTTGATGAGTGCCTACAATGATTACGCCAGCATGGGACTCGGGTTTCTTATGAGATGCAAAAGATGCATCTGAGAAAGCCATGAAGCGGAAATTCTTATAGGGGATTGGTCTGATGGTGATGGTTACATCATGATATTTCTTGGCTTCATGCAACAACCTGTTGGCTTCTAAGAGGGTATCAATAGTGGCATGATTTATGGCGGATTGCAACGACGACAAACGGCTGGATAAATCTGGTCGGGTGTTGACTGCCGCATACTGCAATGACCCCACAAGGCCACGTAATGATCCACGTTCTTCTTCTGTCACTGGCAAATCAGGCTGGGTTTTGCGGTTGGTTTCAACTTTGATTGCGTTGATCTTTTTTACATAGCTACTTTGACTGAGAATGATACTGTAGTCTTCCTTCTGCGTTAGTTCGACTCCAGTGAAAGTGAAAGATCCCACCTTTTTGGCTCCAAACTTGTACTTTTGTTCTAGTTTGTCAAGAAGCTCATGGAATTGGGCATTACCTCCACCTACCCCATCATCAACGTGAATTCCCAGGATACCTGATATTTGTTGGGGTTTCTGTTTATCCCGAAGAATGAACGTGCATGGATCAAACGGACTCATTTCCATTCCCAGTTGGATAAGCTCATTTGTTAAAGCGCAGTACCATAAATAGGGTGCATCAATCAAACCATAGGCGCTCTTGTTCAACTTTCCAATCTCATGGGGAGACATGTTCATGGCTCTGCGAAGCTCTGGAACTGGATCTAAACCCATTGTACGTCCCTCCTGAGGTTGACCTTGGAGAAAAGCCGCCTTTATGTCAAATGACATCAGCTGCCATGCATGAGAAGAGATGGTTTGTAATATCAGCATCCTTGAAGTTTTGTTGAGCGTTGGGGAATCCCTGGGAATCTCATCTATCTTTGGATCTTGGTAACCCAAAACTACCAAACGTGCCTTCGGTTTATGGGTTCTCAAGGACTTTTGATGTACCTCATCTTGATTGACTCCATCTATGGGCTTCCATGTCAATATCCATCGGCACTTGAGCACTTGTTCTGCTGGAATTTGGTGTTTCAACACCTTTGAGATCGTTTCTGTTTGCAACCAATTGTTGATTTCACTTTGTTTTGCCTTTTCAAATTCGGATTTTTCAAGTTGGTTGAGTTCTGACATTCGGACTTCTGTTCTCTGCTTGGCAGCGCCTGATACCAGGAATATCCAGGGATCTGCATTGGTCAGATCGGACTCTTGGTGGGACGCTGGAATCGGCACATCAAACTCACATCTAAAGGCGAAGCCTTGCTCAGAGCATTCGGCAAAAGCATCTGCAGATTCACAACACAACAGCTGTTGAATTTCTTCAGTGACCTCATTGTCATTCTCCAAACTGGCATGTGATGGATCATGGCTGATGGTTTCGGGTTCTTGGTCAGGCTGTTGACTCGATTCTGATGTGCTTTCACCTCGTTCATGAGTTGATGATTGGTGTCCCACTTCAGTGTCGGCTGGTCCTGGTGCATCAAGATTAATGGCATCCTCTTCTGGGATTCCAGGCATGTTGCTCAAGCGGTCAATCTGACGTTGGATCATGGTAAGGTCAACTGGCAATTCGGGGCCCTCTGGTTCTCCTTCTGACGGCAGGGACCTGCGAACATGTTCGGGAGCGCTTCTGTACAACCTACCAGCTTGAGTGGTCCATATCGTATGATTGGCATCTTGGAGGATTACCCTTTGGGGTCCGATCCACATTGGTTGGTTCAAGTTCTGGGTTCTCCAAATCATGACCCATTGTCCGGGGTGATACACTCCCCGATCTGGACATGACCGCCTCAAGAGGGATCGCCGTAATGCGTCATTGTTGTCTGCCGCATGGAAGGCTTTCCTGGCAACTTCCCGCAGCTGGAGGTGCCTTTTAAAGCTGTTAGGATCGACCGAGTCCATTTCTTGTGTGGCGCTCAAATGACTTGGAATTGATTCATCGCTGAGAATTGAGCCGGGCAATCTGCTTTGCTTACCGAACACAATTATTTCAGGGGAATATCCATGACGCACACTCAGATTGTTTTTGGATTGTGTGCTCTGATTTAAGGCCATTTGAAGGGCATTATAGTCTTGGACTGGCATCTCAGTGTCGATCTTTCGAAGCATTTCTTGAAGAAACTTCCCATGTCGTTCAATCTTCCCATTCTGCCAGTGGGCTTCCGGGTTATTGCTAGTGCATTGGATGCTGAACCTCTGGGTGAATTGCATGAACTCTTCACTACAAAACTCCGTACCCGCATCAACAACCAATTTTGATGGTGCACCAGCCCAACATATCCAATGTTGATTTATTAATTGAATGACATCCTGAGTGTGACGCGATGGTGCTACGAAAGCCACATGAAAGTTTGTCCCCGCATCCAACATGTGATAGAAATGGAACTCCTTCCCTTGTTGATTCTTCCATGAGATCCCATCCATGTATACTTTGTGATTGAAGTCCATGATTGGTTTCAGCTGGCCGGGTCTTTGGTGTTTTGGCGCTGAATTCTGTGCGCATACCTTGCAACGAAGTTCCCGAGCTGCATTGATCACTTCAGCACGGTGCCCTGAGGCCTGGAGAGCCTTCGACAATCTCTCATTGCTGGGATGGCCTAGATTCCTATGCATTAAAAACAACTGGTTCTGTTCCCATTTGGGCAGGGCAGTAACTCTTGGGGTTTGTTCATGCAGTGGTCCAGGCTGTTGACTTTCATCACTGATGTCTGGGGTCACCTCAGTGCTGTTTGGTCGCGTTTCAGCGTCCATCGGATCAACATTGATTTCGTGGTGCGGTGATTGGCTCAGGGATGCACTTCGAATTTCATGCGAGCTGCTGCTGCAATCGTGGCCTTCCATTGGCCCTGCAGCATCGGCTGGCGGGTCAGCAGGTTGTTCGGCTCTGGCGGTTGCTTCACGGTCTCTTGCAAACACAGTGACATTTAGGCGGCACGGATGCGCTGGTCGAATCAATTGCCTATGAGATAACTGGGTCCATCTTTCCCAATTTACTTCATGGGCGACTTGACTGGACGGTCTGAGGATCATTAATGTTTTCCGAAATGGGGCTTCATGTGCATGGAGATTGGATGGTGGGCCCATTGTTCTGTCCGTGCCTCGGCATGCCACTACGCTGACCACCACTTTGTCGGAGAACATCTGCTGGATAGGCTGCAGGATATCACTCTCAGTGATTTCCCTTTTTCCAACACGAGGCATCATGCGGCTGATCCGATTTAAAACTTCCTGACAATCCTCTAGGCATGGACCAACATGTTGTTTTCCTGCTAGCCTTCTACGCTTGATCACTTGTTCTACCTTATTTGGGGGATACATCAACTCTGACTTGACAAAAGTTGCTTTTGGTCTCGACGGTTGGATGACCCTGTGATGTCCTGCAGTCAACGTGGGAACCGCTGGCTCGCTCTGTGTTAATGCAATCAGCCCATGATTCCAGTTGAAAGGCCATTCCCTTGGAGATTTAATCATGGTCTGGGCAACTAAACGGGCAAACTTCCTTGGATACACTTCCGTAAAGGTGGAACGACGCACCCGTTGATCTCGGACCCATGTACTGCCTTCAATGGGCTGGTGTGCATGATTTCGCCGGCATGTTCTGCCATGCAGGGACTTATACATTGCCGGACTTGTTGTGATCACGGTCATTCCCTTTTTCATGAAAGCACCATTGTGAGGATCTACCAGGTTACCAACTTCACATTGATCAAATTGGCATGACCGGGTGAACTGATGGATCTCTGAAATGCCTGGCTGGTGGAACATCAGCGATCGTGCTGGCTGTTCCCAGTGAAGGTGTCGGCCATTCTGCACCTGGTGCCTGTACAACACTATTCCAAGGGCAATTTGATACAACATAGCTTCACGTTTCTCCAGGTATTCTTGGGGACTGCTACTCGTTCGAGTGGAATTAAACTGTGACCATGATGACCAAGGTCCACATACTGGTGAATACCAAAGATGTTGAGGCTGGTGCACGACTAGTCTTTTAAACAAAGTCCCTCTACCCCCTGGTGTGGACAGATCACCATCTTCGAGGCCAAACCTGAAAGCCCGAGCGCCAAGCTGGTGTGCCTGATGTGTCAGTGGTGACTGTTTGCTGCAAAACACTTCAGCTAGCAAAAAGGGTTTGCCAATGGCATGGTGACTTTGTTTTACATGATCTAGTTCACTCTGCAGTTTCCTAACATGTTTCCACAGCAGGTTGACATCAGGGTGGACGCTGGAAGCCTCCACAGGGATATCGTCTGTGGTCACGGCACTGCATGCGGATCCTCCGGCAGATCCATCTGGCCACAATTGCCCTGGCGCTCCAAGTGAGCAATCACTCGAGTCAATGCATTTTCCATGTTCAGGAGACGACTCTGCACTGCAACAAAATTGGGATCTTGCTCCAATGGGGTCTGATGCATATACCCATGGAGGTACGCTTCTGAAGTCGTCTCCCAATCCCCGTCTTCCATGTCGGGCAAATGAGTTGCGGTGGGAGCCAGGTTCATGGATCGCGGCTGGGCCAATGGCTTTGCCTTGGCTTTGGCGGTTGTAAGGTTCACCGTTGGCCTTTGGCCTTGGGCTACTGGAATCACCGTTGACTCGCTGGCACTCAGATCCACAAGGATGGGCAATTGCTGCTCCTCGTGGTGATCTAGCATCAACTCTATGTAGCGGATCAGTAGACGATGTGCCGTCTTGGGACTCTTGTTGTAGCGGCCGGCTACAAACTGGATCCAGCTCTGATCCGTCTTCCATACCTCCTGAAAGGTCTTGCCCTGGTGCTTCTCCCCGAACGCCACCTTTTCCTGGTGCAAGTCGTCCAACGACAGGTGCGACAGGTCGCTCAGGCTTGAGTGATCTACCTGTTGAAGGTTCTTCAAGCGGCTGCACAGCGACATGGAGAGGTCTCACAGGTGCCGAGTTAGCGTCTCGATCTGGCTTTCGATCTTGAGCTGTTGCTGCTAGGGTGACTTTCGGATCATTCACTGCTGGTGACTGGGCTGACTTCTGCACGGTCATTTCTTTGGCTTCAGTTGGACATGACTCTTTTGGTGCATTATATACAGTCTTACCCTTATAGTTACTTCCTGATTGTTGGTTATGGTTTACCCCAGCATCCCCATTGTTCATCACAGACATCATGGACTCGCTTTTGGCGTCGGTCGTCACAAAAGTGTCCTGGTTGCTGGAAGATGGTGGTACCATCTTTGCTGGAGACTGCAAGGCTGCCAATGCCATCTGGTTGATATCTATCAAAAACAAACCTCGGGATGTCAGAGAGAGTGGAATGCTTTTGCAGAGCATTGGGCTGGCTACAGTCCTAGCTTGGCAGTCTATGGTGGCTCGAAGTGCACGCATGAGAGTGTTTGATACCAGAAACGGAGTGCCGCCTTCAACAATGGCAATCTTCAACTTCAGTGGTCCAATGGGTATGACTAAGGCATGTTGACTTTGGAGGGTGCCCTCATTCCCAAACTTAAATGTGATGCTGCACTTCACTCTGGTGAGCTTGCTCCTGATGACTTCGTCGAGACCACCAATCAATTCGGCTACATGATTGGACCCAATCACCGTTTTGGAAGCACCGAGATCAAGTACTCCATATGTGCTGTGAGTAGCAAACAAAACACATTGAGGGGGTGGTTCTGACTGGCGTGTCCTACTCACTGGGTCCACAGATGCTCTTTTGGCATCTTCCGCAAAATGCGGTGTTTGGCACTGCGGGGTGTGACTTCTACCTGGCACTTTAGAAGAATCACATGTTTCACGGCTGACTCCACTCCTGAGGTGCTGGCGGAGACGGTCATGCGCTGTGACGTGCAATGGATTCCCATGGATAGACTGGATACCCCCCTTGTATTCACGGTGAATTACATTATGATACCCAAATTTATCCCTACCATTGGTGGCACAACTAACAAAACATTGTGATGGGCTCTCTGCTGAGACTCATGGTCGAGGTCCTGGTGCTCAAAAACTTCTTCAGGGATCGTCAGAAACTCCAGCGGCAGGCTATCTACATCTTGGTCGAAGGTCACTGCTGTGGTGGGTGCAGTGCTACCACCTCCGGATGAAGATGCGGCGGCTGCATTCTGGCCCCTATATGGACACTCTGCCTTCCAATGTCCCTTTTGGTTGCAGAGGCGACATGTTGAGGACATGATCCGTTCTTGGAGGGTCTTTCTTGGACGATTCTGCCATGGTGGCGGACTTTTACCTTTGCCCCCCTTGGATCCAAATCCCTTGCCTTTGCCTCCAGAAAACGGTCGGCTTGGAAAAAAAACCACGGTTCCTGAATCTCTCAGCCAGGCGGTGTCTTGCCTGTTGATATGCGGTCAGAGTCACCGCCAACTCAGAATCTTCCTGGATGGTGTCCTGGGCTGCTAACTCAAAATCTGCTACGAGGACTGCATCAGCGTCCCCTTCAGAGGCTAACTGCTCCAAGTACTCCTCCTCGGTCAGATCTTCTGAGACCTGTTGTCCTGAGTCGGTCTCCTCAGTCTCGCATGTTGCATCGGCCAAAAGGGCCTCTTGATCATACACCTTCGATCGTGTTGATTTCTTCTGGTTCGTCATGTCTTGGAAAAAGCTTGCACCCAACGTACGGATGACTTCTGTCACCTTCGTTACTGACAACTTTCCAGCTGCTTCGGACTCAAGGATGATCTTTTTCTTTTCCTCGGTGCTCAGCTGTGATCCTCGCAAGAGGATGTATGCCTGAAGGTCCTCCAGTGACATCTTTCTCGCCAACAGTCTTGACCACAGAACATCTGCTCTTGCCAAAAAACTGTCATTTGACTCATCACTACGTTGGATTGTCTCAAAGATCGCACGTTCAGCATCTTGATACTGGCGCTGCAGAGGTATACGGCCCCACTGGCCACCCAAAAGTTCCACAACCCGGTGTACTGATTTCTCACTGCCGTCCAAAAGTTCGGCCTGGTAGATCTGCAATTTTTGAAATGCAGACCCTTTGCACCCCAGTATCAGTCTTGTCACCAATTCTGTTGTACGAGCCTTAGGCCATGCTGCATAAACCAGTTCCACCTTCTGCTGGTAGATGAGAACGTCGTCAACTGCTGGATCAAAAGTTGGGACAAGAGATGCGAGCTGGTTGCTCACACCATTGCCACCTCCGGTTTCTGATCCTGCCGCACTTACTCCAGACATTGCCCCGGATGCTCCTTTGATGGAGCTCCGCTACCAATGAGAATGGCAGCACAGCTCTGCAAGGTGAACTCCAAGGTGATCAGGAAAACTGTTGAAAATGGTTGTTGTCTCAACAAATGAAAATAAGGATATTCCAGCTCTGCAAATGGTAAAAATGCTTCTATGCCAGTTTCCCTTTTCCAAACTGCAGGACGCTCCCAAAGCTTGCTTTTCAGCTTCCACTGCACCAAGTCTGCCGGCCACGGCACAAGGTAAAAAGGGCGTCCACACCCTATCGCAATGGATTGGTGACCCGGTCACCTGCTTATGGCTGCAAGGCACTATGTGCCACAAAACCCACCCGCCTCGCTCTCCTGAGCCAAGTGCCTGTGGTAACAGACAGAGTTTGCCCAATGGTCATGTACCTGACGGAGACAGATCTGAAATAGGAAAATCACACAGAGGGTATGTAATTATATATATATATATTCATAGTCAGTTAGAGGATGTGAATAGCTTTGATCATTTCTTCACATTTCCAGTGACTCCACTCACCCGACGTCTTAATGGCTCCGGCTTTGACAATGACTAGACTAGACCGAGAGTTACCTCCCTGGACCGCTGCACTTTTTTCCAGGATCTGGCCCTTTGGGACTGTACAACGCTCCTCACACCCACCATTCACGGTGAGGCCTGCGGCCTGCCGTACGGTTGAGTCTTCCGCAATTCCAGCCAGGCGATGGGAACGAAGGCTCCGTTAGAATAGTTAAAATACTATGGGACGGACCGAAAATAACTCAGGTACCATCTGGTTATGACTAACATAGCCATGGAAAATCACCATGCTATTAATAGGTAAACCATCTATTTCTCTGGGCCATCTATACCATGGCTATGTTAGTCATAACCAGAGGGTAAACCTCTTGACAAAGGAAGTCTGGATATTGTAGGTGGTATTCAGTAGCTGGTCACATTCACCGTCAACATGCCGCAAATGATGTCCCAGTACGAGACTCCCAATTTGAGGACGAGGACAAGTGAGACATCTAGACTATCACAATCTACCCTCTGGTAAATTAACATAGCTATTGAAAATTGCAATTTATAGTTGATTTACCCATGAAAAATATGTTATTTTCCATAGTTATGTTAGTTTACCAGAGGGTACTTGGGCTGAATATACAGTCCATCAAATTGCTAGGAAAACATTGTCTGATTCAGTGCAAGGTATACGGTACACTCCCAAGGCTTTGGACCTAGCATCGAAAACCTCAACATCCGGCACACCACGCATCAGGTGGGAGTCTAGACATGTGAAAATCAGAGATGTGCAAATCTCACATCCCAGCTGTCCAAAGTGGGTTAGTTTCCATCCTCCCAGCTGTATCTTCCGCAGTCATTTTCTGTACTCACAAGGAGCCCCCTGCCATGTAATGACAACATATTTGGCATAGAAACTGATACAGTACCAAAAGCATCAGCGACAACAATCCGTCGTTTTACAGAGTATTTAAACAATCCCATGTCATGCCCCGGCATCATTTTGTCACATAAGTATCCATAATTATCCTATTATCTTCCCATGAAAATCATCAATAGGATAATTAAATGATATTAGGATAATAATAAGATAATCATCAATGTCCTATGATCTTATTATCCTATTATCTTATCACAATAGCTGTTGGCCGGAAACCATTCGGGGGTGTCTGCAGTCTCCTTTCCTACGTCGTGGGTGTCTGGGTCGTGGTTGTCGGCCGTTGGCCGCTGAGATTCGCTCTACCCAAACTCGTCTGCACAAGGACTTGGACGATTCGGCCCTTTTTTGCGGCGTGAATTCCAATCATATTACCATGATATTAAGTAATACGAAGTCCAAATTACATGATTTTTGTTCGATATATTAAGTAATATCCCGCAGGATCCATGGTGCTGCCATATATGGTAACATTGATCCCATTCATATACCCCCATTATGTTAGCATATATACCAGCACCATGGATCCTATGGGTAAGTCCATGGCTAGTGATTTCACTCATTCGTTTTTGTGGTCGAACGGTTCTGTTTTGCCCCCACGGACACCGCATCGGAGCCCGCAGATCCGACGTTTTCCATGCTGAAATCGCCTGGGGGATCTGTGTGTTTTTGTTTACTAAAACCAATAGCTAAAAGCCTAAATCCCTAAAAGCCTAAAAGCCTAAAAGCTAGATTAAAACCCTAATTCCTAAAAATATAAGCTAAAGCGAAAATCGCTGAGTATAGCCAGTGTTTTCATTCATCCTCTGGTGACAAGTATATGTTTGAGGGTGTGGGCCAACGTGGGGTTTGGAGGGAACATGTTTTCCTGTGGAATATGTTAAGATTTGGTAAGTAAAGTGGATATAATTTGTATACATATATATATAACATATTTGTATATATATAACATAATATATATAATATATATAATTATACATATATATAATATACAATATAAATATATTATATAATAGAATAGAAATTATATTTTATCATATATAATATGTATGATGTATACACATTTTGCACACATATTCCCAGATTAGAGAAACTAATTTGAACATCTATACACCATCTATACTTATCATCTGCTTCTTTTTGACATTTCTTGGGATATGAGTAGAGTCCATATTTCGGTGAAAACTTGGTCATGCCAAGTCCATCGGGTGCTCAAACAGCCTCAGGTTCCGCCGTGGTAATTGACAGATCCAACTGCTGATCCAGCCCAAAGAAGGAGTCCGACATGCCTTGGAGATGAATGCAGCCCGGGTGGAGCCAGGCAGCCGGTCCAAACATGTCAAAAAATCATTTAAAAAAATAGCAATTCTAGTGTTGTCCCAAATCAAAATTCTGGATTTGTATATTCTTTATTTATAGTGTTAAGAACTTTAGTCTACTTGAGGCTGAAGGAACAACGTTGAGTCATGTTACGATGACTGGCAATACTGTCATGCAGCTGGAAAAAACTGTTCCCCTAAACAATGTTCTGGGTGTGTGTTCGTACGTCTATGTTCACGTTCTTAACCCAATCCAACAAATGTGTATATATATATGTATATATATACGTACTATTATATAATTACTATTATGAATATAAGAGTTAGCCATTACTACACTTTTATCAGTCAATTGCAGCAACTCAATCTTCTCCAAAGAGTCGCCTTTGACCGTGCTGGGCATCCCCGACAGAGCACGGACAAAGTGAAGGTTTCGCCCACTTCATCGGCGGGAGAACAGAACTGGAAGCTGATGCGCTTTTCGAAGCGTTGTCTGCGGAGGATTTTTTTGCAGAGCGCGGAAAAAATAACGGACGTGATTTATCTGATTTTGAGATCACCCAAAATAAAACTCACCAAGGTAGCAACCATGAAAGATATGGGATGAAATTGGTACAGCAAGACTGGCTGTGATGCTGGGGCTTTAATTAGTCTGATTAAATACGAATGGCCAACATACAAAATCCAACTAATGTGGTATGTTCATAGGCATTTTGCAATTCTGGACAGGGCAAGTTCGAAGTCATATTCAATCAGCCTGCAAAAAAACACTCGTTGGAACCTCAAGTTGATGAAAATCAAAGCCATTGCACAGAGAATAGTGATTTTGACCGAATATGGCCCAATGAATGGTAATTGATGATTCACCGACTTGAGATAAGATGAGTTCGGGAAATCCGCCCATTGCTCATCAAAATACCTTTTATCTACCATAATTCTCCCAAGTGATCGTATGTTCCACAGCTGCAAATTCTTTATCACATATATGGTTATGGGTCATATATGCCCACCTAATGAAGCCATAGCCATAATAGCCATAGTGTGATGTTCATCCCACACACTAAGCTTGATAGATGTTTTTTAATCGCTTTTGACCCATCCCCATGTCGTTTTCCCGAGCCATCACGGCCGTGATGCGGCCGGTGATGGGATGGCCATCCGTACCTGGTTGGCATCAGGGCTTTCTTGATGGAGACCAACTCATCCACCTTGCAGGGGAAAAAAGTCACACCACCACGGCCGCTTTTTTCCGAACCCACCGAAACTCCCTGCCATGCCTCGGTATCCCCCAGGATGCACCACCAGGAGTAGGTCTTCTTCTTAGGGAACCTGTCACGAAAACAGTGATGACTTCCAGGAGGTGATTGTTCTAGCGCCTGAGCCAAGTTTCTTCTAAAAACACATATTACCTTTGTCCAAACGCCATTGTGGCTTTGACTGCTGATGAACGAGTACACAGCGGAGCTACATTGATACTTGACCATGTAATGGCCTGTGGCCATCGATATCCTGCAGAAAGTTACTGTTATTTCAGCAGGAACGAAACATATTCCTCCATAGATCCCTGTGTTGGTATCCATCCATCAACTCCTGAACTAGTGGCTTTACCGACCCGCAAACCAGAAAAAGTCGATATTGGATGATGGGGATATTTCAGAAATAGGGTTTATCTACTTTCCTAATTTTGAGGATATACAGCTGAACATAATTCACCTGTGTTTTTTTCTGAAAACATATCATTTTTGTGACAAAACCATCAACCAGAAGTCCGGCTGCATTACAATAATTCACCAACCTTTTCAAGTGATGAAAGTCCGAAACAATCGCTGGCACCGACGGTGGCACCTAGGCGCGTGGACGAACTTCATCGGTTCGTTGTCGTAGCACAAGACCACTGTGAGTTCCAGCTCCCGATCGGGTGGCACCTCACGACCCAGGCGACCCAGTGATCGATTGTTTTTGTTAGGCCCCAATTGATTGGGGGCTATTAACCCATATGAACCTTCATCTAATCTAGAAATGATGTTGCAAATCGTGTTGATAAAGAAACGAAGATTCGATAAATGGATGCTATATGATGCTATTAACCTGATATGTACTGTTTTGGTGATTCAGAACCGATGATTAGGTAATTCATAATAAGTTAGAAACTGGTTTGGTGTGTTTACTAGTTTCTAATCCACACGCATATCGCGACAGTCATACATAATATAGATAAAAAAACAACTTGAAAGATAAACCTGGGGAAAAAAAACACAAAATGTGTACTTCTCTCCAATATTAGTAGTCAATCTATAATCAATAAACAATCCCAAAACCTCAATCCCGGAGGTCCGACACTCTTCACAACTTATGCTCCCAAGCCTCTTCCCCTTCGTTTCTCCCAGGATTCCCAGGCCTTGTAAGGAGACGGCACCAGCTTCCCCTTGCGACGTTTCACCTTGCCGTCCTCTGGCTCTGGCTGCGCTTGGGTCTCGTCCTTGGGCTCCTGGTCGCGGCATTTCGGATGGATGTTGCTGTCTGGGGCATGCTGGGGATGCTGGGGTGTGGGACCCAACAAACCTGGAGATATTAGTGTGTTTTATGAGATTTGATGGAAATTTTATGGTGATTTGAATGGAATTTCATGGGATGCATGGTGATTTTAAGTGGGACTTCATGGTGATTTATCGGGATTTGATTGGATGTTCATTAAACTTGATCGGATTTAATGGTGACCATGTTTCGGTAGGTGATTTACATGGGACCAGGTGTGTTTTAAAAGAAATAAGGGGATAGGGTGAGTGAATTTAGTGAATGGTTAACCACAGGTCAGTTTAACTGGGGTATTTTTGGCTCGCAAATCCAGTTTTGCAAGCCCCAGCAGTACTGAATCCACAGTCACTATCACCATTCATTTTGCCATTTATATACATACTGTAAGTTTTGTTTAATATATTAGTTTTGTTTAAAATATGGACATATATATATATAATAATAATCATAATAATAATAACAATTAACAATTAAAACAAAGTAATACATAGTAACAACAAGTGTAAAAATAACTAATAGCAAAAACAATGACACTTATAATTCCTACAATATACACATGGTTACATAATATCATCTATACATACATATTTGGGAAGCCTGTATATCTTTGATGCAAATGTGGGGCTGATTATGAGTAGCCTTTCTCAGTATTCAACAGTTTTTTTTTTTTAAATTACATATTATAACGTATAGAATTTATCCAACCATCCACAGTCTCCATCCTATTTATACGTGGGATACATTTACAATGTTGCCCCCAATATATACGATTATATCATCCCATTCAATCAGATTGAATCACCAGTGTTGTTGGTTAAATAGGTTAAATCCATCTAAATCACCACTTTTCTCCATCCCACAATTTCAAGGAAAAGGCTAGCCCCGCCTCTGGATCCAAAATGCGAAGCTCCACGCGCATGCGCAGCCTGGCGAGAACTTCTGCGTGGGAAAATCCCACCCTCAGAGACCTCACCAAATGAGTCTTGCCGAACAAGGCTGGTAAAATTATGCCACATATCATAACTGGTTGGTGGTTTTAACCATCTTGAAAAATATTAGTCAATGGGAAGAATTTTCCCATATATTATGGAAAATAAAAAATGTTTGAAACCACCAACCAGATAATCAATCCAATAATTAATCTCACTAGTTTGCTTATTTGTGGATTAAAACCATTCTCATCTCCGCAAGCATGATCATTATCATTGTTCCAAAACCACCTTCCCAAACATCTCATCTTGGAATCAAACGGCCCTTGAAACATTCGCAAAGTGAAACTTACAAAAATTGCAGGACCTGACCTGTCCCATCTGTCCCCGTTCCGCCATGTTCCGCCATGTTCCGCCATGTTCCGCCATGTTCCGCCATGTTCCGCCATGTTCCGCCTGGGCATATCCTGCACGATTTGCAGCAATTCTTTATGCGCGTCGGCGCTGGGAAGAGACAGCTTCGTCAAGATCTGGCAGTGGTTTTGGCAACCCATGGGCCTCATTGGGCCTCATCGGGCCTCATGGGTTGAACATGAACACACAGTGAGGGACCAACACCCACCTGGTTATGGATTGCTAGTGGAAACTCTTGAATGATATGAAGAGAAAGGACATGGCCATAATATATATATATATATGTGAATGGACATGACATGGTTCCTTCATATCATACATCCATACTCTATATCTATATGCATATGTACATATGAAAAGTTATAGGAACAATTCTGAAAATATGGGTTTGAGCACGCTCCCTCTTAACCACTGGATGTCCATTCCCTATGGACAACTCTCCAACTCTCTTAGAGCAGTCTTTCCCTTGGTGTCCACCATTACTAGTGCCATCAGCCCAAAATGGATGCTTCAGACCCTAAAAACAAGTCATTTTTTCATCAAACAACCAATCCACTTCTGGTTACATTCAATGTCTATATACTATAGATATTTACATATAATATATGTATGTATACATATATATATGTATCATATATATATATATGTTTAGTTGTATATATATATATATAATTTTACACTATATTAAATATTATGAACTTGTGTATGTTTCAATAAAGTGAATGATAGTAATCTACCCAGGTTCTCATAGGCTGACCTTGGCTCGAACCCCACAGACACCCCGACCTTGGAGGCATCCCGTCGTTCAATCAACTCCGGCAGACTGTCCTTGGATGCGGTACTTGGGGTTGACTGGGGTGGAAAAAAGGGCTACATATAGCTATGGTAATATGGTAATAACTATATGGTAATCCCATAATTAACCATATGGGGATGGGTCAAAACCCTATCCCCCTGGTGAACATCAAAATAGCTGGTAAATGGATGTTCATCACCCTAAAAATGGCATGTATAGGTATTGATCCATAGCCATATCTAGTCCAAAAAGGGCAAAAACAAATCCATAAGTTGAGATTTAATGACTATAAGTATGATTCATTATTGTTCTACATCCACTAAAAAAAATGGAATTGCACCACCAAACCACGGGATGTCTTGCTGAAATCCACCAGTTTTGATGCGTTTCGAGGTCCTAACACGAGAGAAGTGTTTTGGAACGTTGGAGTTTTGGTGGAAGTCGTAACATCAGCAATGAATAACATGTTGAACACTAGCTTTTACAGCAAAGAAAACAAACATATATATACAGGCATGGAATAAAACATCGTGCCTAGCACTAGCTCACTAACAGCCCAGAAATTCCAATTTGGTACCCCAAGGCCTGGTAGTGATCAGCTAAGGATCTACACCCATGTCCCTCAAAATCCGCAAAGCTTTGTCAGACCTCAGGTGAGGCGGCCCAAAGGAAAGCTGATGGAAAACTAAAAAAAAACAAACACGTGGCTATGGTGGCACCCAAATTTGGATGCGCCATACCCGCGACGTGACTGTTTTTTTTTGTGAAGTAGACGATGGGTTTGAACTTATAGCCCAACACCTCAGTCAATGTAAACAAGAAGTGGGGAGACCATCTCAGATACCATGCACACAGCAACGTGAATATCTAGATCATTCTAAATCTATTTACCTGAGTAACATATGTCTACATCATTTTTTTTTCACAACCTATATTTGCTGGCTATCTTTAACCTGGCAATAGAAGAGTTTAAATCCATTGTGATAAGTCTAAGCATCTATAGATGTCCTGAAAATTAACATAGACCCTGGCAGATAGGGGTTGGAAGACTGGTTTCCACTAAAAATGGCTTATTTTGAGGGTCCAACTGTTAATTTACCTGAGGGTACCCTCTGGTAAACTAACATAGCTATTGAACATGACCCATTTATAGTTGATTTACCCATTGAAAGTGGTGATTTTCCATGGCTATGTTAGTTTACCAGAGGGTAAATGTGCCGAAAATTGCCTTGGGTGAAATTGACGTGTTCCTATTTCGATCAGCTCACAGGCCCAGGCATACCCCGTCCTTGCACCGCTAAGGCACAAGTGCGGCAGCGTTGCCAGCGAACTTCGCCAAGGTTGATGGGCCTCCAGACGACTGGGGGGGCCAAGCGTAAGAGGTGATGCATGGAAGCTTGCCGGGATATACTGTCAATATGGGAAAATCATAAAAAAGTAATGGACATAAAATAAGATGAAATAAGGCTATACATATGATTTCTGGGAAATGATAGTAATTCACTCACCTGAAATAAGATGAAATTGTTCGGCTATATTGGGAGAATTCCCCTTGTTCGCCATGATTGTTTTGTGAGGTCGCCTTGTGAGGTCATTGTAATCTGCCCAGTCCCAAGATTCCAAAGTCGGATAGTTCACCTCATAACTGGATTAACCTTATACAGCCCTATTATGTTATACTATATTAATTATATTCAGGGGCCAGTTAACAAAATATTATGATGGTATAACATATACTAATGTTAACTGACCTACTATTATACTATTATATATAGGGTTAATTATGTTATACTATTAAATATTGAATTAATTCAGGTGAACTGACCTACTGGCATGAACCACAAAGTAGTAATATGGTTCAGTAATATAACTGTGTGTGTTTCATGAACATGTAAAATAATATAATGATATATACAGTATCGAAGATCTGGGATGTATTATATATATATTTATGATGATATGATATAATCAACAAGTAAGGAATTTTATTTCATTGCTTTAACCAACAAACATTGGCATTGCACCTACCAAAATAAACCAACCAATGTTTTATGGGCATAAAATGAGATCTGATAACAGGATACATACAGACTGGGGACTGGATGTGGGTTTGCCTAAACATAGGGAGCTGGTTCTCCAAGTTATGGCAACTGGAGTGGATAATATTCTGATTGACCAGCAGATGTTGAGATATCCCAATTCTAGGATAAACCCTGTCGAAGATTTACCATCTATTTCAGCCCTTAGTCATCCTACTCTTCAAGTGGGTACCTAAAACATCGCCATTGATGGCCTTGAGGTCTCCGAAATGTTGACCAAAATGTCATGAACAGCTGACATCAGCTGACTATCCAACCACACATGTCATGAACTCCTGGCCCTTTTTTTGGGTGCTATACATTCCTGTGAATGGATTCCATGGCGATCATGATCATCCCTTGACCGCCTGGTGTAAACACTGCAGCAACAGGATGAGATTCAACGTTGATCGTAGCTGCGCCTGGCGACGACATGAATCGACCCGACACGGTGTCATCAATTGTGGCCACTGGGAAATCCACAAAGCACATGGAGCAACTAGTGGCTAAGTGGTGCATAATCACGTGAAAGCAACGGATCATATATCCCAGTACAATATATTATTGGTTTATGGCTTATTATATACCTTTACCTGAACAAAGATGCACAAAGAGCATGATCAGATTTCATTTCCACCTTCCACCAACGAGCCGCACGTGAGTTTCCGGCACCTCCTCTGCAGCGATATCCACCATGGCCATGATCAATGGGATGGATCGATCGAGCACGCTCCTCGGCCACAAACATAGATTGATTGGGATCAGTATCTCAGGGCAACAAGAAGTAATTTGTGTAATCACTGGTGGATACTGGTGGCTTTGTGGCTTTAAACTCATACTGTGGACTTTGAAAACATACCTACAGTTTTTCCCCACCTGCCAGGTGAGGGTTGTTAGATTTTATGTCAGTTGCCTCCTCCTCCTTCTCCTCCTCCTCCTCCTCCTGCCTCGTCCTCCTCTCCTCCTCCTCCTCGTCCTCCTTGTCATCCTTGTCGTCCTTGTCGTCCTCGTCGTCCTCGTCGTCCTCGTCGTCCTCGTCGTCCTCGTCGTCCTCGTCGTCCTCGTCCAACTGCGACCCGCGATCCACAGTGTTCTCTGCCGGACCTCAACCACGACCATCCACGCCCAGTGTTCCCTGCCGGACCTCAACCACGACCATCCTCGCCCAGTGTTCCCTGCCGGACCTCAACCACGACCATCCACGCCCAGTGTTCCCTGCCGGACCTCAGCCGCGAGTATCCACGCCAAGTGTTCCCTGCCGGACCTCATGTAGGAAGATATGGGACAAAGAATGTGCAGAAGAAAGTTAGAAAGAATGTCAGAAAGAATGTCAGAAGATATGCCAGAAGATATGCCAGATAGAATGCCAAATAGAATGCCAGATAGATGCCAGAAGATATGCCAGATAGAATGCCAGAAGATATGCCAGATATAAGATGCCAGAAGATAATATGCCAGAAGATATGCCAGATAGAATGCCAGAATGCCAGATAGAATGCCAGAAGATCAGAATATATGCCAGAAGATATGCCAGATAGAATGCATCAGATTTGCCAGATAGAATGCCAGAAGATATGTCAGATAGAATGCCAGAAGATATGCCAGATAGAATGCCAGAAGATTTGCCAGATAGAATGCCAGAGATATGTCAGAATATATGCCAGAACATATGCCAGATAGAATGCCAGATAGAATGCCAGAAGATATGTCAGAATATATGCCAGAAGATATGCCAGATAGAATGCCAGAAGATATGTCAGATAGAGTGCCAGAAGATATGCCAGATAGAAGGCCAGAAGATTTGCCAGATAGAATGCCAGAAGATATGCCAGATCATATGCCAGAAGATATGCCAGATAGAATGCCAAATAGAATGTCAGAAGATATGTCAGATAGAATGCCAGAAGATATGCCAGAAGATATGCCAGATAGAATGCCAAACAGAATGTCAGAAGATATGTCAGATAGAATGCCAGAAGATGTGCCAGTAAGAACATGTATAAATGTCATGGTGGGGATCACACGAAGTAAAGTAATTTTTTTGAATCCCAATTTGACAAATGTCCTGATCGATACTGATCGGATTATGGGTCAACATTTGTTTTCAAAGCACGACTTGGGAAACATTCAGTGGCGAGTCTGACATCAATTCAGCCTCTTCTTCCCATGACTTGGACTTGGAGATTTGGAAAATCATGGAAAATCCAGAGAATCCAAGATGCTTCAAGTCTGTCTTGTAGTCATTGATCGGTAGAGCAATACCCCACATGTGGGCCTTGAGAAGATTAGCAGAGAATATTGGGTGACACTGAACAAAGCATGGTGCGTCATATGTGGTTAGTGGATGTTTGAGGTTTCAATCTCCTGCGTATGTCTACCCCTTGGAAACTGGACCGCATGTTGTAGGGACCTGGGGGCTCCAAGGCTGAAGAACAATTTAGAGAAACTAGAACCACAAGGTAACAGTTGGTCAAGATATATCAACATTAGTCATTTCCGGAATCATGATCTAGAATTTCATGCGGGTACTTAGGTACGTCAATGTACACTCCTTTGGTTTGCTTGTGCTTTTGGGTACAGCAGATTTGGATATGTATGTTTGCAGCTAAACTAAATGCATGTACATTGACCTTAAAAGCAGCAAATCACTACATGTAGTAAAAACACCTACTGCTTGGGAATAACATGCCGAACTTGCGGGTACAGGGTCAACACAAGTCAATCACCCTCCACCTGAAACGTGGACCCAGACATGAGGTGATAATCTTCATGCAGTTGCCGCTCACGGGGCCAAATTCTTATGCGTTTAAATATGTTTAAACTGGTGTCCATCATATTGCAATTCGAGAACCCCATCCTTGGATACTTTTGGATACGATGGATGGTCGAAGTCCCCATGCTCCGTTTTTCCCATGGCGACCCCAAGCCCGGCTGCCTGCAGTAGCAGGAAGGCTTTGGTGTGAGGCGAGTCATAGGCTTGGATCGCTAAATCCACCTGGCCGCCGTTCGATCAGTTCGATTCGGGCATAACCCACGATTCTTGTTGTAATCAACGCATTTGTTTAAGGCTTACCAATACTGGTTTGTGGTTTCAACCACCCCTCTGAAAAATGATGGACTTCGTCAGTTGGGATGATGACATTCCCAATATATGGAAAGTCATAAAACTCATGTTCCAAACAGCGAACCAGTTATGAAAGTCAGTTGGGATTATTTTTCCCAATATGGAAAGTCATTCAAAATTCCATATGGTTCCAGTCACCACCAAGCAGAAAACTACTAGGCTGTTCCGGGTTTTCCAGTCATCTCCATTCTGAGATTGTGCCAGTGCATGCTCCATGGATAAAACGGCCATTGTGATATATGGTGGCTATAATCCTGATGGTTCTGTCATCAAATTCCTGCATCCTTTAACTGTAAGGCACGAAATACCAGTTATATAGTTATATATATATATGGTTATGTTTATGGCTATTTGGATGGAGTTACCATTCATATATGGGGTGACTTCCTGACTTATAATTGGTCACTGTAGTACCTACAGTACTTGGATGTGCATCCCACTTAGTAAGTGGTTTAATATACATAATCCATAATATATATATAAATAACCCATACATAATTTCACATGATATATTTATAAGTGGGGATATTCCATAGATAATACGGGTCCGAATTATTGTTCACAAGCGTACTGCATCTGTGTTGCGGATGAATTGCCGGGCCTCAAGCGGACAATGTTCCGCGAACTCTGCGTTGAGTTTGTCCTCACAAAAGGAGCAATTTAGCAAAAGGCACAACGGTCACCAGATGAAAATAGGGTAGGGTGTTCCTCACTCCATGAAAATGGATTATCTACCTTTTGACAATGATTTTTTCATGGTATGTTAAATAACCATATCGGATATAACATGGTGTCTGAAAATGAGTGCAAAAACCACCCAAACGGCCATATGCGAGTGGACTCACCTTACTCACCTGGCAAATGCCATGCTTGCCATGCAACGTTAGATTATTAGAGAACATCAGAGTCTTGCAATAGATGGTTAATAAACCCTTACAAGAGGGTTTTAATAAGCCTTCAATAAGAGCTTAATTGGGGATCCCCATGATGTTGTCGGATTCAATTCAACAAGCTATCAACATGTACAACAAACCCAAGGGGGGGACCTCTGCCCAGCACCAAGGTAGGCCCATAAGTCATAGCCTGGATACGCTTGGATTATAAACCCAACCAACTATGTATAAATATATATATACATACGCAGGCTATAATATGTATATGGATACATATCATAGTATGTACTCTGATATAACTATGAATATGTCAACTATAATGTATATAAATCTTAGAATCTTATAGATAGATAGATATAATTATATATATATATATGATATATGATATGATATGATATGTAGTATACAATGTATCTACCTTGTCAGCCTCACTTAGCCGCTCTCAAAGTCTTAGGTGTGTTCAACCGCCGTCCTCATTGTGCCGCACAGGCAGTTCGTCATACTCAGGGCCTCGGGGAATCGAGTCACGGGGGAAGCTTGGAAAGTCCCTGGGAAACGTGTGAAGCTATGGAAAATGGCCCATTTATAGTGGATAATCCGGATTTACCCATTGAACATGGTGATTTTAACCATAGTTTTTTTTATGTTCACGTTTACCAGAGGGTACATGGTTTACAGTAACAGATGAATCTATGAACTACATAGACTAACGGGTGAATCAAGTGTTGGAAATTCCCGATTTGTAATTGACAGGAGAACTTATACGTAGACTTTATGCGTGTAATGCTCACTTCCAGTATCTATATGTAAAATCATGTAAAATCCAAATCAGTCTCTCTCTCTCTCTCTACATATACGCATAGATATACAAATGACAAACAAACATATGTATGATGTCATTGCATGTGGAGTATGGAAGACATATGCTTTTGGCTTTTGACTTGATCTGATTTCACTCAAGATCCCCTTTCACCGGTTCCATTTCGTTATCACATCATGTTCCCTGCATCATCCCATCATCCCATCAATAGTCGGACTTGAAGTTGCAGGATCTACAGGAAACGTCTGGTACATAGATCCAAGTACCCATAAAATGGGTATATAAAGGTTATAACTATAGTTACAACTAGTTATAACGTTGTCATAATGGCTACCTCATCCCATTTTTTCGAGGTACCTGGAGTGTCTATATCAGGCAAGATACACTCGCAGAGCACACGCATGATCTCTACGAAACTCATGCCTTCACGCGCCAGCGTACGTTGAAACCTGAGCGCTGTTACAGCGTGGGTCAAGCGGCGCTGAGGATTTATATCTGTTGAGGTAGGAGAAATCAATGGCACCTGGTTGGGATAACTCAAACACAAATTTATGCAATTAGAGCACCATCTTTTCCAGAGACTCTTCCTACTTTTGGATTCTTATGATCTATAGACATATGATATGAGACATATATTTAATATTATTTAATTTACCCTCTGGTAAAGTAACATAACTATGGAACATCACAATTATTAATGGGAAAACTCACTATAAATGGCAAGTTTCAATAGCTTTTTGTATGTTTACCAGAGGGTAGATTGTGATAGTCTAGTTTTGCCCATCAAAAATAGGGATCTTTCATATCTACAATGTGGTGCCCCCAAGATAGCGTTCAGTTGGTTTATAACTCTAATAACTAGGACTTATGGTAGATATATCTATAGTTAATGGGATTATAAACCAACTTATAACTGGGGGACACCACCTTCTATGTTAGTTTACCAGAGGTGCTCTTCACCTGATTCAACACTTTGCCACGCCGCGTCAGCACGCTTTCGCCAAGAGGCTGCGCTACGGTGCGATGACTCCTGGGAGATACGACTACGCCAACATCACATGGCAAATTCGTATACCCATAGGATCCATGGTGCTGGTATATATGCTAAGATGACTGGGGTATATTGATGGGATCCATGTTACCATATATTGCCATATATGGCATACATGGATCCTATGGGATAGTACCAGAAAAAGATGGAAAAAACACATGGAAACAATTCTTAAATAGCGATTATTTTTTTTTGAACGATTTGGGTTTTGGATGACTATCCGTATCATCTGTGAATCTATTGTGGGAAGGGGATGATCCGTGCATACAACTTGCCAAAATGAACTGTACAAGTAGAAGTGAAATCCAATAGTTGAATAATGTTTTTCTTTTTTAAATAAAGGTCCATGGCTGAGTTGAACGACAAAAACACGTATAGAATAATGTGACATTGCCATAATGTAATGAAATACAATTTATCTATAAATTACAATATACAGTAATATAATTTGACTACCAATAAATCATTTCCTCTCTAAACAATTTGGCTTCGTAGCTTAAGACCATCAAGCAGGGCAAACTAGCCGCTATTTATGGGAGGTATGTGGGATCCGTCCAAGCAGTGAAGATCTTTTTGAGCACATCATTTAAAATAGTCAAGAGGCCCCCTAGTATTAAACATTGTTAACAACACCTCGAAAACCACAGTGGATTTAAGGGATGAAATCACACATTTGGGACCATACAATGGGTGTGTTTAATATTTATATATATACATAGATAATTATATACATATTATGGTGGGTGGGAAGACATTGTTCTGGCCAGAATGAACTATATAGTCTGGCACTACAACAACTTGACATATTGGCCCAGCAACTGGGAACTCACTGTGTCCCTGAAGATGAAAAGACATAAACTCAACCGAGGCTCAAATAGTAAAGCGATGTGATCCGTCCCAACTTGGTCGGCTCAACCAGTGCAGAGTTTAAGCCTGAGACCAGAGCTCCGACAAGGCACCTACACAGAAATGGGGTTACACCCAAAAAAGTTCAGGGGGTGTCCAAGCCCCTAAAACATAGTACGTGCCTTTACTCAATTCATCTGAATCCTGTATCGTCATTGTTGGTTCCATTCTGCATCCAAACCTATTTCCTCAACGATTTGAGGGCATGGGTGGACTTAATCAGAATCACCATTTACACAAGCAACTAAGCAACACTTCAAGTGTTGTTTAAGGCCCACCAAAAAAGGTGGGACATATCTGGAAACACGTGACCCTCAACTCCTTTCTACGTCGAGTCTACTCCATTACTCCTTTGTTTAGAAGGGAGTGAAGGTAACTAAAAACATCCAAAAAACCACAGAAAGTACCCTCTGGTAAATTAACATAGACCCTGGCAGTCATCGGGGTTGGAAGACTAGTTTCCATTAAAAATTTGTGATTTTCAGGGTCCAACTGTTTATTTACCAGAGGGTACCCTCTGGTAAACTAACATAGCTATTAAAATTGGCCCATTTATAGTTGATTTACCCATTGAAAGTGGTGATTTTCCATAGCTATGTTAGTTTACCAGAGGGTATCTTCCAATGAATTTGGATATAGCAAATCCAAGATTTGCAGATCAAATCGCTGAGTTTCCCCCATGGTTTCACCAAGCCTTGGGGTGCTTGTTGCGCTTCCTTCAGCTCGATACAACCAGATCGGATCAACTCGTCCAAGCATTTGTTCATGAGGCGTTCGATGTAGTTGGCCAGCATATCCTGCAAACAAATCCTGGTCATTTGGAGGATTTAACATGATTTGAACATGCAAAATTATAGGAATCCTATGGGTTTTTCATACATCATTATCTACCTAGACCTTCCCCAGTTCAATAATTTCTGTACTTTTGGGCTTTTGGCCGCAAATGACCGCAACAAGCTGCAAATGCCGCACATAGTTCAAATTGGACCAATCATTCAAAAACACACTTGAACAACATGAAATTGCAAGAATGAAGCTGACTTGACGTATCTTGGCATGTTAGATGGGAGTTTCTGCATGTTGACAAACAAAGTGGACCTGCTTAAAAAAGAAAGAGTAAGAACAACAAATCTACTGGTTGGTGAAGATTGAAGAATATGACAAAACAACTAGGACGCTCAAAGAAGGCTTTGGTGCCACGCTAAAAGCAAGCTTTGCTGGATGGGATACACCAGACCGCTATAGACGTTGAAACAAACTGGATTTTTCTGAGTTTGAAAAAAAACAGAAGGCCCATGTTTTTTTTGCAAGAAATGTCCCAGGAAATTCCAAAACTGCTCTGAATTCAACAAACAGGTCGACAGTTTTCCCGCAGAAAGTGCGCAAATTTCCCGCAAAAATACGCAAATCGGGATTTTCTTAACTGCTGTGGTTCATGCATGTGACAAATCGCAGAAAAAATCGCAGCTTGTCGGAATGGTTATTTCTGCATATGCATGCTTCAACCTCACGAGTTTCAAATATAGCTTAGTAATCTTAGTATTCATGCATGTTTCAGGCTTTGAATCTTTGGCTCCAATCAGCAACACAAACTCTGCAAATTAGGGAAGCACGGGCATTATCACCATGCAATTCCACTGGCTGAATCGTCAGGGATCCATTGCGGCAAGAGTCACTTTTTGTTGAAACTGTTTACATTTAAGATTAAACATGATTAAACATGATTAAACGATATTAAACGTTTCAATCGGCCCAAAAGTGCAGAAATCCCAATTGTACAGAATTTTCAGTACTTTGGAAGGTCCAGGGGTAGATTTTCGATGAGGATTTCATGGGATTTTCATGGGACGAGGATTTTCCAGGCGAAAATGTTCAGATGGGAAAATTGCTACCAGAGCCAGAGAACATCGGAAAGCCTACGTAACTAGTGGGAAGCAATCCGAAAAGAGAAATGGATTCCAAAGGTCGGCACCAAAGATTCAGTTGTGATCCTATCTGATCCTGGCTGTGAAAGTGGAAGCACATGGCTTGCGAAAAAAATGAAATTAGATCAAATCTACAAGACTACGGAGGCTGATCATCCATCAGTTGTTTTGATCTTCGCAGCAATCCAGGACAAAGGCCTCTCCTTCTGCTTCTCGAAATCAGGTGTCTCCAGAAGCGCTGCTTGCTGGTCATAGTAGGCAGGATTTGCAGTCAAGCGGCGGAAGAAGTAAGTCCTGCTCCGATCTGCTGTGGCTGGAACATGGAGTTGTTCTTCTTTTCAAATGGGACAATCACAGGAAAACCATGGGTTATTTGGGAAAACCCCTAAAAATGCAGGTGTTTTTTAATGGGAACTTTGTCTATAATCATGAATGGTGACTTTACCATTGCTAAGGGTACACTATAATCTTCCACACATGATATGGTTATCAATATGGACTTGTAATCGCACATCGTGTCCTTGCCCCCTTGCCTGTCTTTTTCTATCAGGACTTTGGGTTTTGTTCTTATCACCATCACTATCAGCAATCTAGAAATGCATAGAACTTATTTAGGTCATTTCTAGATTGTTGAATGCCTACCCTCCTAAATTGGTTGATCAGGTTCATGGTATCTACTAAATCTAAATCTAGATGGTTCATGCATAGACTGCCCCGACCTTGCACTTCTCTCGTCAAGCCATAAACATTAGCGACAATCAACTGGCGAGCTGCTTCTGAAGTTGAACTCCAGCCCCCCCAAACGCTCCTATTCGCACGCCAAATCATCTATAATAATTCTATAGATATTCAGATATGTTTCAATACTTCAAATACTTCAACTAATAAATTCTATATTTTTTGTCTAAATCTGTCCAATACTTCAACGAACTTCAACCCTAAAACTGCCATGCTTAGAGATGCGCTCCCAATGATCCGCCCCCGTCCAGGTGACGTAATCGATGGCTTCCTCGCGCGTCCTGTGTTGGATAAATCTCTGGGAGCTCGGAATATAACGCTGAAACATATTGGATATTCCATATATTCCATATGCTCCATGTATAGTATATTTAGCTACATAAATGGGTGACTAAATTGGGGTAAATTAATGGGTATTTTACATCCCTATGGATATGATATGATATTCCCCTATGGATCCATGGCCACTGTCTGAGAAGCTACATACTTAAGCCTCCAAATTATAGTAAATGATACCCCAGTCCCACTTCCTAAGAAGGTACGACTGGATCCATAGGGTTCATATGAGATATTAATTTATCATTGTTATACTACAATGTGAGGCCCCCAAGATAGCTAAGTTGGTTTATAACTCCAATAACTATGGTTTATGGTACTTATAACTATAGTTACAGGGGCGAATCTAAACCAACTTATAACTGGGGGGCCTCACATTGTATGAATATATTAATATCATGGCAATATAATTAAGTTAATACCCATCATGTTACTAACCGTCATTTCGTTAAACTATCATTGTTAAACTATACAATGTTAGAACTATTTTCATAGTATATATTGAATTAGTTTAGATTATCATTGTCAATAAACCAAATGAATAGTGACATTCAATTGCTATTCATATGGTTTATTGATGAAAATATCCACTCAATAATCGTACCAACAAATGATTCAACGAGGCACTTGGACGAACGAAGGGCAACGAGTCATGGTCTCAGATGAAACCCCTTTAATCAACCAACCGTACTTTATCAACTTCCACATCTTTTGGATTAAATACGATTAAGTTATCACTTATTAATTACCCCAAAAATAATTGATGACGAATACTTCGACCTGTCAAAAAATTGGATGACACTAATTGACACTAATCCACCAGGGTGAATCCACCCCACTTACGGCACCAGGGACAACTTCCGCGCGCTTCCGGTGCTATGGTGATCTCCTGATGGTTTTCGCCACGATCTCCGCGTTCAGGTGATCCGTGAGCTGCTCGTGCAAGGAGGATTCCACCGGGAAGGGCTCGTAGATGAAACCTACCAGGAGGACTGTGGTTTTTATTACAGACGTGGGTAAAACAAATAAGAGAAAACCACCCATGACTATGGTTGAAAAATAGTGGTTAATAGTTGTTAATAGTGGTTAATGATGGTTAATCATTGGTCCGAAATACCAGTTATACGTACTAAGAAAAGCCCATTTATAGAATGTATAATCCCATAGAAATAACCAGTTATTACATGTTATTACTAATCTGGTTGGTGGTTGAGCCCTACCCCTCTGAAGAATGATGGAGTGAAAGTCAGTTGGGATGATGATATTCCCAACTGAATGGGAACATAAAACATGTTCCAAAACCACCAACCGAATAATAGAAAACCACCCATGACTGGGAATGGTTTATACATGTTTATACCACCTACTAGTACTAGTATAAAATTGGTGATGACTGAGGGATGGTTTATGATTGTCTTATTCACATGAATCGCTGTTGGGTTTTTGGTAGATATACATAAATCATCATAAATCACTGTTGCGGAGTTCTGGAGATGCAATCGAGAAGCGCCGATAGAAGTTCTTCTTCGGCCTTGGACTGAACGAAACTCAGCAATACCCTCCACGCCCAAATTCTACAGGTTGACATACCAGGGACTGGGTCTACTGCGTTGAATGTCCGCCATGCGGATATCATGTCATATAGAATTATAAGTGTATATATATATAGATAGACAATAGACAGATAGAGAATTATATAGAAACCAAAGGATACAAACGCTACATAATGAGATAGAGTAGCAAAAAACAATATCATAATTACAAATTATATATATTATACATAGAGAGCTAGAGATAAGATCCATATCTGTCATGGGTCCCTGACTAGCTGATAGCATGAGCTGATAGCATGGTCTGTCGACATGCCGAGGTGGTTCCAGTGGGCAACTTGTGGTGGATCAAGGTGCATCGCCGTGAAACAAACAATTAGTTGTTCTTCTCACGTTTTTTTTTAATATAATACATTACAGTACATGTAACGGTGATTAGTAATAATTAGATGTAATTAGTATAGGTATGTACAGGTACATTCGAACTGTATTCGAACTGTTTATTAAGAAAATGATAACATACGAGTGTGGGTCCACCAAACTACATTGAACACTCCTCCTATGGCACTAGCCTCCAGCGGATCTTGATCAGACCATGAGCCTGGCCTATCAAGTTGCATCTGTAGAATTCAGAACAGAAATGGCGAACTGTTTGACCACCAGTTGTTCTTCTTTCATCTCTAATTATTCTGTGTAAACAATTGTAAACATATCTATTGAGCATCATAACAATCATCGAAGATTGGATTTGTAGTACAAGCTTGTGTCTTCAAACCAACATACCCTCTGGTAAACTAACATAGCTAATTATGGAAAATCACCATTTTTAATAAATTCCACTATAAATGGCCATTTACCATAGCTTTTTGTATGTTTACCAGAGGGTAACCATCAATTCCTGTGGGTTAAACAACTCGCATCACCAACCAGCGCTTTCCACCGAGAATCTCATGGACCATGACCACGGCTCGAGCTTCGGTATCAAACTGCGGACGTCCCGCCCGGCCCATCATCTGCAAGACATCGGTGATGGGGAAGTCAACCTGGACCATCCCGCCCCGGTTGGCAAACCCCCAAAAGTGAAAGCGACATAAAAACCACCTAGAAATGGTCATAAATGGTTGGTGGTGCAATAACCATCTTAAAAATAGTAGTCAATGGGAAGGATGACATCCTATATAATATGGAAAGTAAAAAATGTTTGAAACCACCAACCAGTCATAAATATGGGGTTATCATTCCATAAATGGGGCGACTTACTGACGACTGGTAAAGGGCCACAACTGGCCCTAATTATGCGCAAAACTATAAACCATGATATGAACATATAAACATGCCTATAAACCATGTATTGACCATGTATTGTCAATATTAATACAAAGTTAGAACAGTCCTAAACCTCCCAAAACAAGCACTGGATCTGCAGCGAGACGTATCGCTTCAGCTGGCCATCATAGTACTCCGTGCCCTTGATGATCACCTCGCTTCAGTCAGCAGGGTTGAACGCCAATATCTATGGCATGCCGTGAACATACAAAAAGTATAGCGAATCCATAGTTTCCCTGAGAAATAATGTAAACATAGTTGTACAAATGGTGTTATTTTTCATTATGTGTTCTTCCATGTCTATGCGAATCTACTGTAATCTTGTTGGAAGGCATGCTGCATGGGGACCTTCTTCACCCCTTGTGAAACGCATGGGATGCAGCCGAAGGACCAAGTGAGCTGGAAAGTTCACGCCCCAGGCCAAGGTGGAAGTTGAAATCAGCACCTCAGCATCTCGGAGACTGGTTCCCGGGGGTTCCCAAGTCATGTGAGGCCCCTGGCCACGATAGCATTCAGTTGGTGAACATAACTCCAATAGCTATGTTTTATGGTACGTAAATAACTATAGTTACTGGGGCGAATCTAAACCAACTTATAACTGGGGGGCCTCACATTGAAGTCATGGGGCTACCCCTTGATCGCTGGATGGTTTATTTCCATGGGGAAAATCCCAATCTAAAAATGGATGATTTGGGGGTAGCCCCGTGACTTAGGAAACCTCCGGCCCATTCAGCAAGATAGACTTTGGGCAATTGGATACAATCGCTGACCTCTTATCTCTCATCACCCATCATCACCCCAAGGAAATCCGTATAAATGTAGTGGATCTGTTCTAGTGTCGACTTTGGGTCCCTTAAAATAGAGACAAGGGCACAAACAAAAACAATTCGGATATGTCGATGCATGTCGATGCTCAACTGTGTCAACTGCCATCAGCTACAATGTGAGGCCCCCCAGTTATAAGTTGGTTTATAAGCCCCAGTAACTATAGTTATAAGTACCATAAACCATAGTTATTGGAGTTATGTTCACCAACTTAGCTATCGAATGGGGGCCTCACATTGTACCAATCTCTTCAAGTCACCATGATCTTGGCTTCCACAAAGAGTTCTTCCACCACCTGGCGCACGAAAAAAGGGTGACCTTTATGGGACTGGTGGAGGATACTGCACGCCCACCTTGTTTTTTGCCACTCCAAGTGCTGGAGAGAAGGGAGGTACCAGGTGGAAGTTAAGTTGTACTGGTTTTGAACATGTTATAACTCATATAGCTAGGGCTTATAGTACATATATGTACATGTATCTATAGTTGGTGGTGGTTATGAACCATCATCTTTGTGAAAAGTAAAGCCAGATTCGGCAAATGAGAAGCGTTAAAAAACATCTGTCGTCTCTGGTTGGCTTTTAAGATTTCCCATCGTGGATTGTGATCATTCCCAATCTACTGGCCAGTCTAGTGGGTAGTAAAGCTCCATATGATCATCAATCACCCTTGCAGCCGACCAGCTTTGCCTCCCCTGGCCGACGATTTTCGGCCGGAACCAGCCGACGCCTTGCGGTCCCTCTCAGGTAGACCGGCATGGTGAATGCCGATGCCAAACTCCAAGGTATGTTTCAAGCTCTGGTCAGTGACCTTAGCGCCAGTTGGAGGCTAGCTACAACATGCTACAACCATAGCTTACACGGAACCAAATTGTGTAAGAGACAAAAACATCCAGGTGTCCCCCCAAAAACCATTTCGAAGACCAAGGAAGTCTCCTGAAAAGCACTAGACTCATGACTCAACAGCAAGGCCATCTGCCTACTCCGCACCAAGGGCCGGACTCGCCGTGTGGCGTACCTCCCAAGTGGTTTCATCATGTTTCATCAGCTTCAGTAGAGATCATTCCTTTTGCACGGTTGCCCATGGAGTCAGTCTATCTCTACTTCAAGAAAACATGAATATACCGATATACCCTCTGGTTATTTCAATATAGCCATGGAAAATGGCCCATTAATAGATGGTTTACCTATTACAAATGGTGATTTTCCATGGCTATGTTAAATAACCAGATGGTACTATATAATTGAATGCATCATGGCTCCAGAAAGTCAAGGGGATGCCTCCCCCCTTGGTAGCCACTACTGCGAACTGTGCAGGGCAGCAACGGTCTTTTTTCTCCTGGGATTGGCACCTGAAGGGATGAAGTGTCCATGCGAAAAAAATGATGGAATACAATTTTCCGCCAGTTTTTGACTCAACTTGCACCGACAAGACTCTCTGGAACGCGTCCAAGTTCTTCTGAAAAGAGCGAGGCACGTCTGTTCGAATCTGTTGAGACGTGAATTACCGACACCTGCAGGGAGTCTAACAGCACATTGGTGTGGTCGGGTGTGGTCTATTGGTTTCATCATGCCATCCACGACGCATCTCCACCAGCTTCGACGCTCGGCTGCATGTTCAATTCAACAGCTCCTGCCCCAGGCAGCTGTTAAACTCCAAAGGTGCAACTACCAGAAACTCATGCGATTCAGAATGCGGGCACAAAAGCCAAACCACACCGATTTAATTTTTCCACAAAATCCCAAAAGCCAATTGGTATTCACGAACATGATCTTTGAAACCATGTTTTGCATATTTTTGCATGTTCCAGCTCTGAGTCTTAGGCACACTGTCCGTCCACTCCAAGGTGGTCCCCGATGTCCTTCGCTTCTTCGATGAGCACCGGCAACGTCTCCGCGCCACTGCTGCCACTGGTGTCACGTAGCTCCAGAATTTATAAACCGGCCCAACTTTCAGGAGTGCGGAGGTCATAGATGGTCTTGAAGGTCTCCTTTTCAAAGCAGAATGTGTTCCCCCAAAAAAAAACAAAACCCTGGAAATCCCTGGAAGGCCTGGATTCTGGTTGGTTTCAGGCCTGACATTCTGTCAAAACTTCGACAAATCAAAGGCGTCAAAATTTTGCAGGCAAACCCTTGATATCCAAATTTTTCTTTGTGAAAAGTCAGCTCTCCAAATCGCGGAACTGCAACTATACCTGATGCAATTAATGTCATTGATAATAGACTCCAATTGCTTGTGTTTGTTCTTTCCAACCACAGGTCTGCTTATCCTTCAACTCCAAAAAATCCCAAAAATCCATCCTTATCCCCATTTGTCCCATTTTCTCCCACCAGACTTCATACAGCAACCCAGCCAGTGGGCCCCGCCCATGGTGGCCCCGGAACCTTGTCATGATATGCCCCGAGACCTTTGGCGATCGGCATTCCCTCACCAATCAACTCCTCACCGCCAGGACGAGTCACACAAGTTCTGAGGCACTTGGCTCAACATTTTCTACAGTTACGGCCCGAAATGCCAGTTCTAAGTACATATATATATATATATATTATAACACCATTTATAGAATGTGTAATCCCATAGAAATATATAGAAAGAACCAGAAATGGCCAAAATCTTCCAACTTCCTGGATTCTGAAACAAGAGTGCCAAGTCGACAAATCGACATTGTGACATGGTCCTTGAAGCCAACTCGCCCAAGCAGGACACCTTTTCCTGTGATGTAAGCCATGTCCTTTCGTGCCACCTTTCCCAGCCGAGCCCAAAGCTAGGGCATTGGGGGCTTGGCAGTTGATTGGCGTAACATTGGGAAAAACATGGAAAAACAAAACATAATAAGATATCAAGCAAATTATATTCAGATTGTTTTGGGTCTAAGCCTCAAAGCTTTTATATTCTTTGTTCCACTGAATTCGAGGACAAATCATCACTATACTTATAAAAATCACAGTGAAAGGCTTCCAGAGACACATGCACTGGTCACTTTACGTGAGTTTTATGTTCAAGACATCTCGCATCTGCAAGGCTTTTCCTGCCAATCCCTGCCAAGACCGTCTATGTTCAATGCCAAATACACCATTTTCCCCGTAAACAAATCTCTGTAACAACTGATGGACCAGTCATGTTGTTGCCCTACAAACTCGGCGCAAAAAGAGCTGTGTTGATGTTGCCATGTACCAACCACCATGGTCACCATGGTCACCACATCTGGACGGAACCGTCATATAAAGGTGGAAATGTTGCAATTAAAACATCCCAAAACAGTTAAAAATGCCAATGACATAAACCAAAATTGGAGGATGAAGTGGATGAAGACAGATTGGCAGTGGGATCTTATCTCAGTCCAAACACTCAGTGACTGCGCCAATTTTCACGCCTTCAAGGTGATGTAGAGCTCTTGTACCGTAAACAAGGGATCCAGGACCAAAGGACACGGATCACACAGCAGTTCAGAACTCTCCTCCCACCTGGCGGGGCCATGGGTAGTGATTAACTGCCAGTTCTATATGTTAGGTGGATTAAGGATTAGAAACGCAATGAATGAACTTACTGGTTTGATAAATCTACCATAAACCATATAGTTGTTAGAATTCTGACCAAACTTAGCGATTTCAGGGGCACCACCTTGTGGATGGAGGGAATTGCGAATCCATGACTCTGCAAAGGAAGGACGTAAGCCGCGTAAGCCATGGTATCCTCATTACTTGAATGCATAGCACCGGTTAAAGCATGGTAGTGTTGTACTGTTTCACCATGGTGGTTAAATTCATTGCACTGACTCATATGATTTCTCTTGACAGGTGTAGTCAGAAGTGCCACCAGTGAAACCCCGACTTTGATGCATTTCACCCCACTGAAGGTTGAACTGTTGAAACACCATCCCAGAGCTAACCTTAGATACCCTCTGGTAAACTAACATAACTATGGAAAATCACCATTTTTAATGGGACAACTCACTACAAATGGCCATATTCAATAGCTATGTTAAATTACCAGAGGGTACCATGTTCCCCATAGCACCAAGTGGTTCAACCCATGTGAATTTGAAAAAAAATCACCAGCTGACCCACAAAGGTGAGCCCCCTTTTCATGCTGTATGTTCTGTATTTCCCAATATTATATATATATATAATATAATATATATATATATATATATATTCATGAAATACACCCATTTTATCCCGATGATATATCCCCCATAAAACATTGGTTGGTTGATGCAACCACCAGTTGTGCTTGGTTTATACCATTCTATAACACATTGAGCTTCCATATGATCAATAATAAATACTATTGCTCAAATATACATAATCGTATGAATATATGCCACATACTACTATGATAATCATATTATGTATATGTCGTATTATTTCATACGATATGTATATACTACTTTGAACGGTACTATCATGAACTATTTGTTACAATCATATCATGTATAGTTGACATTCTTATGATTCTACTACAATATATATAATATACAGATACATACATATGTTACATACATATCTATCTATCTATATATATATATATACATTAAGAACTGTATATGATATGATATGATGATGTCTATTTATGAAGACCTGCCAATTTGTCATCCTCTCGCCCCAGCCTTTGCGTCAACAGCCGCACCCGTCGCAGCTCCTGGAGGCTGTGCCGTGTCACGGCGCCGCGCAGCGTGCGGTGGTGCGGGTGGTGCTGCAGCAGGAAGTCCTGGCTGCGGTTGGGAGAATTCACCAGGAAATGCTAGTTGAATGGCAGGTGAAGCATGACAAAAATGGTGGTTTCATGAGATATTCATGGGATTTAATGAGATTTGATGAGATGAATGAGATTTTATGAGATTGAAGAAGTGATTTCTGGAAATAATGCGACTTAATAGGATGGAACCATTACCTGGGAGTGCAGGACTGGGATTGTAAAACTCGGTAAACAAATGTTTTATTAGGCCCACAAGTTGGGATATAAGCCTCATAACTATGCTGAAGCCACTGAAGAACTGCACCGTGAAGTAGGGACATGGTGGGTCAATGGGGCCCTGGATTTGCCGAGTTGGTTTATAACTAACACACTACGGATTGTGGTAGATACCCTCTGGTAAACTAACATAGCTATGGAAAATCACCATGTTTAATGGGAAAATCAACTATAAATGACCATTTTCAATAGCTATGTTAAATTACCAGAGGGTATATCAAACTAGTTCAATGGGGATGACATAAATCAATGAAGATATTTGGGGGATGCCATCTGGTACATGGAGGGGAACGGGCTTTTAGGGCAAGTTAGAATTGACATATGCACAACGGTTACAGTAAGAAAGCCTGAAATTGAATGGACTTATAGTAAAATGTCTTTCAATGGACAGAACATGGAACTTTGCATCACATAGACAACCCATATTCGATGTGATAAAAACAAGTTCAGTTGAATTGGTGCGTAATGATGGTTTCAACTATGTTTTGTATGGAATATCGGAATATCCCAATGGAACATCCCATCTGCTTATGATGTGAACTATCATCAATGTCTAAGAAGTAGACTCTCGCATCCCTCATCTTTGTGTCTGAAACATCACCACCAACAAAAACTGCTTGGTGGTTGACCTACCCCTCTGAACAATATGACTTCGTCAGTTGGGATGATTAAATTTCCAATATATGGAAAGTCAAAAAAATACATAGAAATCATGTGCCAAACCACCAATCAGAAAATAGTTCCAAGTGATGTGATAGCAGGTTACATAGGATGGGTTGTGGCCATCTCAAACGGTACTGGCTGACCTGACCATCCCTCAAACACAGGGTATGTCATCTTAACTTTCGGCCATGGCACATATCAAGGAATAGACGTCTGGGTCCATATTCAAGCCTAAACCCTTGGAATTTTGAACTGATTTATATATAAGTCTATCGTTTGTTCTTTAACCATATCAAGTTCATGTTAAAGATGTTAAGTACTACGGGACACCCAATTACCATTGGCACCTACCACTTGGCGATTGGAAAACTACAGATAAAAATGGTGATTTTGGGGATGATACCCTCTGGTAAACTAACATGACTATTGAAAATCACCACTTTTAATAGGTAAATCAACTGTAACTGGGCCAAATTTTCCATAGCTATGTAGCAAATTACCAGAGGGTACATTATGGGGTTACCACATTCTTCCCTAAAGATTTCTATTTCCAAGGTCACTAGATCCAGGCGAGCGGCATCCGTTCCAACCACCGGGAAGTTCAACTGTGGGGGCTGCGCGTTGAGCGCATCGTCAAGGTCCTCCAGCCTCTCGGACAGTTGTCCAGCCATGGAGTGAACAACGGCTCCGACAAAGCAGGGCTCCCCAAGAAGTAATGGCTATTCATTCATAGACTAAACATGGGGATTTAACATGATTTAACCAGCAAACAAGTGGATTTATAGATGGTTTAAGATAGGTAGTTGGATTGGTGTGGTTTCCGCTGTTTACCGAGCTGGTCATGAAATCGAAGGGGACGTTCCGACAGAAAAAACGCAACTCTTGGCGAATTTTGGTTCCAACAGAGGTGATCCATGTCCTAAGCTCAAAGCTTTTGTAGCCCCTAAAGAAGCAAACATTATTGTAACTAACTATTGTTTGTTATTCTACAATTACATAATTACTAACATTATTGTGGGCTTTCCTAGTTAGTTATTTTATTGTGTACAGTACTTAGTTCAATGAAGAATAGATAATATAGTTCGAGGTGGTTTTCAGTAACAATATGAAAAATGGTATTTCATGGATGTAAGATTGCGAAATGATGTAAAAAAAACTGTTAAGACCCCGCTCTCGGCAGGCCCCCAAATCTCAGTTGCCTGGCAAGTTCCGGCACGCTCGGGAAATCTGAGTAGGGCTGCATCACCATGAACGCTGGTTCCTGCGTGGAGGTTTCCATCAAAATGAAAGTACCTCTTGATCGTTGGATGGTTTATTTCCATGGGAAAATCCCAATCTAAAATGGATGAAATGGATGGTTTATAATGGAAAACCCTAGTAAATTTGATGATTTATAATGGAAAATCCTATGAATTCATGGATGATTTAGGACTACCCCTATTTTGAAAACCTCCATCTCAGCATTGAAAAAAACAGCAGTGATGATCCCAGCACTAACGGTTAGTAATCTGCAAAAAACAGTTGCCAATGGTTAAGCGGAGACATCAGAAGATGGACTCAACATTGTCAATAGTTAATGACAATGTTAGTGGCTAATAGTCATGTCATGTCACTAATAAATCAATACTTCATGTGACTGTTCATAGTTCACGTCACTGATGCTTACCTGGTTCATATGTAATTTTCAGATACCAACATATGTAATGTATGTATTACCCTTTAAGATAAAACGTTTACATAACTATATGGAGAATCACCATTTTCAAGTTTCTGGAAAGGATATTGATATTCTGGTTGGTGGTTGACCTACCCCTCTGAAAAATATGACTTCGTCAGTTGGGAAAATAAAATTCCCCATATATGGGAAGTCATAAAATTCCATGGTTCCAAACCACCAACCAGGTATTTACCTTTGCAATCAAGGGCTGGTAAGGGGAAATCTCCCCATGCCATTCATATCTACTGATGGTTGTCCAGTTAGAAAAAATGGATGATCCTTAGCATCCAGAACCTTCATCTTTGGCTGGTTCATCTATTGTCATCTATTTCCAAGGCAAGCAAGAAAACAACAAAAAAAAAAAAAAACATTCACTTCTCGAAACCAGGCTTCCATTATGTTATTTATATAACCAAGAAATGGTGTTTTCCCATTTAGTATGGCTCAACAGCCTGTTGACCACCATTTTGGGATGGTTAGTGGTGTTTTTTTGCAAAAAACAGAACCAGCTATGTTGGCCGATTGGTGCCCCATTCTCACAATAATAACACAACTGAGTAATATACAATAGTAACCATATTTTCCTAATAAGAACAGCAATTTTTAGATAATCACAAACAGTAAAAATTACTTTACTTCGTGTGATCCCCACCATGACATTTATACATTTTCTTACTGGCAAATCTTCTGGCATTCTATCTGACATATCTTCTGACATTCTATTTGGCATTCTATCTGGCATATCTTCTGGCATATGATATGGCATATCTTCTGGCATTCTATCTGGCAAATCTTCTGGCATTCTATCTGGCATATCTCCTGGCACTCTATCTGACATATCTTCTGGCATTCAATCTGGCATTCTATCTGGCATATCTTCTGGCATATATTCTGACATATCTTCTGGCATTCTATCTGACATATCTTCTGGCATATATTCTGACATATCTTCTGGCATATTTTCTGGCATATCTTCTGGCATATCTATCTGGCATATCTTCTGGCATATTTTCTGGCATTCTATCTGGCAAATCTTCTGGCATTCTATCTGGCATATCTTCTGGCATATATTCTGACATATCTTCTGGCATTCTATCTGGCATTCTATTTGGCATTCTACCTGGCATATCTTCTGACATTCTGTCTGACATTCTTTCTAACTTTCTTCTGCGCATTCTTTGTCCCATATCTTCCTACATGAGGTCCGGCAGGGAACACTGGGCGTGGATGGTCGTGGTTGAGGTCCGGCAGGGAACACTGGGCGGGGATACTCGCGGGTGAGGTCCGGCAGGGAACACTGGGCGTGGATGGTCGTGGTTGAGGTCCGGCAGGGAACACTGGGCGGGGATGGTCGTGGTTGAGGTCCGGCAGGGAACATTGGGCGTGGATGGTCGTGGTTGAGGTCCGGCAGGGAACACTGGGCGTGGATGGTCGTGGTTGAGGTCCGGCAGAGAACACTGTGGATGGCGGGTCGCAGTTGAGCAAGGACGACGAGGACGACGAGGACGACGAGGACGACGAGGAGGACGAGGAGGAGGAGGAGGAGAGGAGGACGAGGCAGGAGGAGGCGGAGGAGGAGGAGGAGAAGGAGGAGGAGGAGGAGAAGGAGGAGAAGGAGGAGAAGGAGGAGGCAACTGACATAAAATCTAACAACCCTCACCTGGCAGGTGGGGAATCATAACAGTAATGAACTCGTAACGATCATAATACAGAGTCGACTCAGCCACCTTTTCTTGCCGCTCCATTTCGCCATCCCCGAGGTGACGCACCTCGCCATGATCAGTGCAGGTGAGCTTGCTGACGCCGTGCCAACCTCTTCGAACCTGAAAATGGTCAGTGGTCATGGCGAAAACCCAAAAAGTGCGGCCTTAAAGGAACGGTGAATACATATAGTTCCCATGAAATTTCATTAGTTGAACTAAATTCTATAATTTTACGGGAACATAGTTCAACTAAATCATAGTTTATCAATAAATGGGGATTTCACTAGTGCGATGATCCCTGTTGAAAAGAAATCACCATTTATTGGCTTTTAAATAAAATTTGTAAAGGCTAACCCCACGAATACTGGACCAGTTGGCATAGAGCCCAATGTTTGAATCCCCATGAATAATTAAGGGTGATGCCCAGGTCGATAATTTCTCTCTTCAACTGAGAACAAATCAAACAGTTGTGGATTTTTAGAGAGGTTTGGTTAGAAAAATACCACCTGTCAATCAATAGCCTCTGAGGGGTTTCGAATCCAAGTTCGAGAAATCTGCCCATTGGGGCACACCATCTTCTCGAAACCCTCTGGTAATGAAACATAGCTATGGAAAATCACCATCTAATAGGCAAATCAATTATAAATGGACAATTTTCTATAGCTATGTTAGAGTCTTATGTCCGTTTGGTGAAACTAAAATGCGACCACTATGATTAGCTATGTTAGTTTACCAGAGGCTAGAAGTTTCTTAAGCTGGCTGAACATCCCCATCCGCATCTCAGCTTCACGCCAGGGCGGTATCAAAGAAGGGTAGGGAGATGAAGTCCGCCACCACCACAGCCTACCGGGGGAATTAGCTCGCCCCAAAGATAGGCCGCCCAACTATGGATTCATATTACCGCCTATAACCCATATAACCTACGAACATGTCTATCAAACTGAACATACCAATGATCTACCATATATTCATGTATATGTTATATTAGATGACTCATGGTATATAATAGATAATATTTCATACCAATGATCATTGTACCAATGACCTATTTTACTGAAAATATATTATATTCATGACTCATGACCATCATGGGGAAGCTCGAAGTCCAATCCCTTGAAATTCTGTCGGTACCCCTGTTCATGATCACCCACCCAGAGCTCAGCTCTACCAAGGAACTGTCAAACTGCTGAGGCTCAAAGGTACCACCATCTCATTCAACGACAGAACCTGCAGAGAATCCAGGCTTGATTGATTGACTTGGCAAGGTGGTGTCGGTGGTGTCTCCCACTGATTTTTTGTTGCTTTATGAGACCCAGCAAGTTCAATATCTACAATATCAAAATACACTAAATCCAACAGTTGGAGGTGTGTTTACCAACTTATCTATCATAAATCAACACAAATCAACTATATTATTATTATGTAATACATAAATCCACATGTTTCTTGGTCAAATTGCCATGTTCCCCGGCACCATCCGTGGTTGGTTTGCTGGTTACCTCAAAGACGGTGATGGCAATGCCATAGGCTCGCACCACTCCGCAGCCGAAGGCCGATGCTCCCAGAATCGCCAGGCGAGCTTCGAAGGCGTCCAATTCCTGCCGGGAAGGTTTCAACATAGGTCACCAGGTCCACAGTTTTGGCCAGAAATCCCAGTTACCATCTGGTTATGACTAACATAGCCATGGAAGCCATGGCCCATTTGTAGATGGTTTACCTATTAAAAATGGTGATTTTCCATGGCTATGTTAAATAACCAGAGGGTATAAGTCAATAAGTCCCCATCAAATGGAATGAAAACCCCATCTAAACAATTTTTTGAAATAACCAAGTATAAGTGGTTTCTAAGGCCTAGGGGCCTTAAGTGCACACAGTCAAGGTTCCACTGTGCAACTGTCAAAAGCATGAAACCAAAAATGTCAGAGCTCTGGGAATATATGAATCTTTTATGGACTCTGCAGCAATGTTTCATATGGGTGTGTCCTACTTAATGGGGTACCTCATTGCATCCATTGGTAAGTCATGTTTTTTTTCCTATTAAAATAACAATTTCCCACACACATCCATATTGAATCTGGGTAAATTATAGTATTTCACTAACCTGAATTAAGACCATTTGGGGATGATTCCTCTTATTAACCATGATTCCAGTGAGGTCGCAGTGAGGTCGTGATGAAATTTATCTAGTTAAATGTATAGACCGTCCCCAGCTGGGTCGTCAAATCCAAGGCTCGCTTGGTGAATCTGTCCCCAAGAATGGAACAAAGCACCTGCGCGAATCTGTTCGACAATCACGGAATATAACCATAAGCGACGACTGTCACTAGCCCGCACGAAAAACAAGTCTGTTGCTAGATCACTTTGCAATGACTCTACTCATTCTATAGCATAGAAGAATATATGTATCGCCGCTGTGAAGTAGGGGTCACTTTTTTCCAAAGGGCATCATACACCAGCGACACCATGCCTCTCTGGCACCAAAGATGTGAAGCAACGCATCAAGAGGGCTCCCAAAACCAAAGCTGGTGCCACCACCCCCGTTGGTGTCGGCATGGACAGGGCCTCGTGCCATGCTTATATTGCTGGACAAAGCGATAATTTCAACATATCAAGATAGGATGTATGGCATTCTCCGCAATCAGAGCTGATAGTATTGTTTGTGGCTGCTGCATGTTTGACACATCAGAACTATTCAGTAATTCAGATTCAGATGTTTATAGTTTCTGTTGTGTCTCTTTTTGTGCAGTAACACGCAGTAACATCCAACAAAAATGAACCGACAGACACACACACACACTCCAAAGCCACCCTGAAACCACGCCAAGAGGCGAACAAGGTCGTGATGGCTTTCACCTGAAGTTCTGGAATTTGGCCGAAGCCAACATGAGGAGTTAACAATGGTTAACCACCAGGGTTTTCTTTCACCACCATGGAGCCAACCATTAAGCCATAGTTAACCATTTACATCCATTTACCATGGAGTTAATCATTTAACCATAGTTTTCATGATGCTTCCATCGGACACGGTTTTTGAAGAAATATCTGGACATTGGGTATATCTCCCAATATATCTTCCAGGTTTTTCGCATTGTGCCATATGTTTCATAATTCTTCATTCATTATCCCATATTATCCACATATTATCCTATATTATTAGTAGTACCGGGTATCTGATCTCTTCTTTCTGTTGGGAGGCTTAAGACGACCATTTGGCACTTGTTTCCTGCACTGCCATTGCTGGTCTGAAAGGTTTTATATATAATCACCTTTTTGGATCATTGTACTGGGATACAGTAATATAATATATATATATATATACAATACACATATATCTATATATATATATATAGAAATATATATATATATATAGAAATATATATATATAGAAATATATATATATATATATTATGTATATAATTGTATATATATACACATACATTTAGTACCATGTAAATCCATGAACTCCCAAAAAGCAGGAGAAATCAAAGTCTCTGGCTGCCTGGCTACGTCTTCGATATCCATTGCCGCCATGACCAAGTTGCATAGGATCAATGGGGGTCAACCGACAATGGGATTCTCCAGTCACCCTCAGGTAATTTAACGTATCGAAAATCACCATCTTCAATAGGTAAATCAACTATAGATCGTCATATATTTTCCATATAGCTATGTAACTTAAATTTACCAGAGGGCAATACGATGTAATAAGATATGTAATAAGTCTACGATCTTATGGGGGGATGAGCATCCCCTCTTATCCCATCTGGAAAGCGACCATTGTTTTACCTTCACCATCCCAGAAACTTGGACACACCGAACATGTCATATTGTTGGTTCATGGATCCCATATATATTATCTCATTGGTGAAACATGGCAATTTCATGGTATTTTGATGGAATAATTGAATAATATCTCATATGATTCCATGAATGTATACCATGAAATCGCCATGTTTCACCGAGGTATTCGTTAACAAAAATTGCCATTCACCAGCCGACTCACAACTCCTCCGGGCGACCAGCAGCGCTAGCAGCAGCATGTGGACCTCGCTACTGTTGACCTCGTTACCTGCGGCACGCTGCCAGAATCGTCCTACGAATCCACGGCTTGAACCAGTTAACAATGTGGGCTTATATGGACATGGGGTACCCCTAAATCATTCTAGATTCTAAATCCCATTGATTCATCATGTTCCGAGAATTAAATCGTCATTTCTCGCGGCCATGTTGGGGAGCATACACCAGTTTCAGACACACCCGTGTGGGTTTGAGCAGTCAAACATGTGGGTTTCATATTATGCGTTTCTATGGTTTCACCCTCCTGATTTTTTTTTCCCCACCTGCCAGGTGAGGGTTGTTAGATTTTATGTCAGTTGCCTCCTCCTGCCTCGTCCTCCTCCTCCTCCTCTCCTCCTCGTCCTCCTCGTCGTCCTCCTCGTCGTCCTCCTCGTCGTCCTCCTCGTCCAACTGCGACCCGCGATCCACAGTGTTCTCTGTCGGACCTCAACCACGACCATCCACGCCCAGTGTGCCCTGCCGGACCTCAACCACGACCATCCACGACCAGTGTTCCCTGCCGGACCTCAACCGCGAGGATCCATGCCAAGTGTTCCCTGCCGGACCTGAACCACGACCATCCACGCCCAGTGTTCCCTGCCGGACCTCAACCGCGAGGATCCACGCCAAGTGTTCCCTGCCGGACCTCATGTAGGAAGATATGGGACAAAGAATGTGCAGAAGAAAGTTAGAAAGAATGTCAGAAAGAATGTCAGAAGATATGCCAGAAGATATGCCAGAGAGAATGCCAAATAGAATGCCAGATAGAATGCCAGATAGAATGCCAGAAGATATGTCAGAATATATGCCAGAAGATATGCCAGATAGAATGCCAGAAGAGATGTCAGATAGAATGCCAGAAGATATGCCAGATAGAATGCCAGAAGATATGCCAGATAGAATGCCAGAAGATATGCCAGAAGATATGCCAGAACATATGCCAGAAGATATGCCAGAACATATGCCAGAAGATATGCCAGATAGAATGCCAGATAGAATGCCAGATAGAACGCCAGAAGATATGTCAGAATATATGCCAGAAGATATGCCAGATAGAATGCCAGATAGAATGCCAGAAGATTTGCCAGATAGAATGCCACAAGAAAATGCCAGAAGATATGCCAGATAGAATGCCAGAAGATATGTCAGATAGAATGCCAGAAGATTTGCCAGTAAGAAAATCTATAAATGTCATGGTGGGGATCACACGAAGTAAAGTATTTTTGTTTTTGGCAGCATATGCCAAACAAAACATCCCAAACTAATAGATGCAGCATGATGCCAGCATCCAACATCCAATTCCAGGGACCTTCGAAATATGGGGGGTCCAAACATGTCCAAACAGGTCCTGGTACCCCAAAATCAGGTGGCTGTTATGATCTATGGATCAAGAAATCAAGAAATCTTGAGAAATCTTCAAGAGGTATCAAGAGCTAGCCTTGAACTCGCCTCACTCACGGAGAACCTGAACTAATTGGGACCCAGGAAATCCACCTGGGTGGCCCAGCCTTGGAAAAACTCCTTGCTGAAGAGAGTATTCAACAAGACAGGCTGCGATCCTCAGCTTCCGACATGTTGGAAGACAGCTCACCTAGGAACATCCGCCAGATGCGTTTCCTGCCATGTGGTGCCCAGTTGATGCTTGTCGGTTTATACGAAGAAAAACAAACTGCCCAACTAGAGATGTATAACCCCATACCCTCTGGCAAACTACCATTTTGTTCGATGATTTTCCTGTTAAACATATTGTTGTGCTTCTATAGTCAGGTTAGTTTACCAGATGGTATTTTTTATGATAAACAAACCTACAGTTATGGCCGTTTACCAGTCATAAGTCAGGAAGTCATCCCGTTTATGGAATGATAACCCCAGAAAAATAAGCATTTATAACCAAGTATAACTTGAAACCGGCCCTAAGTGCAACTAACTACAGTGGCATTTTGCTCAAATGAGTAGTGTGAAATAAACCCATCTGTCATTCCATTGACTCCTCGGTGGCTAAGAACGGGATTCCCTGGTGGATTATCATAATCTCCAATCTATTGGGTACAATGTGAGGCCCCCCAGTTATAGGTTGGTTAACAAAAGCCCCTGTAACTATAGTTATAAGTACCATAAACCATAGTTATTGGAGTTATAAACCAACTTAGCTATCTTGGGGGCCTCACATTGTAGTATAACCCCCGAACTAATCATCAACCAACAGGGGTTTAGCAGCCACTGCTCAGATGTCAGCCATGTCAGCCAAGAGTCTTCCTTTTAGGAGCGGGACGTGCCACAAGAGCAGCACGTTGAGCACAGCCACCTTACTATGGGGGAATTGGAGCAACGAACATGGTATAATGTAGGTAAAACAATGCCATAAACCAGCCATGATGGAATGGGATAGGGTAAAATGGGAATGGTTTATATACCACCTATATAAAAATGGCGATGATTGGGGGATGGTGCAAATGGCATAGTTTTAACCACATTGCTTGGGATATACTTGGGATATACTTGAGATATAGCATGATATAGTGGGATATCCGAACCAGATCTGATTTAGTTGTGGTGACTTAACCATCATATGGACAACTCATCAGCAACATGTTGTTATTACTGGATGGACAACAACAAACATACCTGGTTGGTGGTTTCAACCCCTCTGAAAAATATGAAAGTCAATGGGAAGGATTATCCCTTATATTATGGAAAATAAAAACATGTTTGAAACCACCAACCAGATACAGAAACAACGTCAAAAAACATCAAACAAATCCAAGAACATCCAATGGAAATCCAACATATCTGTCCAGATTTCCAACAGATCTGTGCTATCCGGTGCTATTTCCAACCATCCCCAGGTTCTCTGAACGCCGGGCCACTGCGGATACGAACAGCAAATCCCGCCACTGCCATCGCGGATCTTCGCTTTTGGAGATGGAAGAGTGCCATTGCTCCATCGATCCGAAATGTGCATCTTTTGGGGCGGAAACAGGACTTTGAGAAGGCCAAATTAGAGACCCCTGCTAGCATTGCTAGCATTGCTTCTGCTGAGGCTCTTCCAAAAGTTACTGCAGCAGCGGATCACTTGATCGTGAGCCAAGTTGAACAATCCACCCAGAACCCCGAAGACCACACCAATCAGCATGTATCCTGAAACTCAGGGACTTCAGCACACAAACGAAATGGACTTCACATTGAAACGTTGCTGGTTGGTCCCTCTGCCTAAATATGTTGGTCCCTGAAGCGTCTATGATAGTAATGGATATTGCCATGGCTCGATATTGGCATCTTACAGCATCTTAATGTCTTAATTCATAAATATACCCCATGTTTTCTTGTTGTCTATGTGGCTATTGCCCCATTCTTGTCGTTGTCAACTCACCTACATGAAACCTTAACAAGTTCATTATAATTGGCCCTAGCTTCCATCTATTTCCTCTATATCTATAGCAACCATCATATGGCTATAGATAGAAATGCCATCCCGACCATACCTTCTAGCCTTCTACAAGGTGGTGCACCCCAGTTGCTTGAGAATTCCCATTTATATAGATCCCTTAGGTATAGATATGTCATGATATGTCTAAAAAACATCAAACTTCATTCGATAAATAGATCTAATATGTCATTGAGTCATAGATCTATAGATATCTATAGTATGATATGTCTACCATAGACATCCAGAATTTTCATAAACCCAACAGTCATTGGAGCCCTCCACCAGCTCAGCGTGTCCTGCACAGCAGAGCAACGGATGATGCCGCGGAACACCTGGCATAGGCAACTATGACCACGGCAGTGGCCTTTTTTTGGATGCGAGTTATAGCTTGTATTAAGAAAACATAGACATACCATCTGGTAATTCAACATAGCTATGGAAAATCCATTATAAATGGAGGTTTTACTGGGAACATCAACTGTAAATGGGCAATTTTCCATAGCTATGTTAAATTACCAGAGGGTAGGATGGTAGTAAAATCATGTGACGTCATGTGATTTCCATTTTCTAGTTAAAGACTTGATACTTGACCGGTATCCATTGATATAGAGGTTTCCGAAGATAGGGATGTTCATGGATTTTCCATTCTAAACGATTCATTTTGGGGTACCCCCCCATTTTTCACGGACATCTCCAAACCTCCAGGCATCTCTGTGGGCCTTCCAACGGTAGTACGTCCGAAGTCAACAAATGTGGTAGTGTTGGGCAACTGCTGTTGATCCTGGCGTGGGGGTCCAGCCAAGAACATGGCTGGATCAACATGTCTGCAGTTCTGGCCCGCAATACCAATTAAGAGTTAGTTACAAGCCCATATTTATGGAATGATAAGCCCATCTAGATAACCAAAAAAAAAACATGTAAAACTGGTATTTCGGGCCTTAACTGTACATGCATCTTGCCGGGTTCACATTTGCTTGCCTCGAATCAAATGTCTCCAAAATTCCCAGGGTCCAATTGCGCAGCGAAACAATGCCCCAGCAAATCACCGGCCATGCGCGACATGCGACGCACTTCTTGCAGCTTAAGTGGCACAATGGTGGTCACTGCTCCACAAACAGCGGCTAAAAAGCAGCCCCAGTAGACTTGGAAGGTGTAGATCTGCGGCAACATCAGTTCCTGGAGATGCAACTTGTGACATGTTTTCCCATTTTCACCCCTATTTGATCCCCCCAAAACACCCAAAACATCGGAGGAAAATCTTGGAAAATCTCCCCATCGAAATCTCCCCATCGAACATCGGGAGCTCGCGAAACCCAGCGCGTCTCGAGCATCCAAGGACAGCAGCACTCCGCCCAGCAGGGAACTGAAGGTGGCCGCCACCCCGGCCGCGCAGGCCGCGTGGAGGATCTGCACCACCGTTTCGCTGCGCCTTATAAAGGGGCCAGGCCAAGGGGCAAGTTTTCTAGGTGATGTTGGTTGGTTAAAAAAAACCTATGAATACTATAGTATACTATAGTATATTATAGTATACTATAGTATATTATAGTATACTATAGCTATATAAGCTTTGAGTATCATAAACCAGTTATTGGAGTGAACTAAAGCAAGCTCTAGCTATACTTCGCTATCGTTTTGGGGGACGCTCTGTCTAGGGTTGAAGATAAAGATGTTGGAAAGTGAATGTGTTTCCAATGTCCAGGAATTAAGGGAACATCTGCAGGAAACCACAATATATATATATAAATATAGTATTATATTATCACTAAATGTAGGGGGTTCCGGTTCCGGCTTCAATTGTCCCATCCAATTCTACAAGTATAAGGTTGCGAGTGAAACAAATGTCATGTCACCAGCAAATATCGGGATATTTCATTTGATATAAACAACTTAAACAATGAGGATTTACCCTCTGGTTATTTAACAGTTCGCCATGGTATAGATGGCCCATTTATAGAGGTTTACCTATTAATAGCATGGTGGATCTTTCCATAGCGAACTCTTAGTCATAACCAGATGGTACATGGATTTTTACAGATTCCAAGGAAACCTCTCAGATCCTCCAGCTGAGCCACTTCCGGGTGACTGGAAGACACCGGATGTTGGCGTCGCTAGGATCATCGTGAGAATGAACTGATCGTCAAATCATGGCTGGTTGTACATATGTCTTTGTTGTGTCTTATTGTGATGGCAATGGATATAATATAGATTTAATAATAATATGTCATTTTTTAATAATTATAATAGAAACATTATATTATATGTATATATATATCATTATTAATATATGTAGGAGAAGAAAAGAAACATTACACCGTAGATTCGATATAAGGGTGCTGTCAGATTGTTGATTACTGGTTGGTGCTTTCAACCCCTCTGAAAAATATGAAAGTCAGTTGGGATGATTATTCCATATTATTCCCAATATATGGAAAAATCATCCAAATGTTCCAAACCACCAAGCAGTTTAGATTGTTGACACAGGCGCCGCAGAACATTCGTTGCGACCTGGTGGCAAGTTCTTCTCAAAGAATTTCGGCCGAAGATGTCTCGAGATGCACGCTGCCATGTGTACATTGGGACCTGGCCGTTACAAGCAATGCATGGTGGATGTCCAATGAAAAAATATATATATATATATATACCATCTCAACCTTCCCACGAATTGGATAACTTTAAGTAGCTGCAAACATTTCAAGACAGCTCATTTTGAGACGCTCTGGCCATTTCCCGCTGTTTGCGAGGGAAAAAAAACAATTACAGGAAGGGAGCCCTGGGGCCCCTAACACATATAAGTTGGTTTTAAACCCCGTCTAACTAGTTCACCGTATCCACCATAAATCCAATTGTTTGGGGGCGCCTTGTCCTACCATTCACCAATGTTTACACAGTAGACAGTTTTTGCACCGAGCTCCATTTGGGTATAATAGGTCAGAATTGGCTATTACTAAACATATGCTGGTGGTTTTAAACATCTTGAAACATATTAGTCAATGGGAAGGATTATCCAATATATGATGGAAAATATGAAATGTTTGAAACCACCAATCAGTAAAATCTCTGGTACCATAGGCCTTATTTTTTTACTCCCACATTTGTGGGGCTCTGGAAAACCGTCCCGCTCTTCACCATGGGTGTCACCACAAAATCATGACCAATCATGTGGACACACCCAAGAATAGACTATCCATACCATACCATGATACAATCAATAATTCAAGGGCCATTTCAGGTACCTAAACTGGAGGTACCAATCCCATATATAAGGCCTATTTTTCAAGCCTGTGTCAGGGAATATCCCAACAAAACAGAGTCTTATATGGTACGGTACCTTCATTTTAGGATCCTGAAATCCCCATTGAATAATCAATGGGTTGATTCTTGGTGTTTATTCCTGGTTGGTGGTTGAAAAAACCCTCTGAAATATGAAAGTCAATTGGGATGATGGAAAAAAAAACATGTTCCAAACCACCAACCAGATACATGTCTTCCAAGAATATATCATATACCCAAATAGGTTGGACGATATGTTGGTGTCTTCGTCATGACTTAGGGAGCACCCCCGCGGCTTGTAGCCGCTAACCCCCGCCTTCCTGTCCGATGGGCATTCCTGCCGCCACCACCAGGGCCAATCCCAACGCTTTACCTGTGCTGCCACGAAACATCATGCACTTTCGACGAAACATCTACACAGAAAGAATGGGAAGTCAAGACCAACATACAAGATATACAAGTACCCACCCCCAGTACATCATGGACGTGACATACCCCAAAAAAAATTGGGCAGAGATACCCTCTGGTAATTTGCAATAGATTTGGAACATCGTATAACATCGTCTCAGCAACCTGCCAAGGTAGGTAGTTTTGATATCCTTTGATCCAGAATTCCGAAAAAGAAACACAACATCCAGTTAACTAGAGATTCAGTTTTCAATGAGGAGACGTACGTACACTGACCACACATAAATTGCCAAGTCATGCTGCATTTACTTCAGAGGTTGGGTCAAAGATTGTCAAAAGTCCAACAAAAAATGTGGCTCCTGAAACGTGGATCCCACAAAAAAGGAATTCGAAGTTCACCCGAAACCATTACTTGGTTATTTGATGTTATTTGGGGATTCCCGCAATCCTACAATGTGAGGCCCCCAAGATAGCGTTCAGTTGGTTTATAACTCCAATAACTATGGTTTATGGTACTTATAACTATAGTTACTGGGGTTTATAAACCAACTTATAACTGTGGGGCCGCACATTGTAACCATCTGCAAGGTGCAACTCAAGGTTTCCGCCGAGAGGAATTTCACCTTCTCAAGGCCTCGCCCAGAAACATCAAACACTGGATCGATTATCATGGAAATCAGAAGGACATGGAGTAAACAAAAAAAAACGACAACAACAACAACAATCTCAGTTCTCACCGAAATAGAGGGCATCATCCCAGCATAAATAAAGAGGAGATACCAAGAAAATCCAAGACGTGGCGACTGATTTGTCACCAAGGCTCTGGCGTTCTTCTCCAGTACGTGATCACTGAGCATGGTGTTTCCGAAAAACATGGCTTTCATCTGGGGATATCCTTGGCTAGTGAAACCAAGCCCAAAGAAGCGGTGGCAGGCTAGCTGGTGAAATAATCAAAACAATCTCAGCTTTGAGAATCTAGATGATGCATGCCACAAAAAATGCGTATGCATGATCACCTATACCGTATACCCTCCAAAATTGAATTGCTTGAACCAGGTGATGTTGGACTTTCATTTTACATTCCATATAGTGCCGAGTCTGCTTGGATGCAAATTGGCCTAATCGGGAGGTTGGTACGGTTGTTAACTGGTTCAAACCAGAGTGATTCCTGGGGATGTGTGCTAGTCTCCAAAACTGTTCTGATGTTTACAATGGCCATACCAGTACCAAATGCGTGGTGAAATACATCCAAGTTTCTATGTCAGGTGTGGATAACATAATATAATCTATCTATCGATCTATCCATCCATCTATCAGGTTCTATCGATATATATATCTATACCGATATATATATATATCACTATTTCATGCTATTTCTCTGTTGTTTTTCATCTACCCATACATATTGTCTATCTACTGAATTGAAACCATGCCCTACAGAATCCTCGCGGCCCGTCGAGCGTCCACTGCCCTGCGCCGCGTCGTCCCGGCGCACGATAAGGCGAGCCAGCAGCAGAAGAAGAACGTTGAAGGACATGGCGATCCAAAGGTTATCACCTTCCAAACCCATAGGATCCATGGTGCTGCCATATATGGTAACATTTACCATCAATATACCCCAAATGTTAGCATATATCCCATACATGGATCCTATGGGAAATGAAGTGAATGAAGTGTAGTTCCATGGTTAAAACCATGGTTAAAACAATATCATAAACCCCATCCCCAAGTACCATTTTGATGGGTGGTTTTTGGACCATCAAAAATGGTGGTGGTTCCAGGGGTTCTATCCCAACTCAGGAGGTAAAATTTCACCTGGGATGGCGCAAAGACCGACCGAGTGCTGGGTGTGGTTCTGTGTGGTGGTTCTGTGTGGTGGTCAGATGATATCAAAATGAACAAGTATTAATTAATGATGGTCATATATTATGAGAATCTTGTTCATATATTGTGACCAACATTAACAGATTTGTTCATATGTGTATGTATATATATATATATATGTGTGACCATCATTAATGAACATTTCTATATTGCTGATGATATCACATAGGAATTTGAGAAACTTTCTGTTTGATGGTGATGCTGGTGAGCATGGGGATCATCACGCTGCATGGGATGAATGGGATGAATGGGCTATGGCTATGGTCATCCATCCCTTTCTTTCAATGGGAATCCAAACATAATGGCTATGATGACCATGACCAATACCCTCTGGTAATGACTAACAGTTCACTATTGAACATGGTGATTTATAATGGATTTACCCATTGAAAATGGTGATTTTCCATAGTTATGTTAGTTTACCAGAGGGTATTACCAATAAATGGGATTGATGACGACCATCCCGAAAAAAAAAAAGTTGGGCAAGGATGGGCAAGGTACCCAGGTGTTGATCTAGTTTGGTGTTCACCAAGGTGCTAGGTCCTAGTTCCCAAGAAATCATCACGGATTATGACAGTCCCCAATCAACGGAAGTGCCCAAAATGTATGGTCAATTCCCCGCACCGATTCTCGGATTGTTTGATGTAATATACACAATGTAAGCCGTTGATGGACAGATTCCAATGTCAACTATGCAGCGCCCAAACACTTTAGTGATGCCCAAAACCACTCCTTGGTTGATACTGGTTCCCTTTATAAAGAAAGCATATTTATATTGATTCCCCACCTGCCAGGTGAGGGTCTCTAGATTTTGACAAAGGTGCAACTCCTTCCTCCGCTTCCTCCTTCTCCTCGTCTCCTCCTACGCCTGCTCTGGATGCAGCTTGACACGCCTGAGGTTGAACACCGCAGCTCTGGATGCAACTGGGCACCTGAACCGGAGCACACGCCACAGAGAATGCCAGGCGCAATGCCAGAAAGAATGTCTGATAGAATGTCAGAATGTATGTCAAATAGAATGCCAGATAGAATGTCGGATAGAATGCAAAAATATATTGTTAGATAGAATGCCAGATAGAATGTCAGATAGAATGCCAGATAGAATGTCAAATAGAATGTCAGAACAATATGTCGGGGGGAATCGCTCAAAGTTAAGTAATTGATTTATATTTTCCCACTAGGTATGCAGGATTGAAATGGATTTAAAGTTTTTTTTTTTTAATGGGTTGCCATATATGCTTGCCATATTTCTCATTGAAGCAGCTGGTATAACAATAATGTAACGTGCTATGCCTGCAAATACTTGGTTGCTTGGTTGATACTTGGAACTGTGAGCAGTGAAAGGGCCTGCAAATCTACTCTAGATGTCCCTAACCAAAAACTACACCAAATACAAAAATAACTGAATGTAGATGATATGTGTCTCTTTGTTTCAAGGTGTCAAGTGTCGACTGTTCTATCTATTGGCCAAAACTTTCATGGGACACAAATCCGCAACCGGCATGATCCGCAAGCGATGGCCTCCCATGGAACTGCGCAGGCCTTCCACAGCAGCTGCAAAGAACTGAATGGCCCAGGTCCTAAGGTCAGCTGAGATGCTCAAAGCATTCTGTATGTACTATGTATTTATGTAATATGTATGTATCAAATTGTATGTGTAAACATATATATATATATTATTTATATATATATAATAGCTTACATACACATGGATATACTATATACATGCACTTTTGCACATGCATGAAGTTAAAAAACCAGTTGGAACCAAATATCAAACAGGCGATGGCAAGATGAATCTGCTGTTCCTCGGGCTGGGAATCCTGTAAAAAAATGGCATTTTTGAAGATTTCTTGTGAGAAATTTGGGTCAAAAACACAGAGTTTGCGAGCACCAGCTTTGCTTATGTGATCATGTATACATAATATATATATATATATTAAGAATCTTTTCATTTCTTATGATTCCCTTGGATAGCCATGATCCCCGGCAAGTGGCAAGCTCCCCAGCAGAAGGCCAGTTCCACACACTATCTGAACCTCGTGACCCAATGCGACGAGGAATTTCGCCCAACCATCCCCAAGTCATCACCATTTTTATGGCTATAAACTCTGGTTGGTGGTTGACCTACCCCTCTGAAAAATATGAAAGTCAGTTGGGATGATTTTTCCATTCCCAATATGGACTGGAACCAAACATGTTCCAAACCACCAGAACTCTTAACCATCCCCATTTTGGGTTGGTTTATGGCACTGGATTTCCGACATCAAAAAGGCATTCTGGCGAGATCCGGATCCAAAATGCACTAAACAAAGCCATCAGAATGTCGAAACAAAGCCATCTTGATGAGAATATTGAGGAAAGAAATTCAGGGTCCAACCCAAAAGATATTGATAATCGAATTGTGGAATGTAGAAAGAATGCTCCCTGGCTCTCTGCGAAGTTGCTTCCTCACCTTTGTTGATGTGATAAATTTAAGTCACCTGAACTCTTGAAGGTCACAGCTCCAAGTCGTCTCTGAGCGAACCCAAAATGGTTGGAAGAATCAACTCTTGGGCAACATACATTCTTTAACATCGATTGATGTGGTAGGCACCGTAGGCACCCCATATTCCGTAGCATTGCTGCCGACCAAGCAACAAAGGCTCTGGCATTCCCTTCATTCTCCTTCTGAAAAGTCCTGGTTCCAACAGGTACCAACCATTCTTCCCTCTTCCGAAAGGACACTCGAAGGTGTATGACGTCATGTGTCTCCATTTCCATCCATTTTCATCCATTACCATCATTTCTAAAAAAGGTGGTTTTAACCATCTTGAAAAATGATGGAGTTCGTCAATGGGAAGGATGACATCCCATATATATATATACATATATATATATATATATGCAATAGAAAAATAAAACATGTTCCAAACTACCAACCAGATTATAATTATATATATACCATCTGGTTATTTATATATATATATACACCATCTGGTTATTATATATATATATATACACCAACAAGTTCCATGACAATTTCAATATACCGACCATTTGCCTGACATGCCACGGACCTTCTGGACATTTGAATGGTGAAATCACCAGGATGGCCGGCACTTTGAGCCGTTTTTGATCATCACCCCAAACAGGGCGGACACTGACAACTATGATTATATATACAATTATATATATAATTATATATATAGATGACACACAATAACTATATTGTACAAACACTACTATAGATTAAAACCTCGCTCAAAAAAATATGTAACGCAGCTGGCGTACTTCATCTTGCGGCCAGCTTCCCAAATCGACACGACTGACACGACCGACACCAGATTCTTCGCATCCTGGCTGCCTCTGCAAAGTGCTGCATGAGTCTGCGATGATCATCTTCATCTGCCCTGGTTTCAGCTGGAGTCGAAACCAACGGACAGCGAATTTCATAGTGGTACAAATAAATTGATGTTCATTGTGGATACTGAAAGTTATTATTTATGCAAAACTCATAAGGAACATTCTCATTCGTGGATTTTTCGAAGCGTCTCCCCATGTGGCGCGGCTGCATTTCTGAATGGTTCCTATGGATGGTCCCCATGTCATGGCTGTCCCAATTTTTTGCGACCGGCGCGTGGAGTTGATGCCTGTCATTTACAAATGTAACGTGTAACCTGAAACTTGACCAATTTCAGATCCATGAAGCCATGAAGCCCCAAATGTCTGAAAAATTGGGTTACCATTTGGTTATGACTAACTGACATAGCCATGGAAAATCACCATTTACTTCGATGCTTTACCTATTAATATATTAATAGCATGGTGGATCTTTCCATGGCAAACTGTTAGTCATAACCAGAGGGTTATCATCCAAGCATTTCCACTCTGAAAAAATCTCTGCAGCAGGGAGTTTGGTGCGGCCGGTAAATGGGAATCCTCAGGGATCGTCGCTTCGCTAAGGTCACTTGGAAAGGGCGAACTTGGACCTGTACCTATAATCTCCAAGTATCTGGAAATATGCGGTAATATACCGTATACTTGTACCGCTTATTTTGGGACTTTTGCCCATATCATCTTATCAGATTGCATGTTCATAGGCGGCTAAGTATTCAATCCCATTCACCCATCTGTTTGCAGCCCAAAAGCAACAAAGGCCCCGGACGCGTCGGAAATGCACCCATGGCTGCTCTGGGATTTCTGTGGAAGCAATGAGAGACTTGACCAATAACTCCACTGGATGGTACAATTGAAAAAGGGACTTCAACCTCAAGCATGGGGCTTCACTATGAATTGGGGACACCAAGGTGCCATTCAGATCCAGAATTTCAGATGATTTGAGAAACAATGCGATTTTTTTGGGACCACTTAAGAGTCACCGTCCATTTTCCTTGTGGCAACTGACAGCTCAACTGGATCCATGGGATGTTTTCTCAACAACGGCAGCGTTTGGACGTGATTATCCCGTCCTGACATGACTCCTCTAACAACATCACCTTTACCATTTGTTTCCGAGGGTGTATAACGTTCATTAGTATTATAAATGTTATTGTCAAGTATGATTTAAGTAATAATGAACCATTATTTAAGTAATGAACATTCAAAGTACAAATGAAAATAAAAACATATATAACCATTTACCATTATCATCCAATTTCTAAGATTATGTATAGTAATCCCCAAATAGATGGAAAAGTGAATCACCATCAAATTAGTAGAGATTTACTTTTCCATCTATTTGGGGATGACTATAAGTAGTAATAAACCATAATAAACCCTTGCTTTATCAACCCCAGCGCACTCGAGCTCGTGTGGCTCCATCTTGCAGAACTGCTTCGGATCTTCGTCGGGATCTGCTGACCTAGGGGGTCCAGCCCTTCGGAACGTGGTGAACCAAATATCAAATGTCTGGCGAAAACCTATCAAATTCTGGGGAAAACCACATCTTTGGTTTACTTCGGAAGATATCATAAGATATTTTCAATGAGCCTTTTGATGCAGCACTCATCGTTTTGACGAAAGACCTTCGACTCTCGGTCACCCTCACGCGCCGAAAGTCGACTGGGTCCCGCAGCATAAATGCGACAATGTCCAGCGCTGTGAGTCGTGTTTGTCGCCTGCCATGGGACATGGGACACCGTGGCAGCGGTGAAAGCACTCCAGATGAAGGGAACAAAAAGCAGTTCCGTGGCCCAACAGCCAGATGTTCCATGTATGGTATATATTTATCTACATGTTTCCGATTTTTGGGATAGATGTTGATAGCTCTTCCATGGTATTCCGTTAATACATGGAGCATATGGAAGAATTGTTCCGTGCACCAACAAATCAGAGAGAAACTATAAACTTCTCACGGGCACCTGGAGGAAACGAAGATCAAGGTCGGCTTGATACCATCCTGACGGCTGCACTTTTTTTTCAGCAGGGCTCGAAAAAAGGAGTCGTCAGCCGCGCCAATCTGAGGCGTCGGCAGCTTTCACTGCGTGGTTCTTGATGGCATGGAAGCAGGGCTTGTTCATCTGAGCCATGCGTGCCACCTGACCGTGGAACGTCGAGCCAAACTCGGATGCAACACAGGGTGAAATCCACATCGTCATGGGCAAAAAAAAAAGGCGACCAAGGTGTTTGTTTTATGCAAGATCATGTAATTCATATATACATATATATATACACCCTCTGGCAATTTAACATAACTATTGAACATGGCCATTTATAGTTGATTTACCCATTAAACAAATAATAAATCCATAGCAAACTGCTAGTTTACCAGAGAGTAATATCGACTGTGTGGTTCTCGATATCAAGCGTCAGTAGTTTGACACTACAAATATCTACAGATTCCGTCTGCGCCATGATTTTGAAGACTTATGACAGGTGGACATCCACTGAAAAAATATATGGTAGAAGCATACGGAAATTGATTAGTTATAACTGGTTATTTCTATGGGATTATACATTCTATAAATCGGGTTATAAGTACTTAAAATTGGTAAAGGGCCATAACTGCAGAAGTATATGGAAATCAATACCATAGCCATACCATAGTATAAACCAAGAAAGACACATCAACGACATTTACAACGGACCCATCTCCGTCGCCAAGTCACAAAGTGTTTCTCCGGATAGCCCTGGATGTGGGCAGTCATCGGCACGGGCCTGGAACCACGGGCCCCGTTGGATGAAATCTGGCGTTATATCCATGAGATTTCCATGTCAATGAGGCAAAAAATGAGGCATATATATATATATATATGTGATTCCTATGATAGACCTAAAATGCCTATCCCATGACGGATCCATGGTGCTGGTATATATGCTAACATTGGGGGTATATTAATGGTAAATGTTACCATATATAGCAGCACCATGGATCCTTTTGCCTATTTTCAAAGAACCAGAACTCTCTGTTTTCGTTCCCACATTTTTAGATGTGAAAAATCTTGGTGCGCTCGCCTGTGCTATGTTACCCACAACCATACTAGGTTTTGGATGGTTTTGGATCATCCCTAGCTCCCTTTCCGACGTTGGTTTAAGGTGTGGTGAAACTTGAAACCTAGGGACCGATTGTGCTGACAAAGTAGAATGTGTATCCATGTATACAGTATCCTTTTTCTTGGCTGTTAACAAAAAAACTTGACTTGGTTTTGATGTGTTTTCGCTTTCTCCTGCAAATCCTGCGACCATACTGGTGTATATATATATATATATATACATATCCATTGATTTCGCGTCTCGCAAAAGGAGTTGAATTGGATTTAACAACAAATGGGCCACAATGGGATTCAACAACAAGTGGGATTCACCCTCTGGCAAACAAACATAGCTATTGAAAATTGCCATTTATAGTTAAATTACCAATTAAAAATATTTTTTTTCATAGTTGTGTTAGTTTACCAGAGGGCAACTATCACATGGAATTCAAGCCGCAGCATAAAAAATCACCCAAGTCACCATGGGTTTCAAATGTTTCAAGACAGAAATTGTCCAAGGACTTGGACGATTTGGGACATATGACTAGGGCAACGAGTTCACTCCAATCAGTTGGCGTAGTTAGTTGAATTAGCAAAGTTGGTCACTAACCAAGTGGTTTAGCTCATTTAGATCCCAAATTACCTATAGTATTAGTAAAGCAATAGGAATACGCACCCATATTTTGATGGTTTATAGAACCATATACCCTTTTATAGTAAATCTGAGGATGGTGGATCCCATTGCTTACTAACATGAGTAGCGTTGCTGACTTCGCCTCACGGAAGGCTTGAAGTTGTAGAGACCCACCTCATGAAGCCAGCAGCAAAGGTGTTGTCCATGTCGGACAACAAAGTGATTCAGTATGGACAACTTGATCACTAAACAATTCAGCTAAACGATCAACCGTTGAGATTCATAGCGTGTATAAATATGTACCGGAAACTGCATCAGAATGAACAATGGCTGTGGATCAACATAGTTAGTTGCTACGGTTCATGGTGTGTGTGTGTGAAAAATATGCTGCTCAAATTGCCATGGATAGAAAAAAGACTGTATAGAGCCCTGGTTTATCCTTTCCAAAAGCTATTGACCCATGCAGAAACGATAAGATCAAACACAACCAGGTGTGAGAATCTCAAGTGCGCATATTCCAGCAGCCTGACATAGGTAGTATACCTTTCGATCACTGGTATCCAACACATATATTTTTCGGACAACAAATCCGACCGCAGTCAACGTTTAGTTGTGACACTCCTTAGGAGACCCTCTCAGTATACGGAGCTGCTTTTTGACGTCAAGTAACAATTCCGATGCCCAACCAATCGGCGATGTCGTGGGCATTGGCCAATGCCTCTGCATCCGGAGATGTTGATGGAACCAATTACCCTCTGGACTCACATAGCTATTGAAAATGGCTATTTATAGTGGATTTTCCCATCAAAAATGGTAATGTTCCATAGTTATGTTAGTTTATCAGAGGGTAATTAATTATATCAATAAATGATACTGTGGATGGTTGCGAAATCCTGCACCACCTTGGATGGTTGAAACATGTTGAAACCCTATAAATAGTGGGATGTTTACCACCTATCAGCTGGTGCAGGATTTCGCAACCATCCACCGTATGTTTTCGGACAATGAACATTAATAATTATACAAATTATACATGAATAATCTCCAATATGGTTTCTCATGGTTGCTCAATCTCTCTATGTATCATTATTCTGGGTAAATTATAATATTTCACTAACCTGAAATAAGGCCATTTTGGGATGATTCCCCTTACTAACCATGATTCCAGGGTTCGGTCGTAGTGAGGTCGTTATATGTCGTTATCATTTACCCAGCATTCTGTATCATCGATTGATATCGATGCCATCTGAACATGTCATGCCCCTTGGTTTCCAGCCCCTTGGTCTGGGCCGAGAACTGGAAGCTTTTGGCGAAGACCACACATGATGCAAAAAGCCAACAAAAATGGAATCAACTCCCATTTTCTTCTGTTTAATAAGTACTTCATGGCAAAATCAATTCATGAGGTTTAATTAGACAGGTTTGGATTAGCATTTCATTGGCTTTACCACATTGAAACCATATGAAACCATAATATGTGCATATGAATTGCACTGCAACCCCCTGGGATCCATCATCGCCGAGCGACAGTGCTCAAGCCAACGAAGCGAATTGCCTGGACCAAAACTGCCCCAAGATATCAGTGGATTCACGGAATGTTCTCAAGACAATCCAGAAAGAAGCGCAGCGGAAAATAAGCAAACATGTGCAAATCACCACATTGAATCCTATTCCCAAGACCAAAAAATACATGGAGGTGTGCCATTTTTTGTTACAGAAAACTCTCAAATTGGATGGTTCATTATAATTCAAAATATGTTTGCCGCATAAAAATCGTCGGAGGTATACCCCGTTGTTGGACGAACCCATTTACATCCAGTCCAGCAGCTGCTTCACCTTGTCCAAGTTGCACGAGATGTAGCGCATTCGCGACCTGAGCGAGAAACTCTTCCTGATGGAAAACACCGCTGATCCCAAGGAAATTGTATAGGATCGGCCCCTCCCCCCCCAAAAAAAAAAGGAGGGAGAGGACAAGAGTCCAAGGAATAGTTTCTAACATAGTCGTTTGGATTGGTTGTAACATAGTTTCCTATAGGTTAGTGTTTCAACCAATCCAACAAATAGTGGAACACAGAGTTTGGATACCCCAAAATCCAATCGAAGGTTGTAAACGTCATGATTTTAACATATTTCACCATTAAACAGCCGTTTGGATCCGTTTGGGGGTATAGGCAATTGTTTGGACAAAGCCGTTTGGTGCTTTGAAATCCTCACTTGAGGATCATAGACCCAGTAAATGCTGGTGAATCCACCCCCTAAAAAGTGGTAAACAGGTAAACATCATTTATGCATCCAACAAAACTGTGGTATGATAGGTTGTATATGGTTGTATATGGTTTGATCATCTTCCAAATAGGGGCCGAACTCACCACTGACATTTGAAGCCACGAGCCTCAAAGGATCCACGCGGCGCAAGCCGCTGTTTTCTGAACGTCTCGGCGTCCCGGCACAATCACTTCCAAAACGGGCCCACGGTCCTGCGACTGGATAAGACAATATCCATGTTCTTAGCCTTTGGATGAGATGTTTTAAGTATATGCAACACGGCAATACGGCAATACATTATCCTCAACTAATGTATTGATTTCTGTCGGCCTAACTATGGAAAATCAACATTCTTAATATAGGTAAATGATTAAAAAACACATTAGCCATTTTCTACAGCTATGTTAGTTTACTGGAAGGTATATGTTTGTTGAAATCAGTTGTGCCACCTGTGTTCCATCTGCATCAGCGGACTTGGCTATCTTCACCACACCTCGACTGAACTGATGGACATGCAAAAAAGACCACTCAAAGCATCTGTGGTCATGAAGTGCATGAAACAAACAATTGGCACCAAAAGTGTACCCTCTGGTAAACTAACAAAACTATGGAAAATCACCATGCTATTAATAGGAAAACTTAAAATTTCAATGGCCATGGTTTCCAAATATCCAGGCAAATGTTGCAACGTCCTGCCCGAGCAAGTGGATCTCATCAATGATGACCAAGCCTACTTTTCGCACGTACCTCAGACTTTCCCATGTTGGCTTGACAGATGTATACCATGCTGAACATAAAAATAGTTGGTAAATGGATGCTCATCCCCAGGGATGGTATTATATACATATATATACATATGTATGTATATTATTATTATTATGTATATTTATCTATACAGTATTTAAATCTACCACAGTACATAGGTTTTAGCACATTTAGTATCCCAAACAAATCAATAGACAAAAACACGTTTAATTTAACATGGGATGACTTATGACCAGATAAAATTCAGTGGTTTCCCAGGGCCTTACAATACCTTTTGGTGCACTTGGGGCCTCCAAGTACGCATGCAAATTATTAAATTGGTAAAAATCCTAGGTCATAATGGATGGATATGTTATATATATATAACCCAATTGTTTGATAGGTAGTTGAAAGGTGCATACCATCCCGCACATCCATTTCTTGGCCAGGTACCAGGTATCGACTTATTGGAGGCACGTACACAAGGCCTATTTTTGAGTTAAATTTAGCGGATACCCTCTGGTAAACTAACATAGCTATGGAAAACCACCATCTTTAATGGGAAAACTCACTATAAATGGCCATTTTCAATAGCTATGTAACAAATTACCAGAGGGTATACCTCCAAGTTCTATGGACATGGAGGTTTCCGTTTTGTCATGGGGGTACCCCAAATCATCGTCGTCAGACCACTTTAGTATTGAAACATACCCATGATTGATGACTTGGAGATCCCCCAAGCAAAACACCACCGGAAGTTTCCTAAAATGGGGGGTACCCCTAAATCATCCATTATTTTAATAGGGTTTTCCACTAAATCATCCATAAATCATCCATTATTTTGATGGGTTTTCTCATGGAAACCAACCATTTTTTGGAGATCCCTGTGCCGTCCCTTGGCCCCCGGAGACCCCGGGTCACGCGCGGTGCTGCCAGTGCCGCGAGATGCCATCCCATTTCTCCGGGGTGGTGACCTGAAAAGATGTGTCGTGTCGTTTTTAGGGGAAACATATGGGAAAATGTGGGGAAAACATGGGGAAATGTGGGGAAATGTGGGAAACTATGGGAACATATTGGGAAAATATTGGAGAAACATGAGAACACTATGAGAACAATATGGGAAACATATGGCTGAAATCAGCTACTAGACTTCGAGAATTGTCCAGCTAGCCATGTTTTTTTGAGCTATAGGTTGACTTATGTTTTGGTGAATGTTTGGGTTTATTGGGGATATGACTATAGTTTAATAGTTTAGGGGTTTGTAAAACCAACTTGTAACCTGGGGGCCTCACCTTGTATCAATAACTCTCCTGACTATCCCATTGGAATGTGAACCCAGCCATACCCGTATGATTTATGATATCCAAGTCGTTTAGTATAGTTTTACCCAGGTTCTCCGTTGATTATGTTGGCAGTTTTTCATATCCCTACTTGTGATTCAGTTGGATTCCAGTTTTTGTGAGTAAATGTACATGACGAAATTCAAGACAATGTATGCAACCAGCAATAGGAGCGTGTTGTCTTTCCTCTTAACGATGATTACTCCATTTGTGGTCCCCTAGGTCTCATTTCTGTGTCTCCTCTGTCATGACTGGACTCTGAAGATCCAGCTTTATTTGCATCGGTCCAGAAATGATGGCCGGCAATCAGCATGCTTTCCAATTGGCAAGTTTGGCAAACTCTTGCCGGACACGAGGTGGTGCCCAGCTATAGTTTGGTAACATCTTATCACATCTGATAACCAGCATTACGTTCGATATATCTACCAGAAACCTAGCAGTTCTTGGGGGCAGCACCTGCAGACTTCAATGGCAGCTTAGCACCAGACCACCACATCAGCGCGTTCCAGAGCATCAATCTGGGCGTGCTACTGGTGTACTTTAGCCAAGGGCACTATACGCAACCAAGGGCACTATCAAACTTGATACGCAAACATTTTGGTAAAAGCCAACAGACTATGCATAGGCGGCATAGGTATTGGTTGGTTGATGAAAGATACAATTGGGAGTCACAAAAGGCTATGCACCAATAAACTGGTATGGATGTGGTTTCAAACCAATCGAAACCGATATAATTATATATAATATGTAACATACATATGTAATATATATATATATATTATGCATAGCTACCAATTGTCAAGGCGGGCTTCTGATATGGGCCCCACTTCGGGACTCAATTCATCCACCAGCAGAGTGATGTAACTGACACAACTCTGCAGGAAAGTGGTCTGATTCCATCAGCTTGGAAACAGGACCTTTGCATGACATCTACTACTACTATATTTCACAAGGTAAATGACCAATATTTGACATAATTTCAATGGTCCAATTTCACCAATATGAGAAATATATCATTAAATTAGTTCAGTTCCGTAAGTTGCCACTTACATATTTTGTCCATATGATCGATATTCTAACTCGAAGAACTAGAAGTTATGTGTGCACATATCAAAAATTCATGTCAAAGAGGCTGTCCTGTAACTATCCCCCTAATTGTATATGATATGTTGCAATTACAATTCATATTCTCTATAGTTGATAATTATCATGAGTGGGATATTGAACATCCCCCAACAAATCAAGGGGATCATAACTGTCCCCCCCAACTCAAAAGTCAACATTAATAGATAGTGCTTAAATGTTTTAAATCCAGCTGTTGTCAAACATGTTTGATAGACCAATCATCTCCAACCAGTTATCCTTCATCTATCCCACTATTTCATTCACAACGGTTAATCATAATGTTTGCATACATTCTAATATCCCCCAGCAACTATCATTGTTAGATATGATTGGGATATTGGATAGTACCTACCTTCTGTTATCGATGACCGGCAATATCCCCCAGTTGCAAAGTATCATTATACCCTCTGGTCACTGAACATACGTATGGAACATTGTTTATTTATAGATGATTTCACAATGGTGATTTGCCTGGTACCATGGTGATATTCTATGGCTATGTTAAATTGCAACAGGTTAACTATATGCCAACAAGTTGTCCTCGAATGGTCAAAACATGTCAAAACCGTCAAAACCATTAAATTATAACTATATTAACTATGATCATCTATGATCTAATGTAAACAATTGCAATATTCCCCAGTTGCTATCATTATGAACACATCGTAGACAAACTGTGCCTCAACAAGAACTACTATCCCTCGTGAGAAACTCAGATCGTAGTTGAATCATGTTGAATCCAGATGTCCTCCAAGTTTGAAGATCAACTAAGCGGCCCCTGTTTTTTCCATGTTTGAAGATATTCGAAGATGTTTGGGGATGTTGATTACTGGTATCCAACATCAACTGATATAAGTTATCCCAAGTTATCCGCTAAAAATCGACAATCTTACAAGTACCACAAATCAACTTAGGATAACTTAATCAATCTTACTAAGAACTTACCCTCTGGTAAACTAACATAACTATGGAAAATCACCATTTTTAATGGGTAAATCAACTATAAATGGCAATTTTCAATAGCTACGTTAAATTACCAGAGGGTAACTTCATCAATTTTAACAATAACTTATGTTGATTACTGGTACGAACACTTTCCCCTTCCGGGATTCCGGGTCACGTCCGGCGTGAAGTCGCCCGTGAGCTCCACCACGGTCTTGCCCAGCTGGCGCTGGAAACGCTCCTCCCAATCCTGGCCGAAAACGTTTTGGGTAACGGCATTGGAAGGGGAGAACAGCCACGGAAAGTGACATTTCAATGGGAATTTCAATGGGAACTTCAAAGAAGCTGCGTTGGTAGTCGTTGTTTGATACTTTTGGAACAGAAATTTATATAGCTGGAACTTGTAAATTTCCATAAGCTTTGATCAATCCCCACATCAACTGGTTGGTTGATCGGATTTCTCAGCTCACGGAGCTCATGGATTGTGATAATCTCCAATATCTTGGATAGCATAACCCTAGAAACAATCAACAACCAGGGGGTTCGACTACTTCTCTGGTGACAAAATATGGAGCATTTGTTTACAGAGAAAAACACTTATGGAATATGTGGGATTCAATGAGATTGATTGAGATTTTGTGGGATACCAGCTATGTTTGGGGTATTTTTGGGAGATGGATATGTAGAGGATACAGGACCGAACATGTAGGGATTTAAGGTGATTTGATGGGATTTAGCACGATTTAGTGAGATTAAATGGTATAAAGCATATAGAAACAGCAGTATGAATTTTGCGATAGATGGGTGTGCCTGAAAATGCTTAGTTGATCACTAGTTGTATCAATTGAATGCAGAAAATCATGAGTCACTGGATTATGATGCGGAGTTTTTGGGGTGTCCTATGTTCAAACAAATCCATATCTACATGAGGTTGTGACAAGATCCATTCCCATAGGATCCATGTATGCTATATATGGTAACATTTACCATTAATATACCCCCAATGTTAGCATATATACCATACATGGATCCTATGGGATTTAAACATGCAACACACATCCGACCATCGGGAAATTGTTGCATCCCTCGATCTGCCTCCATCCTTTCACGCGCCAAGGCTTTCAAGGGAGCAATATAGATCACCTGCCATGGGGACGCATGGTTAAATTATGTTATATTAGTATATATTAGTCTCATCAGTTGACAATTAAAGAACGCTGGTTAAACGTTTTACCATCTGGTTCTTCAACAGTTCGCCATGGAAGCCATGGTCCATTGATAATTTTCCCAGCTAGATAGCTCTATTATTCCATTGATTTTGGGGATTTTCCATGGCGAACTGAGTTCGTCATAACCAGAGGGCAGCAGATCTCGGCGCTTTTCTCGGCTTTTCTTTTGCGACCGTCAGGCGCATCTTGGATCGTCCAGCCTAAGGCGAGGGTAGACCCTATTCAAACGAACAGAACATGGGAAGTGAACCAAGAAATATGTAGAAATATGTGAATTGCTTGGAGATTTACTTGAAAATATGGACCCAATGGTGGGGACATTAACCCAGAAATACATACAATGTGGTGCCCCAGTTCGTTGACCAAGTTGGTTTATAGCTCCAACAGTTACGGATTGGTAGATATATCAATAGTCAATGGGGTTTAAAAACCAACGAACATTTCCCTTGGCACCCTATGGAGGTTGCTCTCAACACCTACAACGTTGATATTTCCCAGCCTTAAACCCTCCATTTGTAGGGGATATCCCGTATTTTCCTGCTTTTCCTATGAATTTGGCAGCTATAAACTAGCATTTCAAAGGGGATTTTCCAGCTACGAGTACTGGGATTGTCCATTCCCATCTGGCAGTGTGTCAAAACCTTGTACCCCTGGTGAACATCAAAATAGTTGGTAAATGGATGGTCATCCCCCTAAAAATGGTATTAATAGGTATTGATCCATTCTCATCTTACTTTTCACCTTCGAAAACCGCCCTGATTTTTTTGACCATCCTTGACCCCGCCTGAGTCGTTGCCAAGCGTTGCCCCAGCCGCCGCCGGCGTCGCCGCAGCAAGGGTCGTACCCAGCGCCGCGGCAAGTAGCAGCTGAGCCGAGTGATGGCCCTCGGCGTGCCGTGCAAAAACGGCGCGTGACGGAAGTCAAGGGGGCAAAAATAGTGCAAAAATATGCAAACATGGGATGATATTATGTATACATAAAGGTTATAAAGGGCTTATAACAATTATAATGGGATTTATTAATACAGGTACTGAATACCTCCATGTTACTGCAGTAATCAAACATAGCTGCAGTTGAAAACCCCCTATATAAATGAAAGCTTACCGCGGGGAAAATCATCTACAAATGGAACATGTTCCAATTGCTATGTTTGCTTAGCGGACGGTAAACCAACCGAACTTGGGAGTCAATCAAACACACAGCGGGATGAGTCATGAAGCAACAAAAAAAGCAGCTTTCAATCATCCAGCCTGCTTGCTTTTACCCACACAGGCTAGCTTATTCCACCACCACCAAGGTCATGTGGGTTACAGGTGGTTCTGGGCTCGCGCCTTGAGTCACACATCCAGACATGGACGTGTCCGGAAATGGTCAATACACACACAATTCATGGCAATTTACGGAATGGGAAACATATATTATATCAAAAAAAAAAGTGATACCCCATTCTCGGAGAAACTCATATTGATCCTTAAGTTGGGGCGCAGTTGGCATGCCACCCGCCCTACTCATCACTGTTTATACGGTGAAGCCGCGTCATCCACGCAGCTTGGCGCAGTTTTTTTTCTCCCACCATGCATTCCCCTGGCACCGTCAGCAGCTGCGCTGCAGTGTCCTGGAACACACAGATGTTGATTTGACCCAGAAATCGTGGGTATGGAACATATGGATATGGGAAGCTTAAAGATATGGGAGTTGATCATTGCTTCAAACCTAGGAATCACAATCAATACGTCTCACGGTTTATGATGTACATTAGATGAAATGAACAGTGGTGCTAGAAGACTTGGATCGCGGAATCTCAAGTCGAATCCTATGAAACTGACAGCGCTTTCATTGTTTGATTGTGACTATCTCCTTTTGAGCATTGATTCTGTACACTATACAAAAGGTTGCTTCTCCGGCAAGAATCGCCCGTTTCATTCGTTTCCCCTTAGGAAATTGCCAACTTCTTCAACACAATAAGACTCGAATGTCGAATGCTATTATAAAAAAATACTACAAATATCAATGTCATAAACCACCCATATGTACATATATGCTGGTTGAAATCCCACCCATGTTGCGTGCAGTTAAGGCCCTTTTACCGCTTCTTCATGCTTGGCTTCCATGACCTCTCCTCCAACAGCCGCAGCAGCCGCAAGATCTGCCGGTTCGTCGTCGCGCCGGAACCTATCCCCAAGGCGCAGCCGGAGGCGAAGGTCAACACGTTGCAGCGCAAGGACCTGGCGAGGTCCCAAGGAGTGAACAAAACGGTGAGGAGAGTCGAGTTTTTCAACAGCCAAAGATAAAAATATATTAATTATATGATTACATAATGATATTACATATGATGTTCATCATTGTTGTTCAACAGTGAGTTTTTTCATATGATTACATAATGATATTACATATGATGATTGCCATGTTTATTGCCCATAAAAAAATGTTTTGAGATATGTTTGATAATTACGATGATGACTACCAAGAGTTTTGAGCACCAAACATCAAGAATTGCATATCCAAACGTCCAAACGAGCATCTAAAATGTCGTTGCTGGTGGGACCTCCGTTGAACCGCTGGGTTGGGTTTGAGGCCTCATTGAACTCATGAGGTGTCTGGAAATCCAGTGCTGGAAAGTATCGAACAATTGAATATTTTTTTGGGTGACAATTTTTGAAGAAACACATGGTGATTCCAACTAAAAAACATCTTGTGGGACAAAAGACCATACAGTATGAGCAGCAACACGCAGTGCCAAACAGTGGAACCTGCGAAAAAAAAAAAAGTGAGATTTTACCAAGCAAAAAAAAGGAAACAGGTCAATTCGGTGGGTAATGTGTGCTAAAAATGGGCACAGCTGAGTGAGTTCTTGGATCAAAACAGGTATGTCCAGGATCAGGCAGCTGGTGACTGTTCGTTCTTCTTTTCTGATATAATATATATATAAATCTCTATATATATATATATCCTTGATTAAACCAGCTTGTCGCTTCACAACATCACAACTTTCAACGGGTTTCTATTGGACCTGAGGAAACATCACAGCTTTTTATACCCCAAAGCTACAGCAACAAGTCAGAGGCGTCCTCTGCATCCCATTCAATTCATCCAATTCATCCAATTCGCCTGTCGTCTGCGCTGGCGAAAAGTGCCACCACTTGTTGCCAGCGTTTCATCTTGGCGCAGGCACCAATCGTGGAGGTCATGGTGACCACATCCGGCTGCCTGGCACCCAAAAACAAACAGTGGAAACCGGGGGGGTGACAACACATGTCTGTATGAAAAAGAACTAACCTTACCTTTCTAAACCATCAACATATGCTTAGAGTATCTAGTTAAGAAGAAAGCAAAGAAAAAAATATGTAGCCCTGATGAACATCACGTATTCGATTGCGCCATTGCCTAGCGCTTCAACGTGGAAAGGTACCAGGAACTTCATCCGAAGTTCGCGAAGTTCCATGTACTCCCTTACGGGTACCCCACTGGGTGAAATTCAGGGGCCGGGGATTTTGGATCTGTTTCTTACTCAATCTGATATCCTCTGGTAATTTGTTACATATAGCATATAGCTATTAAAATATGGCCCATAGAAATAGTGGATTTACCCCTTGATAGCATGGTGATTGTCCATACAATGTCAGGCCCCCAAGATAGCTAGGTGGGTTTATAACTCCAATAACTATGGTTTATGGTACTTATAACTATAGTTACTGGGGCTTATAAACCAACTTAGCTATCTTGGGGGCCCCATCCTGTAGTTATGTAAATGTTTATCAGAGGCTATGTGATTTCTCCGCCAATGTTGTGTCCAATGTCGACCCCTATGGCGCAGCCACAATTCTTGGGCGACATGATCAGAGCTCCTCAAATCAAGCAGGGATCTATGTGTAGTGTGGTAAAACAATAAACTAAAAAAAGGCTACACATGGCTATACCATATTACGGACTTTGAACAGAACCCCTTAACTAACAACCCAAGAGCTGCCTAACTTGGTTGAAAATACCTGCAGGAATCAAACGCTAGTGAACAAACCGTTCCAAACGGGCATTTAAATGAGCAAATCATCCAAGTAAGTGGGGACTATGTCCAATGCAATATTTGATTACCGGATGTTGAGCCCAATACCAAGTTCTCTAGGACTGTCAACCCCTACTGTCCTGGTTTTGCAAGCACGTTCTGCGAATACCGTTCAATTCAACATCGAGAACACGAGAATTCCTGCTCGACCAATCTGGCATGTACCATGTGTATTACGATACAGCACAAGGTGATGCCCCCCAAGTCTTAAGTTTACAAACCCCATGAGCTATAGTTATATCCCCCATAAACCCTAGTTGACCAAGTTATAAGTTATAAGTCAACTTAGCTTTTTTTAATTTGGTCCTACTTTGTATATTATATTATATATATATATATATTATACGTGTAGTTCCGACATGTTCAACCCTTGGTCACCAGCTTTGCCAGGAGGCAATTGAAGTTCATCGATGCGCACCAGCCACGCCAACGCCTCGCGCCACTTCGCCTCAGGGCGGGCGCGGCGACGAACGACACTCCAAGCCATGGTACGCATATGGGTAGTACAGGGTGTTCAAGTAATGTGGTGATTCCAATAACCCATAGGATCCATGTATGCCATATATGGTAACATTTACCATTAATATACCCCAAATGTATCCAAATGTTAGCATATATACCATACATGGATCCTATGGGTAAGGAATCCAAATTGATGTTTAGTAAGTATATGATGGTGAGTCATGACGAATCCACAATCTTTCTTGTTTAAAAAATCTATGATGGCAATGGCAACATGGTTATGTCAGTCCTGGCTTTATCGAAATCCAGGCGACTGAGAACTTTGGAGCCATGGCTCAATGGCCCCAACTTTATGTGGCAACAAATCAATTGATCCCATCTCAACATCATGTGATCCCATCTTTCTCAAGTGACCTTCTGCTGATTAGACAATGTTTTTTATGGGAATTCTCCCAATCTCTGGTGTGGAATGGGCGAGAATCTCATAGGGAAACCATGGCTTTTGCATATCTTTGTGTTTTTGTTTACTATAGTCTGACTATAGTGTAAATCATGTATACAATATATCGAGTGTCGCTTACTCACCAGTATTGTTCCATGTATACCAGCCTGGCCCAGAAATTCATGTCATGAGAGACGGTCATCTACATCTACATCAAGAATAAAGACCTGCATCATTGTCATCAATAGGTTGGTTTAAGGGAAAATCTGCAGGAAACCATGTTTTTTCCCACCAAATATGGGGTTTTCCTCTAGATTTTACGTCAAATCAATCCAATGATGTCAGGGTTACACTAGACTTTAGGTCTTTTTGGTGGTGGTCGTGTATGACAAATCCGACACATGCTGGTGGGCATAACTTCTACAGTGTTGACCATGTGAAATTAGCACCAATCATATGCGTTCTGCAAACCCCTGGAAAAAATCTGGTTCAAACCGGTTTGTCCAAACAAGTATTCCCAAACAAATGGTGATTCTATAATCATCAATTTGAACGTTAAACTGCCGTCACCATTTTCAGACACACCCAAATATCATATTGCTGATTATATATGTACTATTCAGTGATGTCATCCACATATGTGCAAAAAGGTCAAAACATAGTTTCTGTGCGGGACGGTCATCTCCCATCATGAGAATCCTTACAATGCTGATTTCTATTAACATTTCTATTACTAAAATTTATATTTAGATTTACATGTTTTTTCTATTTCTTGACCTCGGTACAATACTGGTTGGTGGCATACCTACCTCTCTGAAAAATATGAGTTCGTCAGTTGGGATGATGACATTCCCAATATGATGGGAAAGTCATTCAAAATTCCATGGTTCCAGTCACCACCAGAATGCAGGATGGGCCCCCCCAGTTATAAGTTGGTAACCATTATAATCCCCATGAACTAGTTCGTTATATCTACCATAAATCATTGAATTCAGCCACTTATAAACCAACCAGTAATCCCATTATAAATATCATTATTAACTATTATTAACCATTATTAATGAACATACCATTGAAGAAAATAAAATTCCATGGTTCCAAACCACCAACCAGAATAGGTACATTTAGTGTTCTATTAATGGATGATGATGGATGACCATCCCCAAACAACTGGGCGGCCCCACGTCAACATGGCTGCCGTAAAGCGCTTTGCAGCGGTGATTTAAGAAATGGAAGCCATGGCCCATTGAAAATTGTGTTTATAGATGTTTTACCTAAAGTCAATCAAACAAGATTAAACATATTTCACTTCAACATTCAAATCAGGAAATCAACAAGATCTATTTGAACAATAACAGCGTTTCCAGTTCACTGTGACAAAATAACAACTGTAGTTCGTCCACCAGCTGCAAGTCCAGCTGACGCTCTTCTCACAGACACTAATGGCAATGTTGAGGCTGGTGAGGTCCTGAGTTCCAGTGCACTGGGCACTTCCCCCAGGCCATCACAAAAAAAACTTGGGGGGAACACAAGGAAAAACTGTTGGTTTGATGAAGAGGTCAAGTCACTTAAATCAATTTAAATCATGTGAAAAATCTAAGTTTTTTACGTTGCCAGTGGCTATCATTAATACTTCCGCTTGGAGCAACCCTGAGATCGGCCACTGCGCTGGGCGAGCAATACTAATTAACTAACTGCATCTCCATGTGTTATCTCCAGAAAAATATAGTCAGTTTTTATCGGAAACAACAATCTTATATCAACTACTTACTTGCGTCTTCTTTTGCGAGTTTTCTCGTGTTTTTCACCCGATAGGCGCGCCTTCCTCAATGATTTCTCATCGGTCCCAAGACTCCGGCGCGTCGCTTGCAGTTGAATTCTCGAGTTGCTGAAACGCATGCAAAGCCTGAGTCACGGATTTCTCCGCGCATGGAAATAATATGGAACACATCGTTGATTCCAAAATAGTGTTGTGCCTGTCAACGTTTGAACTTGTCGAAAAACATCGAAGTAATCTCAAATTGAACTTATTATTGGTGTTCATCCGATACAGGAAAAGGTGGAATCATTCAAAGATGTTCAAAGCACGTTCCGCGCCAAATCAGAAGTTCGCCAAAATCTCCCAAGGAGCATGCTCCCATTGTGTCGACCTCTCACAACTGCTGATGGCAACGTTGTAGAGGATTGAATTCACGCCCACGCGATGTGTTGCAGCTGCGTTGAGCAGCACAACACTGGCACGCCATTTCAGGGCCCTCAGATTGGGGCCATCGACGCCTAAACCAGTGGCAACTCTATGATTATCTGCAAATATGGGTATTTCATTGAATTTCTTTGGGGAACATATTGCCATCTGGTTATTTAACATAGCCATGGAAAATCACCATTTTTAATAGGTAAACGCTAAACCATCTATAAATGGGCCATTTCCCATGGCTATGTTGAATAGCCAGAGGGTAACATACAATACACTCTTGCTGTACTTGTGTGCATCAGGGTGCCGCAAACAGGACCCCGGTCGCCGGTCGTGGATGTCGTGGGTCCGACGTGAAACAAAGATTCTGGGTGCCGCTATGCAGATCCATATCATACATATCTTTTTAAGCTACCAACATGGCTTAAACATTGGTAAACAAATACAGCTCTTGGATGGGAACCTTTTCCTCCTCATGATAGCAAAAATCCACAAGATCATATCATATAAATGATGTTCTGGGATAGTCACCCTCTGGTAATTTGTTTTACACTTTGTGAACTGGAAAGCGACCATCTGACTAAAACCGGTGGCCATCATAGAACTCACTATTCATGGGCCATGTTTGAACATGCTGAGAAAAATGACCGGAAGCTAACCCGGCATTCACCATCTTCATTGAAGTCCACGGCCGTCATGGCCCGATACATACCAGATATAAGTACTTATAAGTTATGGTTATGATTGATTATAAATGGGATTATACATTCCATAAATGGGGTTATAAGTTATAACCCCATTTATGGAATGTATAATCCCATAGAAAAAACCCATCATAAGCATTTATAATTGGTAAACGGCCACAACTGTAGGCATGGCAAGGAACACATCGCAAGCACTGGCCACTGCACTGTAGGTGATGACGTTGGGCCAGCTGTCCTTACCGACAGTCAGAGGATTTTAATAGTCATTTCACCTGGCCTGGCTGGAGAGTAATATATAGATTGATGATCATCTCACCTATATGTTCCATGTATGGAAGCTTGAAGCTGAAGCTACATTCCGGCCATTTTGATGGTAGATGTTGTTAAACAAAAACAACATGTACATGGTGGAGCATATATGAGGGCAATCTATTTGACTTCGAAAGTCATTTATTTTGGTGATTCTCCATGACTATACCATATACATTTTCCTGTTAGAAGTTGGGAACTTCAAACCAGCCATGTCAAAATAGTTACAACTTTTAGGTGTACAAACCAATTGAATTCAATGCGCTTTGCTGCTAGGGAAAACACGAAAACAACTGATGATTTTCAAAAGCATACTCTCAGCATTTCATGGCCGGACCTTCCCAATTTCTTGGACAATTCCACCCAAACCACACAAAAAAGAACTGCACGAACCAATATCAGTACTGTTTTATTTAGAAGTGTATACACTCACACATATATATATATACGAAAACCCTTGTTGTTGGTGGATTCTAGAATTCAACTGTGCTAATCACTTAAGCACATTGTAAGGAATCATTGATATGGCGAACCAAACAAGTAACCAATGATCGCTGTGGTAAAGTCATAACTGGGAAGCTGCCAACCGGGCAGCTCCAAGTTGTCTCAGTACTTCAGTGTTTGGTGCCGAGCTGCAAAACAATGTAGAGTTATACAATTACACCTGATCTTCTATGCACGACATATACACAATAATTAAATGAATATAATTATATATATATACATGCAACGATATACAATATATATATATATATATATACACTAGCAATATATATATATATATACATACATACGTATATACACCATGTTTATCATGATACATTGCAATCCTGAATGATTCAGAACTAGCCGTTTTTCTCCAAAGCACCTGATTCACATCTAAAATTCTCCGAATCGCACAGTGCGAAATTCATCCCAAAAAGATCCAGGTTTGATACAGTTATGGCCCTTTACCAGATATAAGTACTTATAACCCCATCTATGGAATGTAAAAACCCATTTATAACCAGTCATAACCACTTATAACTTATAATTGGTAAACGGCCACAACTGTAGGGATTCACCAAATTTATCATCAAGGCTGCACAAAAAAAACCTCTGCAGATGAGTTTCTCTGGAAGAAACATTCAAAATTTCAAGGGCCACTTCCCAGTGGCCATGTCCTCAGAGCAAAACCCTGGGAACTTGCCATCTGCACCAAAGGCCATGAAACCCGTAAGGCGAAAAACAATTGGAAACATCTCAGGGCGCATTTCTGTAATGATTTGCATTTGGAGGTTTCCTAAAATGGGGGGGTACCCCAAAATCATCCAAGTTTTTTGATGGGTTTTCCACTGTAAACCATCTAGCTATTGGGGTATCTGCATTTCAGCCACGAGGGATCAGCGCCATTTTCCACCGCCCGAGGAACTATGGCAGTTGCTGATGGTGGAGTTATAGCTGATCCTCGGCGCATCGGCGATCTTGCAAGGACTTGTGCAAAGGGAGTCCCAGTGACAAGAAATCTCAATAATCTGTAAAATATGAAATAGATATATTGATAATAGATATATTATTATATATGTATTACGTATTTTTATACATATGTATATATATATATATATGTATTATGTATTTTTATACATATGTATATATATATATATTGATTTATTTGTTTATTTACTAAAATTAATTTACATATATATATATAAATCTATATTGTATCTTATAAGATAGATAGATAGATAAATAGATAGATAGATAGATAGGTAATGAATAGATAGATAGATAGGTAGATAGATAGATAGATAGCTAGATAGATAGATAGATAAATAGATAGATAGATAGATAGATAAATAGATAGATAGAAAGATAGATAGAAAGATAGATAGATAACAAAAAGATAGATAATAAATAGATAGATACTAAATAGAAAGACAACTATCTGGAAAGACATAAAGATAGATAGATAGAAAGATCGATAGATAGATAATAAATAGATAATAAATAGATAGATAATAAATAGATATATGAAAAAAAGATAGATAATAAACAGATAGATAACAAAAAGATAGATAATAAATAGATAGATACTAAATAGAAAGACAAATATCTGGAAAGACATAAAGATAGATAGATAGAAAGATCGATAGATAGATAATAAATAGATAATAAATAGATAGATAATAAATAGATATATTAAAAAAAAGAAGATAATAAACAGATAGATAACAAAAAGATAGATAATAAATAGATAGATACTAAATAGATAGATAACATATGGACAGACACGTAGATAGATATATAGATAGATAGATAGATAGATAGATCGATCGATCGATCGATCGATAGAGCGATGGATAGATAATCAATAGATAATAAATAGACAATAAATAGATAATAAATAGATAGATAATACATAGATAGATAAAAATAGATAGATAATACATATATATATAGATAATAAATAGATAGTTAGATAGACAAACAGATAGATAGATAGTTAGTTAGTTAGATAGATACACATATGTTCCTGAAAAAAGAAAACATTGGGAATCAGATTCAGTTCCGGCTGTCCATCTTCTGGATTTTCAAGGTGGTGCCCCGACAACGAAACGATTGTTTTATAACCAATCATAGATCTAGGATAAACCCGACATAGCTAACATAAATCAACTGTAGATCCATATTAATCACATGGAAAATCACCATATTTTCTTGAAGAAATCCAAACGGTTCATCATTTTCCCGGTTTTTCTTGGTGACATCGCCGCGTCGAGTCTCAGATCCGTTTCCAGTTCCCCAAGCAGATCCACGGCGCGGCGCCATTGGCCACCAAAGTGGCTCAAGAGCGTGTTGCCTCAGCGCTTCCGACCCATGACATGTTGTAAAGTTTAATGCACCAGATGCCCAAAAATGTGAAAGATATGAGAATTAGATATCTGGTTGGTGGTTGACCTACCCCTCTGAAAAATATGAAAGTCAGTTGGGATTATTATTCCCAATATATGGTCATTTTACGGGAATTACTGGGATCTCATTGTAAATGAATGTAAATGGTATAGAATTATATGCGATTACACGGGATTGTATCCTATTATAATACTCAAGAATCAGTCTCGGCCATACATCAGTTATGAACTCTGAAATCTTTCGGATTTGTTGAAATCAAAATCTGGGTAAATTACCATTGCATCAGTGAATTGGTTTAAGGGAATATCTTAAACGGAAACCACCCTGGTTTCCCAACAAAATCCCTTCAACCCATTGTGGGAATGTAAATTAATGGTTGGTGGTTTTCAAACACATGAAACAAATGGTAGGATTGAATATAAAAACATATTCAATGGCAAGCACATGATGATTCAACATGGTTATTCCCAAATCATAAATTTCACACAAAAACGGGACGTTTTTTCTTAGCACTCATAAGAATCGGTGTTCATGTGACTATCATCTACCCATCATCCATGATCCACAGGGAAATCATCCGTCTGGAGCTCCGGCTGAATGCTCTGAATCGGCTGAATGCTGGAGGGTCAAGTCCCACCTTTTCCAGGTTGGTACACATAATCCTTCAATAGTGGTGCCACCTCCCATTTCGGACAAGCGATTGGTGATGGTATGTGATGGTTTAGGGTTGCCGCATGTTTTTTCTATGGTTGTTTAACCCACCATGAAATCAGCATGTTTGCTGCTGAACAAATTGACATCCCTCCCCATTGACATTTTCATTTTCACATCACATGTTTGCCCTTTAAACAACATTGCTTCGTCGAATCCCATACATCGATGGGACATGGAATTAGTTAACTGGTTCTACAGTAATTATGAAATATGCAACCCATTATGGCCAGTTGCGGCTACTAACCACTGAACCAACTGGCCAATCTATGAATTGATCTGGGTAAATGATAGTAATTCACTAACCTGAAACTTGCGGCCATTTGGGGGTAATTCCCCGAATCCTAACCATGATTCCAGGTTTCGGTCAGAGTGAGGTCACCCAATCCATCGCCGCGCTGCCAGTGATCACATTGAGCCTCAACCCCTCCGTGCGGCGCTCGCACGCAACCAGCTGCAGGGCCGCCCTCCAGCGCGTCGTTGCCGCCAGCGACGCATTGAAACTGATCACCTTTTTGGAAAACGGTGGACGGGGGGTAAAATCATCAGCGATGAGATAGTGATATGGGGTTTATATTGGGTTATGGGGCTGATATGGAGTTTATACATAATTACTCACCATTTAGGTGTGGTGATAAGTATGGTTGTATGGTGTGAAAAATCGTCTAAAAACATTTGTGTTTTACGTGGGCTTGTGATTTGGTAATGATATAATGATTGGCACTAACCCTGACAAGGATCGCTTCGTGATGGTTATCATGGTTCAAAAAGTCATCCACTGGCTTTCGGTTGTATGGTTGCAATGATAGATAGACAATCGACAATTAATTGATCACTCTTTTCGTGGGGATTGATTTTTTTTATCTTTTTGGCGCTTGCTACAAGCCTTGTTTGCAATATTTTGGTTAGCAAAAAAATCAACGCGACTAAACACAATATTAACAATTTCTGGACCAAACTATTGCATTGGATTGGTGCGCTTTGATACCCTCCGGTTGACACATCTGACAACATGAACTTGCAACGGCTTTGAAATCCCCCAGCCGGCCCGGGAACATAGTCTTTATACATATACCTGCCTCATCCTGCCTCTTCCAAAGTGGGCTTAATTGCTGCCTTTTGCCCAATGAATAAGTTTTGCATAGTTTTGCACAAGAACGACCTTTTTGGGCAAACCAGAGTTTGTTCTGATATATATCAATATATATATATATATTATAGCTGCCAAACCAGTTTTTCAGCGGCGAAAATGCCCCACCAAACGGCAAAAATACCCGACTACGTGGGCTGACAATTTCTCACAATATCTCACAATGGCATTTATTTTCGGGGACGGGGTTTTGTCGCAAGAACGGCGACAATTCTAGTGTTTCTGAGCAGCGGCAAAAATAAGTACCATATGGAAGATCCAGGTATATATATATATATATACATGGTTTTTGTCAGTTTCAAAATTTTGCATCATTCCAGTTCTTGAACAGCAAAAAAACACATTTCAAACAGTAACAAAACAAATTCAGTTGAACCTTATTTGGTGCCTCAATGCCCACGCCAAAAAAAAACAACTGGCCATTGCCACAGTTGAGCTCCCAACATTCGAGCGCCACGGGCCGTCAATAAACCTTGGACCAGGCTAAGCATTATGGTGATTTCCATAAATTGGGTATCCCAAAATGGTTGGTTTATAAAGGGAAATCCCATTAAAATGGATGATTTACGGGTATCCCCATTTTAGAAAAACTCCTTATTTGCCAGACCTCAACACTTGCAAGTTCGTGCCCCTGTTCCGAAAGACATCTTCTAGACCTCATCAATGAATTAGCTCATGGAGGCTACAAACAACATACCACTGCAAAACGCAAATTCATCGAAAAACACAAATCCGAACCAAAACGCGTCCCCTTCGACACACATGTCATGTGCAAGATCTTTGTGCCAACAAACTCCAAAGTTTTCTTCCATTGGGCTGCATTGCCGAGAACGCCGGCCAAGCAACCTCAAAAGCGCGGAAATTCGTGTTGGGTCTAAAACAGCACCAGAAGATGATAAGTGCAGAAAGCTTCGTGTGAAAATTAAAAAATACCAACCAATGTTGACACGGGCTGAGCAAAAACCTCACCAAGAAAGACACAATCCGCACAGTAAACACGTTGCACCTGTATATACTTGTACCACATGTTCGCAAACATTTGAATCAACCAAAGATGTGATAGGACAAACTTGCAGCCGAGGAACTCAAACTGATTGCGTTTGGTTCCAGGCCAGCCACTGTCGCGTTGCCAAACAAAGACAAAGCAGCTTTCCAGGCACGCGGGCCCTGCAGGGAATGTGCAAGCGTGTCGTGCAGCGCAAGATGCGCGTCCCATACAGCGCCAGATGCGCAGCAAGGTCGACGCTTCCATGCAATTCTGGGTTTGTCCGCCAGGCAGGCAACCGCGAGCACGCAATTTTTTCAGAATGGGCATGTTGTTTTAAGGCAGCTCGATCCATTCATGAATCATAGCGGATCAGAAACAAGCAAGTGGTGCAAATTGGAAGTGAAGATGCCTTGCTTCATGATCAGTTTGCGAATTCAGGCGACTGCGTGTTGCTTGCGACTTTCTTTGTGTCGGAAACCTGATTGCCAAATTAAGCGTAATGAGAAGAAAACACATGACTATAGATTACTTAAGAAGGGTTTGTGTTTTGAAAGGGCAAGACTCTTTCACATGGTTTCTTGTATCGGCGGTGCTTTCTAACAGTGTTTGGACCTCTTGCGGGCCACCCCGTAGACTCGTATCTTGGAGGTCCAAAACTCATGTATCATCAGGAGGAGCCTATATCCTATAATCAGTAGGAAACTTGCAGAAACTTGTTTGACTGGGCCTCATGAAGCATGGAAACATTTAAACATCTGATTTGGACAAGAGAATGTATCACTATATGACTTCACCCCTTCAACGAATCCCCGGACATCCCTGAATTTGGATACTTTGAATACTATCCACGAATCGTCACAAGACACGGTCTAATCACAAACTTGACAGCCTCATTGTTTATGTCCCGTTTGTTAACCACAATCATGCCCCTACTTAGTTTCACCGACGCATCATTTACACATCATGTGTCATATAGGTCACTCTGGAACAGAAACATCCTGTTGTGTGAGTCAATATAGTAAACATGGTGTTGCCTGTAAATCGGGTGCCGCACTTCATCCAGTGGTTCACAATCATGTTCCCTACATTTGAATGACCCTGTGGGGTAGCCGCACTTCATCCAGTGGTTCACAATCATGTTCCCTACATTTGAATGACCCTGTGGGGTAGACAATGATTCCCCCTTTTTCAGACTCCGCCAACTAGCATATTCAATTATAATTTACCAGGTAGTGCCCCGCCGGGGCGAGAGTGTCGAAAATAACACATGGCTATAGGAAGTCGATGGCCTATAGGAAAGCTTTTGCGATGCAGAAGCAATGAAGCGTTGAAGTTGTGAGGTGCATCAGCGAATGAGCAAATGGCTGTTATAGTTGAGAATCAATGAAGTGACATAATCCGAAAGAATCCGTGCAGAAGTGGGTGAACCAACGAGTCAACGAATCAGAAGCAACGAAGCAATGACTCAATGAATCAAGCAACCAGCGAGCCAATGAATCGATAAATCAATGAATCAATTTCAGGGATTCAATGAGTCAATGAACCAACGAATCAGTGATCAATGAATGACCCAATGAATCAATGATTCGATGATTCAGTGAAACAATGCATCAATGAACTAATGAACAAATGAATCAGTGAATCCAAGAACCAATGAACCAATGAACCACTGAACAAAGGGATGGATGAATGAATGGATGGATGGGCGGATTCCTTTTTCTTTGTTGATCTATTTTTCCTTCTTCACTGAGCGACCTCTTCGCTGAGGCACCCCTTCTCTCAGCTACTTCTTCTTTGAGCAGACACTTATCTGGTGCTTGTGCTCTGAGTTGCCTAGCTCTTTTGTAGCTTCTGCCACCCAATTCTTCTCTTGGCGCAGCTGTTGCAATGTGTTTAGCGTCTCCAGCTGCAATCCCGCAAAGCACAAGGGTAGCACATTATGGTGAAGGGCTACCTTCCACGCAGCTGTTACAATGCGTTTAGCAACCCCCGGCCGCTTGCCAACAGCGTCGCAGTATCACTCATGCTTTGCTGCCCGCAGCCGTGCCAATGCGTTTTGTCACAGCCGGTTGCAAACCCGAATAGCAGGAGCATCACACACAAAATCGACCAACATCCGCGCAGCGCTGACAATGGGCACGATTCCGCTCTGCTCCGATCTGATCCCCTCAGCCTCTTGCGATTCTTATGTGAAATCGAACTCTCGCTTCAGTCATGCACATTTTGCCGACCTCATCTTCTAAAAATGCTCCGAGCCTCCGAGCCCATCATTTTTGGTTTAACATGTTGAAGTGCACATCGAGCTCTCGCTCCAGTCTGGTGCAAGTTTTGCCGACCTCATCTTCTAAAAGTGCTCCGAGCCTTCGAGCCCGTCATTTTGGGTTTAACATGTTGAAGTTCAAATCGAGCCCTCGCTTCAGTTTGGTGCACATTTTGCCGACCTCCTCTTCCAAAAGTGCTCCGAGCCCGTTATTTTTGTTTAACATGTTGAAGTGCAAATCAAACTCTCGCTTCAGTCTGGTGCACATTTTGCCGACCTCCTCTTCCAAAAGTGCTCCAAGCCCGTCATTTTTGTTTAACATGTTGAAATGCAAATCGAGCTCGCGCTTCAGTCTGGTGCACATTTTGCCGACCTCCTCTTCCAAAAGTGCTCCAAGCCCGTCATTTTTGTTTAACATGTTGAAATGCAAATCGAGCTCTCGCTTCAGTCTGGTGCACATTTTGCTGACCTCCTCTTCCAAAAGTGCTCCAAGCCCGTCATTTTTGTTTAGCATGTTGAAATGCAAATCGAGCTCTCGCTTCAGTCTGGTGCACATTTGGCCGGCCTCCTCTTCCAAAAGTGCTCTGAGCCCGTCAGTTCTTTGCTTTTTTAAACATGTTGAAGTGCAAATCGAGCTCTCGCTACAGTCCTGTGTGCACTTTTTGTCGACAACTTTTGCAGGTCGAGCACCGCACCCACGGAAAAGACCCTATATATTATACTTTGGCGACCACGGAAGCCACTTTACCCGAAAAACACAGGATTTCGTGCCCGAGAGTGCTTGTATGTGAATTCACGCGTTCCCGACCTGCTACACTTCCCAACTACTTCATGATGGGTGGTTGATCATGATGATGTGGTTGACATGATGATGTGGTCGACATGATGATGTGGTCGACATGATGATGTGGTTGACATGATGGTGGGAATGCTAACCATGAGAATCGTTTTCTAACTAAACTTCCTTTGATTATATATATATATATATACCAATTGACTCCCATGATTCCTGGATAAATCCACATGTTTGATGCTCAAGTCCACCATATCACGACCCAAACATCGCTTTCAGATAGTGTCACTCATCTTGGCAATTAGCCTCCCAAATAACAGGAACTACCAACAAAAAATATCAGCTTGGATGTGCCGCGCGGTGGACTCTGGAACTCATTCTGTCTCAGCATTCGTGTCTTTTTGGATGTGCATGGCTGGTAATATGATTTGTTCACCGAAAATAATGGTGTTTCTTGAGTAATTATGAATAATTATATAAGATATTGGAACAAAACAATGACGTGCAAACTTGCACAGTTCTTGCCGACCATGTTCCCGGGGATGCAAGAATAATAAGTGCTGTCCCCCACAAACCCGGAAAAATGAATAGACATATCTAAGACAAAAAAGGTCTTAATTTCAGCAAAGCTCCTCTTACAAGGTATACTGGCTCGGAATGATATAATGTTGGACGTCGATTAGTACGAGGATTCACTATTGTGAAAAGTTTTTCCAAAATTATTCTGGGTCTGTGGAATTGATTTGGGGGCGCACTATTGTGTAAAAGTTTCTTGGGCTTCTTGGGTGTATTTTCAGTTTTTTGTTTGAAACATTTTCCATTTTTCAGACTTTGTTCAGCATTTTTATTTTTTATTTAAAAAAATAATTACTTAATTACGTAATAAGTATTCAGCTAATTGATGAATATGAGCATTTTTAAAGCACCATGAAAAAAAGCCCGCAAACAATGTTGTAAGGGGGTAGTCCATGAGCAACATTGATCCTCAATAGTATGTTTGTTGTAGGGGTCCACTATTGTGTCCAGCTGCTGCCTGAGGTGAAAAAATCATACATTTCTTTTACCATTTCCTTTGCTAAAGCTTTTTTCTTTTACTTTCTTAGTTCCATCCTTTTGGAATTCTCAGGAATGTCCAATTTCCCAAAATATATGATGCCTTATTAAAACCCCACCCAAAAAAAAAACAGCAGCCACACAATTTTTCAAGGGGGTAGTCCATGAGCAACCCTGATCCTCAATAATGTGTTTGTTGTGGAGGTCCACTATTGCGTCCAGCTGCTGCCTGAGGTGACTAAAACATAATTACATTCCTTTTACCATGTTCTTTGCTAAAGCGTTTTCCTTTTACTTAGCTCCATTCTTCTTGGAATCAAAATCAAAAGATTTTTCCAAAGGATGAACTTCAGCCAACCAAAACAAAACCATGAATGACCATGATCTTCAATAGTATGTCTGTTGTGTGAGTGAAATTAGGCCCAGCTTTTTTTTGAAATGTTTTTTTTGTAACAAAATAATTTTCTCCTTTCCTTTGCTAAAGCTTTTGTCTCTTGCTTAGTTCAATTCTCCTGGCATCCTCTCCTTGATTTCTATGGTGTTTCTATGGAAGTTTGATATGTTTTCAAAAGATTCTATGTAATTTCTATGGTGTTTCTATGATATTCTATGGTGTTTCTAAAGATGTGTCTATGGTAGTTCTGTGGGTTTCCTATGGGGTTTCAAAAGGATGCCTATGGGATTTCCATTGGATTCCTGTGGGATTTCTATGGGATTTCTTTGGGATTTCCATGAGATGTCTTTTCGATTTCTATGGGATTCCTATGGAGCTTCCGTGATGTTTCTATGATATTTCTATGGGATTAGTGTACTATGGGATTCCTGAGGGAATTCTATGGGATTCTTATGGGATTTTTTTGTGTTTCCTATATGCTATTTCCATGTCATTTCTATGATCTTTCTATGGTATTCGTATTGGATTCCCATGATGTTTCTATGAGATGCCTATGGCATTTAAAAAAGGATTTCTATGGTATTTCTATGATATTTCTAGATGATTTCTTTGGGAATTCTATGATATTTCTATGGAAATTCTATGGGATTTCTATTGGATTCCTGTGGGATTTCCATCGTATTTCTATGATATTTTTTTGGGGCTACTATTGGATTTCTATGGGATGTCGATGGTATTTCTATGGGATTCCTATGGTGGTTCAGAAGGATGCCTATGGGATTTCCATTGGATTCCTGTGGAAGTTCCATGATGTTTCTATGATATTTCTATGGGATTAGTGTACTATGGGATTCCTGAGAGAATTCTATGGGATTCTTATGGGATTTCTTTGTGTTTCCTATATGCTATTTCCATGTCATTTCTATAATCTTTCTATGGGATTTCTGTGGGTTTCCTATGAGATTTCCATGATATTTCTATGATATTTCTATGGGATTACTATGGAATGTCAATTGAAAGCAAGTTGAAATTCAATTTAAAATAATTTCAGACCAAATTGAAATCAATTGTAAATCAATAGAAAGTAAGTTGACATCAATTGAAAATCAATTGAACGTAAATTGAAATCAATTGATCGTAAATTGAAATCAATTGAAAATCAATTGAAAGTAAGTTGAAATCAATTGAAATCAATTGAAAATCAATTTGAAGTAAATTGACAGTAAATTGAAATCAATTGAAAATCAATTGAAATCAATTGAAAATCAATTGGAAGTAAATTGACAGTAAATTGAAATCAATTGACAATCAATTGAAAATCAATTGGAAGCAAATTGACAGTAAATTGAAATCAATTGAAAATCAATTGATCCAATTTTATTCCGGTCCCTTAAAAAATCCACCCTAAAGTGGATCCAAAAATTGTTTGAGGGGGGGCGACATAATCTGACATGTTTCTTGGCTGCATCTCAATGGATGTCAGTATTGATCATTTGAGGACTCTTTTCAACACAATGAATGGAACGTTGATTTTCTGCGAATATTGAAACTCAATCCGGGGGGTTCCCCCACAGAAATCGAGATACAATATTGCATACATTCCATATCTCACCAGTTCATAATCAAATATCACGTTGCCAATCACTGGTTAAGCTTCAGTATCGGTGTAAAGGAGGAAGTTCTCTACATGGTGATTAAACTATGCAGTTATGGCCCAAGTTATGGCCGTTTACCAATTATAATTGGCTATAACTGAGTATTTCTATGGGATAAAAAACATTCCATTTCTAGGGTGACAACTGTTAGTACTTATACCTGGTATAAATTGGGCCATAAGATGCCATAGATCCCGACGACTTGGGTTTTGTTCGGCGGACCTGGCAGGCGGCCATAGCCACGTTGTAGCTGATTCTGGCCAAAGCTGGTGTTCCCAAAGCGGGGTGCCCTGGGAAAATATGAGATGTGCTTATCTGAAAATGAGATATCGAGAGGCTTTGTTCGGATATAATGGGATATAATGGCATGTCATGGGATATAATATATATATATATGTATAGATACATGTATACATATTATACATTTATATATATATATGTATAGTATGTATAACCATGATTAACCATGAAAATGATACGCATCTAAATTTATATCCCAGAGTTAGTGGCACTGTTAATGAGAAAATGAGCAAAAGCACAAAACAAAATGATAAATTTTAATGTTATCACATATTGAAACAAGACATATGTTATTTTTCGAAAGGTGCCACTTTAGAATATTATATATATATATATATTATACATAGTTCATAATACCAATATATATAATATAATATATATATAATATAATATATATATATATATAATATAATATATATATATAATATAATATATATATATAATATATCATTGAATGGGAGTCATATATATATATATATATAAAATACCAAATATATAATCCCTAATTTTGCTCGTAATTTCTCACCAGTGCGGGGGTGTTTACCCCCAAACGCTCCAGAGTTGTCACTGCAAAACACGTCACGACGATGCCAGTTCACTTCCAACTACTTGTGATAATCCGCTATAACACGGCGATGAAACACAAACTATATATATATAGATACACAGTTCAGTGATGTTCAGTGTCATCTCCGATCCGAAGTTGAGGACTTTTGAATTTTTGAGACCACCATGTTAAAATGTCCGCCCAAAGAAGCCGATTGATCCTCGAACATACTACAGGCCTAAAGGATCCTGAAGGCCTAACAACTCAAGTGTTGTGTTCCTTGTTCCTTCTACTGTAGGGTCCTAGTAGGTGGATGCACGCTAGTGCAACATTCCTGGTGCTTGCCTTTTGACCCTCAAAGTATTGATCAAATTGGCTAAACCAGGTCCAAGTGTTGCTAATTCCAAGCTGAAAAGTAAGTGCTAAAGGGACCAAAGGGACCAAAGAAGATCATCATTCCAAGAATGTGTCGCATGGAAAATAACAAGTCAAATCACTCAGCAGTAATTCTACTGCTTATATATACCCACGATATGCCATATTTTTGTTTGGTTATTTCAACCATTTCTGTTTGCTGAAACCACCAAACCACTGCTGGTTAAACCACCAACCGGCTTGTGACTTTTCATTGACCTCCCCAGCCTATCAGGCGCCAGGTGGTTCTCATACATCACCAGAAAAAGGCGATGTGCAGAAATCCAGCAGCTGGCTTTTTCCTGGTGGGAGAAAAAACATGGCTCGTTCCCTCAAAAAAAAAATGGGGATCAGATTTTGCCGTTTTCAGGCAGCACCATCAAATCAGGATATACACTCTGGTAATTTAACAGCAATTGAAAATGGCCCAGTCGAAACAGTGGATTTACCCACTAAAAATGGTGATTTTCCATAGTTATGTTAGTTTACCAGAGGGTATAGAATGCCATTCGATCTCCCAAGGGAACATTCACCAACAAACACACATTTAGTGCTGGTTTCCAACCCGGGGGATCACGAAACATCGTTCTTTTCCATCGATGGAAGCATCATTTCTTAGGGACTTTGGGGGTATAATTATTCATGTTCCATGTTTAGGGCACCCATATCACATCTGAGGTCACTTAAGACACCTTAAGACCAGTTTCGCATGCGCTCATGGCCGAATTGAAGGTGATGCGATTGGCTTGCCTCAACTGCGCGGCAAAGCACGAATGGATCAATATTGCACCATGGGTGTTACATCGAAGACCTGTTCGAGGAAACTTGACGAACTCTCTAGCCAAAGAACATTGCAATGTCCATCTACTCCATGGTGCTGGAATATTGACCCATATTTATCAATGTTTACGACCATGTTTTTTGTTGGTAAATGTATGGTGCAAGTGGGATACAAGAATAGATCAATACTCAACATAGACAGTATGTTGCTATTCTCTAAGGTCGTTGGACAAACCAATTGATGTTTCTTTGCATGCACCCTTGCGGAAAAGATTGAGGTTGTGGAAAAGCAAACCATGTTGAGACAAACATATCTGGGTCTGTTTTTCTCAATGTAACACATCTATTTTCAATATGACCGGTGAAGTTTCACCCGTCCAACTCCACATTTAGCTACCCATTCTATGGCCATCAGTGGGGTGAGGTGGGGTCGGTTGGGTTGGGGTGGAGTGGGGCAATAACGTTCAATTGTAGTTGTAGCATGTTGTAGCATACGCCATGCTACGCCACTGGACGTTTTCTTGCATCAGCACCTCAGCACCATTACGTTATGCTTGTATATTAATGTATACATATATATATACATATGACGTGTAAATAAATAAATAAATAATGAATATATAAATAATAAATATATATATATATACACATACACTGAAGGTGTATATATATATATACAATATCAAATTAAACTATATATTATATATAACGTATATGTGAGTCAACATACATATATAACATATATCACATATATGTGAATCATATATAAATGTATAGCATTCATAAAACATATACAAATATATATATATATGTGCATATATATATAACATGAACATATATATATAATAAACAAATTATGATGCAATTGTATGTGTACATATACATTTACATATTAATACATTTACATATGCATATACATATGCATATATATATATATATATCTATGTACATACATGTGTCTCCACTTATTGCAGGCAAGATGCATCTGCTGCTCCTCAAGATCTGCCAGTAGGACCAGTGCCTCTTGCCATTTTTTCGCTTTTTCACAGGAGCTGATCACGGTGTTGTAGCTGACCACGTCTGCCTGAGGTCTGAGCAGTGTTCAAAACCCTAGCTTGATGGGTCTTTCATGGAGGTGTCCTAAAAGTCATGTCATGGATGACCATGACTTGGTATTGAAATCCATGTTTTTGGGGATCCCCCATTTAAAGAAACCACCATATGGATAAATGGCAGTATGAATGGAAAAGATGAGGGCACATATAAAGTCATCTGCCTTTGTCTGAAAATTAAAGATATCCCCAATCTATGGCAATCTGAATTATTGGGGAAAACATGTTCAACAAATGCGATTTTGGGAGTAGCCTTTTTTCATGCCAAAAAAACATACCTGGGATGCGCATGGATGCACACAAGCCAGCTGCAGGTTGGAAAGGATCCTCTACGACGAAGTGACACATCTTGGAACATGTGTTCATCCTGTTCATACTGGTCCCCAGGGGTTATATGCCATATTGGATGATGTTAATCCCCAGTGTACTGCATAGTAAAACCATAGATAGTCTAACAATCATCCACCAACAGGGGTTTAGAACACTACTCACTTGAACATGGCGGCTTAAAACCAAAAGAATCGATGAATTAGGATTTCGCTGACACTCCACACAGGATATCGTCTCTTTCATCGATGAACCGCCAAAAGCTGCTGGAATGCGGGCTCAAGTTTGTAGGTCATAGAAACTTACCAGCTGTCTCTATGTCCTGTCTTGTACATATACATATACATATATACAGTATATGTATAGTAAGACACATAATATATATAAATATATATATATAAATATATATATATGTAAATATATATATATATATATATATAAATAAATGTATATATATAAATATATTAGAGCATGTATATATATATATATATATACGCATAATATCATGTATATATATATATGTATATACATAATATCGTGTTCCAGGTTCGAGGACCCCCCCCCTCCCCCCCCACAGTCATGGTTCCCCCCTCCCCCCTGTGGATATGGTCCTGTAGGTAGTATAGGTAGAAATATGAGGTTCTCCATCCAAACTGGTGCAAATACTATGGAAATATGAGGTTTTGCATCCAAAATGCTGTAAATACCATGGAAATGAAATATTCTAGGTCAGGGAGTAGGGGACCATACCATTGGGGGGGCTACGGGGCCGGGGACCGGGATCATATATACTCACTTTATATCATGTATATATTTATCTATACTGAAAACAAAACACATATATATATACATACAAATGTTTGTATACATATAAGTATCATGTATTGTAATGTATGTATACATATAAGTATCATGTATTGCAATGCATGTATATATATATATTGTATATTATACATTATACTTATATACTTAACATTCATGATTATACAAGGACCACATGACTTCAGGACCTTATTTCACTATGTTCTGGTGGTCTTTTATTCCAGCAACTTACTGCAGTCCCTGCCACCCTGTAACCTGCAAGTCATGGAGGTTCATCTCGAAGAACAGAAGCAGGGCCCGTTGCCATTCAGCAGCTTTCTCACCTGAGCAGGGCCAGTTGATCCTATTTGAACATGCCAAGATTTCCAGTTGATATCATAATCCAATTAGAAAGGGAAGGGAAAAAACAACAATAACAACAACAACAATCCTCAACCAACTTTTGTTTACCCCATATCTTTCATTTAAAAAACGCGTTGTTCATTTGTTGACGGTCCAAGTCAAAGCTTTTTGAAACTGCCGAGGGAACAACCTTTGATCCCAGCGCAGGTTACCCCATGGAATCAGCGTCAGTGGCATTTGTGGACGGTGGACAATGACCTGCCAATCTTTGCCAAGGCGTTCATTACCATTAGATCAGTACTTTTACCCTCAAAGTAGCTATTGAAATAGAAAACACTAGCTGATTTCATCTAACTGTACTAAACTTATGCAATATAAACCCTTCTAACTGATTTGATTTGATCCAACTGATTTGATTTTGTGGATGAATCAAGATAATCAAGAATCTGGATTCTACACCCACCCGGCTCCCAAGACCGAAACACAGGCAGACAGCAGGGCATTGTACAGAGTGACGTCCAACACGTGGCCTGACAGGCTGACGTCCCGCGGCGGCCCCGGGTGATATACCATGTGAAAGGAACAGTTGTTCTATGGGGCGCAGATAAGGATAAACTTAACAATTGTTAAGGATATATTGTTCTTGTAAGGATTATTGTTCTATTAGATAAGGATATATCCTTAATCGTTGTTTTTCGGTGACATTATGAAGGATATAATTCATGGATATTAAAACCATGACCCTGGCACTGCCATGATATTTCATGGACATGATGAATTTATGTTAATGAGATATCAAATATCATCAACAAGACATAAGTGGGATATAATGAACAATAAGGTGGGGTTGTGCAACAAAATCATGCCATGACCATCACTTGTTCAAGGTTTGACCCAGAACTGGTCGAGATTTCACCAACACAATTTTTGGGTCAGAGTTCAAACGTACAATTCTGGGGTTAACTGTTTTAACCAACAAAACTGGGCTCTTACAGTAAACCAAGACATGAAAAAAAATAGGGATATATTGGGGAATATCATTGGATCTACATGTGTATACATGTAACTGGTTAGTGGTTGAGCCTACCCCTCTGAAAAATATGAGTTCGTAAGTTGGGATGATGAGATTCCCAATAGATGGAAAAATAAAACATGTTCCAAACCACCAAACAGTGTATATATATATATACACGCATAATCCAACCAAACATATGATACGCGGATTGTCCAAACATGCCAGCGCCTCCTATCTATTGCACTTTTTTACAGGGAGAAACGAGGCTTTAAACCAGAGGGAGTTGATCTAAGCTACAGTATGTTCAAACTGATAATTCTATCTATAACTGGACCCCACCTGTGTTAAGCCGAGTCATCATTTGAAATCATCCTGGATATCTATACATACATATGTATATATATATATGTATATTCATAAAGCTGGATTTCAGTCAGTAAAGTCAAGTGCAAGTGGATCATCATGGACCCGGATGGATGTTTAAAGATATATATATATATACATATTGAAGCAATCCAATGACTGGAGGTATGGTTGTCTTTCAATTGAGGCATCTTCAGGCCCTACATCATGATTGGGATGCTGGAGACCCCAAATCCATCTTCATGTGACTCAACACTGTTGGGGTCATAAGATTGGACATCTACCTTCCCAAGTCCCAGCATGCCCGTACTTTTCCCCTATGGAGTCCGAGATTATTGTTACATACTATATTTGAGGGTCAATGTACACCTATCACTCAAGGTAGATTGGGTCACTTCCTGATTTTGCGGGGGCGCCTGCATGTCGCAAGACTTCGACGAAAAGCTGCAAGGATTTTTGCCACTCCTCTAAAAAGACAGCGGTTTTGGATGATTTTGGTGAACAAACCCCACGTCGAACATATGATAATCACATGGAAAGTTAAAACGGGCTTCAAGCATGCTTGAAACCACAATATAATAGATGTTTGAACAAACACATTATTTTTTTATGATGTGTATGAACAATCCCGATCTCCATGCTGTTCCAATAGGTTTGATGCATTCAGCATTTGCCATATCCAAACAAACCGCTCCACGGTCCACTGGTATGCTCCGTATGCACAAACGCTCGCAACCGAAATTGTCAGTACGTGAATACCCTCTGGTAAACTAACATAGCTATGGAAAATTACCATGTTTTATGGGTAAATCAACAGACATCAACTATACATGGCCATTTTCAATTTCGCAAACTGTAAACGTTTACCAGGCCGGGTCATCTCCATTCATTCTCCATTGATGGGTTCCTCGGATCGAACACCAAAGTTTTTTCAGTTTCACGTGGCGCCACGTTGCGGGTGTCATATGGTGTCATATCATGTTCAAAGCCCATACCCTCTGGTAATTTAACATAGCTATTGAACATGGCCATAGAAATAGTGAGTTTTCCCATTAATTAATAGCATGGTGATTTTCAATAGCTATGTTAGTTTACCAGAGGGTAATCAACTGGAATGGCTACACGAGTTTTCCTCAGCACGAGCACATGCGCTGATGCTGTTGGAGTAGCTGATGGCATTGGGTGTCAGCCTTTGCTCCCCCAGAATCGCAAAGAACCACAAGGCTGTCTGCCTGGCTGTAAACTGTGGTGGCACCCGAACATGGCGACAAACATGGCAAATTCCCGAACTCAAAAGGCATTTGTTGATGGGAAATTCCCGAAATAAATGGAGGTGTTAATGGGAAAACCATCTATTATTCATCATAAATTTGCATGTGCTGGTGGGGAAAAAACAAACTAAATTAGATATATTTCCAGCAAACCATGCTTAATTGCCTTCGAAGGTAATGCCTGGAGCATCTATTGGCCATCATGATTCTCATGATGAAAACACCAAAATTGGCGGATTTAACAATCAGACATTGGTGATATGGAAGGGGCCCACCAGTTATGTTTGTTGCATTATCTTGCCCCATCTACTGTAACTAGCGGAATTTGGCCCCCTCCTGTACCCATGAATATGAATGAAACGCAGGTGAAGGTATATGCTAACATAGATCGCCTGACAATAGGGCACCCAATTTCACCCATATTCACCGATTCACCCCATGCGTACAACACCATGTTGCCCTCTCGTAATCAAACATGGCAATGGAAGAGCCTCCATTCATAGATATGATTTTCAAATGATGTTCCCAGAATCTTTGTTCATAATGGCGATTTCTTTCCCATTGCCATGCTTGGTTACCCAAGGGCACCTACTATTTGATGCCCTTTTGTTCATAGGGGGGCCGGGGCTCATCCAAATTAAATTCGCATTGGATAAATCAAAATCGTGTCACGGGTTGCATCCTCATTTGTTACCGATCAAACCCCTACTGGTCTGAGTGAAACGATGTTTTGTTGATAGTTACCTTTGGGCCCTTGGGTAATTTAACATGGCTATGAAACATTGTCCGTTAAGTGCGATGCTTTACCTATTGAATTCATGTTCTATAGCGTTAAGTAAATATAAAAGGAAGTACATCCTCATTGTTGCACTCAGCCACATTATATTGGCTCATTGATGCTCATTGTATATCCCATGAGACATCCCATGCCTAAACAAAAGGTTAAATATCGTCCTCGTATCCCCCATTGATCATCTTCCCCAACAGGAATGGAACACCTATGACTATCCTCTAGAATCACATTATATTAATGTCTCTGCATACGCATACACACATGCATATATACACACATGATCACATATTATATATTACATACATCCACGTACAGTATATAGAGGTATCATAATGTATCTATACAATATATAAAGCCATCAACCAACGGAGGTTCCAATGGACCCTCATATGCCTGCCGCTAAGTTTGAGTTTATCCATGCTTCGCTTTGGGCAAACACTTTGATTCGGGCTCCATGTGTTGAAGCATCGCTTTCATTTTCTGCAAAGCCATCCTGAAACGATGGCTTCCCGTGCATAAACTGGACGCGTAGCGGCTACAGTAGCAATTTTAAGCTCCAAATTGCGACATGTCTGGTTTGCTGCCATGTTGCCAATGTCCCTGGTTCTTGCCTTGGCGCATGTTGAATGGCGGTCCCTAAAAAGAGAGTGGAGACATGAACGCTTGGAACTTTGACAAGAACAAAAAGGCAACTCCATCCAAGCGTCTGACACAGTGCGCCCCGGTATTCTGACAAGTCAGCTGTCGATGTGCCATACCATCACAAGGCGGTACCCCAAAGTTAGCAAACAAAGTTTGTTTATAGCTGATGTAACTAGGGCCGATGCCTGGTTCTTCAAAGTGACCTTTTCCACCACCATTGCGAGGTCACTTAACCCCAATTTTAGGGCCACTTAGCCACCTGAAATTGTCCAAAGGGTCACTTTGAAGAACCAGGGGGTCGATCTATATATACATACTGGTTAAGTTATGGTCGAGTATAATGGTGTTCGAGTTATAGATATATCAACCACCTGGTTTATATTATATATTAACCATTACATTCTGGTTGGTGGTTTCAACCCCTCTAAAAAATATGAAAGTCAGTTGGGAAAATAACAATCCCAATATATGGAAAAAGAAATTTCATGTTCCAAACCACCAACCATTACATTTAATTGTGGTTGTAATCAGCAAACTCGAGCGCGCCGCCTGGCAGAGATGGACACATCGAAAACATGTCGACTGATTTTTTGGGATATGGATCCTTTTCATGGTGATGAAACCTGGCGAGCTGAAAAATCTTCCATCAAGGATTTTCCGACCTAAACATCCATTTAGTTAGTGTTTTTCCCTGCATAGTTTGCTATGTGCTTTTTTCAATTAGAACTTCCACTCATAGTGGATTTACCATTGCCACGTTTGATTATTGGATGGTATTTCACTTTGACCTTCTATAAGTTAAGGCAAGGGTTTGCACCAAACATCTCGGCTTCAGGTCACAGCCCCTCCGTCGAGTAACAGCGGTTGATCAAATGGTTGTACTTCACCAAACGTGGAGAGGCGTCCATGAAGCATTGATGGCCACATGGCGCGTTCGGGGTGGCAGGGAGGATAGTAAACAATGACGTGTCATAATGTGTCATATCAGCAGGACACATGAATTTGCATGGAATACATATTAGGCAGAACAAGGTGTCATTCAAACTTCAAAGACTCCACGGGCAGCATATGGATTTGTCTGAACATACGATTATTTTGCCTTTGATGGTCAATGATTATATAAAGTAGCCATGAATTGGGGGTCCATTTCCAGACAAACCCGCACCACATTGTTGACTGTGTTTTCCATCAACACATCCCATTATATAAATGCCATTCAATCACTATTATTTCCTAGATGAATCCTCATGTTTCACGATTTTTTTGTTGGTTATGTCCGTGTAAAACATTGTAAAACAGTGCTTAAGCTGAATTTTGGTATGTTTCATACCCACACGACATGACAAAATCCAAATGTCATGACATCGCTTTCATGCCCTTGGACCAGTGCAAAGCTTCTCACCATGTCATGTTTCTGCTGGCGGAATTGGAACACCATGGGATCAAAACATCATGGGAAAACTCATGGACAAATACAGGAAACACCATGTGAAACACCATGAAAAAAAAACGCCGCGCAAACCAATGGATAAAAACAACAACACTTTGATCGTGAATGAACTTTTCGACCGTTGTGATTCACCAAATTGTTTTTTTTTGGATCCCAACGGATAGTTGGTGAGAGATTGCGAAGCAAAGTGGCAAGACCCGCGAACCAACAAACGTACAAGACCAGTACAAGACGAGTGCCAACAAACATATCTTTAACTTCTGCTAAGGCCCGAAATCATACAATAATGTAACAGGAAAGCTCCACCACATCCATTTCCCCACCAGAAAACGCAAGATGCAAATGTGTTTTGAGTTTTGGATACATCTCAAAAATATCAACATGTCTATTTCCAAACACCCTCTGTTGTAACGCTTGGTAGTCGATGTCCACCATCGCTGTTTCTGCGCGAAAAACGCGATTCACACCAAGATGCCATGGCATCACCGGCCTCAGGGAGATGTTTGGCCAATTTTCAGATATCAACCCATTTTAATGATTATCTATGGTTAATGGTTGATGATTATCTATGGTTAATGGTTGATGATTATCTATGGTTAATGGTTGATGATTATCTATGGTTAATGGTTGATGATTATCTATGGTTAATGGTTGATGATTATCTATGGTTAATGGTTGATGATTATCTATGGTTAATGGTTGATGATTATCTATGGTTAATGGTTGATGATTATCTATGGTTAATGGTTGATGATTATCAGGGAGATGTTGATGGCCAATGGATATCAATTATTTTAATGTGATCTATGGGTTAATGGTTGATGATTATCTATGGTTAATGGTTGATGATTATCTATGGTTAATGGTTGATGATTATCTATGGTTAATGGTTGATGATTATCTATGGTTAATGGTTGATGATTATCTATGGTTAATGGTTGATGATTATCCATGGTTAATGGTTGATGATTATCTATGGTTAATGGTTGATGATTATCTATGGTTAATGGTTGATGATTATCTATGGTTAATGGTTGATGATTATCTATGGTTAATGGTTGATGATTATCTATGGTTAATGGTTGATGATTATCTATGGTTAATGGTTAGAAAGTATCTATCTGGTTGGTGGTTGACCTACCCCTCTGAAAAAATGATGGAGTCGAAGTCAGTTGGGATGATGACATTCCCAACTGAATGGAAAAAGTAAATAAAAATGTTCCAAAGGACCAACCAGATCCCAAATAAGCCCAATATTTTGACATCTCTTCCAATATCTTCCGGGCTTTTGCAAATGGGATTGCAGCTGTGAATCCACAGGGGGGAGTCACCTGAAGCGACCGCCTCCAGTAATGTTTCTGGAGGTTGACCTGTCTGACCTCTGATTTCTGAACTGGGGGCCACCTAAGCTATGCAGGCCCATTGCAACGATATTGCAACATGGATTTTCCTAACCCATTGACACGTTCCATTGCCATGTTTGAAGGGCTGTTGCTGCCCAAGTGGCAGGTAGAGCACCCTCGGCAACACTGGCACCTGCAGAGTCGGAAGGGGTTTAGTGGAGTCACGGTGTCAAAACAGTCCCAGATTTTGGTCAACGAAACCAATTAGAGTCGCACCCTCAATTGTTTTTTGGGTCAACGAAACCTGTTCAACCCACACCCCAACTCACCTTGTCTTCGTCTACAAAACTCTTTCGGCAAATCAGAAAATCTGGATCTCTCAACAAAAGAAAACACACATCATTCATTTGTCCATCTTCAACCTGACCTCAATCCATAGAACCCCCAGAAATTGATGTCCCTAGACCCTTCCAAGTAGCCTTAAAAAGTTGTGTTTTACCCCAAATTGTTATTTTATTTTTACTGTTCTTGCAGGGGTAATGGGAGGTGCCCGAATTTGGATCAACCGGAACCCTCCGGTGCCCTCCGGGCAGCCCTCCGGGCAGTCGGACGTACAGAACCCAGCCCAAGTAGGCAGTGAGCACATCTGCATTCGCAGAGGCTTGGGGATGATCCTCAAAAAGGTCCACGTACCTCGCGCCAGATGCGACACTGTGACACCTCCACTTCTCATCGAAGTCATGGATGGAGGTATCCCCCGAGTCATCCAATTTTGAGACCATTTGATTGGAGGTTTAAGAAGGTTTTTCAAATGCCCCAAATCATCCAAAAATAGACCAGCCATACATCATCACAATATTATATATATATAAGTATTTAAACCTATGGTGACTTGGGAATTCCTAATATTGTCCTAATGGTCGGCAATGATCCTCAGGATATTGGTTAGTAGAATGCATGATGAAAAAATCATCACCACACCGGGGTTTTGAACACTGTTCGTTTAGTACCTATAGCCTATTGGTGTGAAATGTTTTGTATATTAATCGGTAATCTTATGTATACTATATAAAGTAATTTTCATTTGATACTAAGACAACATCAGCATTTAAGAACATACCATGTTTCTGTTCTTCCTATGAACCAAAATACATTCATTGACCAAACATTGCGCATTGGACACCGGGACGGACACCAGAAAGACCAAACACCATCACTTTTGATTTTCATGCATATTCCGAATGGGATTCCCTATGAGTCTTCCATACCTTTATGGGATGTATAATATATATATATATATATATTATATATGTAATACGCATATACATATGATTATATATATATATATATTCATTATGTATATATATATATTGTATACATACGTATGTGAATGTATCATATGTATCATATATGTATCATATTACACAAATGAATAGATCAATTGCAGTTTATTTACGCATCCACAGCTTGGTCGTGAAAACTTCATCAAGTTGCGGGAGCAGTTTGTCCAGGTACGGCATCACATGGACCTTGAAACCCGGAAACAAAAAACGTCGGCCGTGTGTCCAGCCTGCCCGCGGTGTTAAAAAAAAAAAAGGGGAACTGCTGGGGACCTGAATCACTGTTGGTTTCTCTGGGAAAATCTAATCACATGAACTCACATGATATGGTGAAATATGATGAAATTGAATTGATACGGGATGCAGTAAATTCACAAGGTGGTGCAGGTTTTTGCTGAAGCTAAGTTAGTTCAGTATAAAACAGCCAACTGCTGTTGGGTTTATGGTAGATATATCGAACTAGTCATGTGGTCACAAACTTGTGTGTGCAAGGGCCAAGTTGGGGATAGCAAACAGCAACCAAATGCCATGTGGCTCATGGCAATCCCACCATTATTCGGAGATTATGATCGTCCTATGCTGCAGATGTTTTGACTCTGTCACAGTCACAGTCGTATGGCGTCGTATGGAACAACTATGTTTTTTTCAGGAATGTCGGATCTGGAAACGTTGACATGGCGGTACAATGCAACTTCCGCAAGGAATTTTAGCAGTTGGAACCCAAAACAAACCATACCTAGCTTTGCTTGATAGACAAGTTTCCCTATATAAAAACTAAACACATAATATGTTTGGATTTTTTGGGGGCTTTGGCAAGGAAACCAATTAGTAGCGTTTGTCCGTAGACCAATGACAAGAAGGATTCATCGGTTCATGTCGCCGGATGCAGAAAAGGCACCATATGCGGCCTGCACCGCTGTCGGAATGGAAAAATGGATGAAAATGGGCTCTGTGGAAATGGGGCATACCGCATTTCAATCATTTAGGCCATTTCAATTGGTCAATGGAGTGGTGAAAAAGGGAAAATTTCCTGGCCTAAGCCCCATAGGAATCATGGGAAAATCCATGAACATCTATGGTTTCCGGTTAAGATCTTCCCTTAAACCAATCCACTGAATTGGGAAAAATGAGCTTGGAATTGGGGGGTACCGGAGTTTCTGAGAAGCCCTTAAAGGCAGTTCTGCGGACGGGATTGCTGGCATTGCCGGGCAGCTTTACAATGACTTGATACACTGCATATGTGGCATCATATGGCAAACATCTCTCAAGCCGCTGCAAGAAGTAGAATGGTTTATCGGATGGGAGTAGATCTCTACTGATTAGCGCATGCCCTCAACTCTTCACCTAATTCCATATGGGTTTAACAAAAATGATGGGAACACCCAAAAAAACAACATCCACTGACATGTCATCTTTCCCATTTGAATGGCCATTTGATTTTAAAATGGCAAGTTTATAGAAACATGATGATATTCTCTGATCAACTGTCATTTGTTGGTCCCTTCAGGTACCAAAGCCATGACAAAAAGGGTTGGACTAAGCATTTCTAGACCATGGCTCGATAGCCACAGCCCAGACCAATAGTGTCCTTTTGGTGAAAATAGAGGGGTCGGGAGCTGGTAGTGCTGGTATACCATCTATCATCATAGAAACCTGTTGTTAAAGGGGTAAACCTTCAAACCCCCCTTTTTTCATCAACCAACCAATGGAAAAAAAGGACATCTATGGCCCCGACCTGATGTATGGTAGGTGATGTCTCAATCGCGGCAATCGTGGCACGATGAAGTCCACGTAGTTTAAAAGGACGGGCAAATGCTGAACACCTCAGCTCTGCAGTTGGCCCGATACATACCAGTTATGTACGCACTAACAGTTGTCACCCCATAGAAATGGAATGTATAATCCCATAGAAATAACCAGTTATAACCATTTATCATTGGTAAACAAGCTTGTAACTGTGGGTAAACTGGTAAACCTCAGTTTGTTTTTTTCGTTTAAGGGGAAACATCCTCTATGTCAACAGGGAAATGTTTAGCGACCTGTGGGTGACGAGTAGCGGAGGTAAATTGATAAACAAGTAAAGAAATCAATATATAAATGTTACATACGTAGATCATAATATATAGTAAGAAGAGGAAAACATACTACTAATAATATTTGTTATATAATATCTTATACCACATATTATGTTATAATATACATACACACTTCACTACGCATATCTGGATATATATGGTTCAATCATACGACATCACAAGTCATGGGGAAAAGGCGTGGGCAAAGCCACAAGTCATCTGTGGCCCGAGTGTTTTCTAAGTGAGTTCAACATGGGCCAAACAATGGTAAATATGTCAAAATTGGCCAAAGTAATATCATTAATTAAGTGTCTTCTATCGTGTTTTCTACTAATTAAAATGGTTTGCCGCCGATTCCATATAATTCCATTGGTATCTCCAATTTTGGATGCTGTTTTTAACCACCCATAAAAATGGAAATGGAAATGGTGGCATTGGATTGACCGCAGAAAAATGACCCCCGAACACTGACGTCCTCGGATGCATATCCAGTTCTAGCTGGATGCGGGAACTACACCCGCGAACGGATCAGATAAACATAGATAATATAATAGATAAATCAACTTAAAAAGAATGAGCCAACCGCTCGTTTTGATCAACCGTTTAATTTCTTGTTCCAAACCTGTACAGTTCCAGCCCTCGAGAGCCCTCGAGATGGCCTGGCTGTTGAAAAAAGGCAGCGATGCAATGTGGTGGAACCCGCAACGGCGTCCCGATAAACGCTGGTTAAATGCGGCTTTTCAACAATGAAATGCGGAAATTCCGAATATATTGGATGTATTGGATGTAAACAAGCACATAATCATCAATCAACAGGGCTTTTGAGGAGTGTTGACACTTTGAAGCAGCCAGCTACTGACTGGTACAGCTTCCAAACACATTGCTTCTGCCATCTGGACAGATTGAATATCGTTCTTGCTCAGCGTTTCAAACGCAGCATGCAATACGTAGCGAGTGGCTTGCAAACTGTGGATCAAACACCCTGGTTGGATTTTTCCAGAAGGTGACACCTTTGCGAGAGTAGACTGTGACATCACCAGTAGACGTATCGTTGAATAATTACTGTGTTACCCATTGTCACTTAAAATTACATACAATTACTGTGTTTCCAGTAGACGTATTGTTTAACAATTAACCAGTCTAGATCAATGGTGGGTAATTTGTCAAACTATCATCTATTGATACCCACCACTGATCTGGATTACTGTAATCAATGGTGGGTAACTTGTAACTAGTTTAACAATTAACCTGTCTTTCTTTCAGTTTTGGCCTTGTGCCATCATCTATTGAATGAATTGACCAACACCTTTTTTGGTATACATCAAACCCAACTGTGTCATGATGATTGCGCATGGGAAAGCATGGTAGATGGGTTATGATCATTCCACAATTTCACCATCGTTGGAGGTCTTTATATTGGCTATTGATGGAATTCCCGATGAATGATGCGCCATGATGGCATGACCCCAATGAGTGTAGATGACCCCTCTCTGACAATAAACATGGCACATCATGGCACTTTGCTACATCTATGTTCATCAAACCACTCAAAAACCAGGTGACACAGCGGGTCCAGATTGCGTTGAATTGGACCGGGCATAATTTAGAGTTCTTCAAATGTCTGCAGGAAATCACAATAAAGTACTGAATGACTCTTATCTTCAAAACTGTTGCGCAATTACAACATCAAGTCAGAATCTACCATCTTGTCAAGTGTCAACACGGATAAGTATACCCCGTACCCCGCAATTTCATCGCAAATCACATTCTTTCTGCCTGAAACGGCCGTCATTTAGGGTATATATATATATATATACACGGTTAGAAGTCTCCATTTGCCTGGAAATAAAATGTAGCACGTCTTGACGAAGGGCCAAAACCATCGTATTTCCCGTACAAGATGGCTGTCTCAACATGTCTTTACACGGTATTGGGCGTGATCGAGAGTGCTGTTAGGGTCTTCGAAAACTCGTTTTCCAAAATCCCTTTCTTGCCCTTTTTACGCAATCTTGCTTTCCTCCATATAGTAATAGTTTAACAGGGGTGGGAGATTTGATCTCTTATTGAAGATGTTCAACCATGCAGTGTAATAGTTTAACGGGGTTGGGGGATCCCTTATTGAAGATCTTCAATCAGTGTAATGGACTAGTGGAAGTGGTGGATTTGATCCCTTATCGAATATCTTCAATCAGTGCAAAAGTTAAGCAGGGGTGGGAGATTCGATCCCTTTTCAATCAGTGTAATAGTTTAACCGGGGTGGAGGATTTGATCCCTTATGGAAGATCTTCAATCAATGTAATTTATAATTGAACATGTGCATTAAGTTGGGACAATGTGTAAGTTGGGACAGTTTAGAGGCGAACGGCGGCGCCTGAGCCTATATATATATATATATATATACACCCCATTTAATTCAAGGGAAGCCTGCTACTTTCTGTGCATTTCCCGCTCAAGATCACTTCCTAAGTTCCCACGTCAGCCGCAGACTCGCAACCTCATCCAAATCGTTACAAGGAGGGAGCGGAGAACATACAGTTAAAGCCCTTTATCAATTGTAAATGGAGGTTTCCATAAATTGTGGTATTATAATGGAAAATCCCAATCTAAAATGGATGATCTGGGGGTACCCCCATTTCAGGAAACCTCCAATATATACTATAAATGGTTATAAATGGGGTGATAATTCCATAAAGCCCGTCTAAGGCTGATCCCCGAGGGGGGTTTACATTTAGGGGAAGTTGGCTCAATAACCATGATGTGATGGGGAACATGGTGAACAACCATGGGAATTTTGGGTACTTTAAACGCAAATCCAATTCTCATCTGGTTGGTGGTATTAACCATCTTGAAAAATATTAGTCAATGGGAAGGATTATCCCATATATTATGGGAAATAAAAAATGTTTGAAACCACCAACCAGTCATTATTCTGAAAATTACTGTTTCAATCTTCAAGGTTTGTTGATCCTCGGTTAAAAACACATAACTTTAATTAGAAGGATGTATGGTAAAAGCCCCATGGAGTCAAAAACACACGAAAACCTAATGTGCATGCTTAAAATTACTTCAAGTTGCTATTCGGAGCAAGATGTTGGTTTTCTCAAAATACATACCCCCCAAACTCTGGAGTACCATCATGTCTCCGTTTAAAAGGGCCACAAATCATATGGCCCATATCGTATCGCAGTTTTTCTCTCAAAGGCCTCCAAAGTTGTGCGTGAAACATGGTCTGTATCGGACCCGTGAAATCGTTTAGGTACCCTACTTTCAGACACACCCAATCTGGCTGCATATTAATGCATATTATTCAGCAACCCTAATCTCGCATACAGAAAACTGCCCGTGTTTAAACTATGTTCCGTTGTCACCTTCCTTTACCCAAGGTCGATGGTGTCAGCTTCTAAAATACAACACGCCCCCGACAAGTTCGTTGCCAAACATTTGGAGTAAACCCTTTAGATTCCCATGAAAGAAAACACCATGAACTCGACGTCTGAGGGAAGAACATATCTGGTTGGTGGTTTTAACCCTACCCCTCTGAAAAATCGTCACTTGGGATGATGAAATTCCCAATATATGGAAAGCCATTCAAAATTCCATATGTTAACATATGTTAACCATATATTTATGATTAACCAATATTAACCATGGTTCCAGTCACCAACCAGATATGTTGGGTAGAAGCTTTGACTCAAATTCACCATGATGGCCATTCCAACCGCCGAGGCTATCACCAACCAGAACCGCAACAGTTTACGCCTTTTCGCTCTGGTCCCTGTGGCAGGGATGATGTCATGGTCCACCGTGGGCCCAGTGGGTTGCATCGTTATTGGGCACAGTTTCCCATGACGGATCCATGGTGCTGGTAGAAAAATGTTAACATAAAGGGTGTATATTAATGGGATCCATGTTACCATATATGGCAGCACCATGGATCCGTCATGGGTTTTACAGTATCGCACCTTCCAAGTGAAACAACTGTTGAAGTGGAATTGGAAAAACGCGGTGACAGATGATTGCACTATTGGAATACTATTGGAACATGAAACATGGCCAAAATTTGTTCCGAATCAAGAGTTTTGCCAGCTGTAGAAATAGGCAAACCCATTTTTTCTTTACTTTCAACATCTTGCGGCACAATCAGAAAATGGTCACTCTCCGAACAAACCAACAAACCCCAATTACAGTAGATCATGTTCCAATTATTTATGTTTGCTTGAGGAACCCCCCCCCCAAAAAAAAAACAATATTTCCTATAAAATCCCCAAGAAGTGTATTTCCCATTGGTAAACTAACATAACTATGGAAAATCACCATGTTTAATGGGAAAACTCAATATAAATGGCAATTTTCAATAGCAAACTGTTGAGTTACCAGAGGGTAAATCTCCATTTTCCTATGTTTTTCCTATGGTTTTCCTATGGATCCCATGGGTTTTTCCATTGGGAAATCCACTCGAATCAGACCAGACGCAACGACTTCCGGGGTGCCTCGATGTTGTTGATCTCTGCGGTCTTGTTGTCCTGCAACAAGACCGCAGACCGGGCACCAGAAGATACCTGGACTGTAAATGTTGGTTAATGTTTGATCTAAAATATATACATATAGATATATCATATATCATATATCATATATCATATATCATATATCATAAATCATATATCATATATCATATATCATATATCATATATATATATATATATCATATATCATATATATATATATATCATATATCATATATATATATATCATATATATCATATATCATATATCATATAGATAAATATATATATAATGATAGATATCAGTACACATTCAAACAAATCTAAATGTATTGCTGGGTTCCCATTTGCTGAAATTCTTAACAATTCACATGCACCTGCTATGTCCGATCCGAGTCGAACTGTTGGGACTTTGGGTGACTCTGGACGATCAACGGGGGACAAAATCCATCAACATCCAACTGTTTGTTCCTGAAATAGACATAGAATACCTATGGTTGATGATTATTTATGGTTAATGGTTAGAAAGTATCTATCTGGTTGGTGGTTGACCTACCCCTCTGAAAAATAGTCACTTGGGATGATGACATTCCCAATATGATGGGAAAGCCATTCAACATTCCATGGTTCCAGTCACCACCAACCAAAATAATTACAACAATCCAACAGATTTTTTTCTTTAGAAATAGAATGTTTTTTTAATGTTCAACAATTACATATCATACATCCCACTACGCTCCCCGAGTCTGATGCTTAAGCATCGGAAAAATGGCGACACACACCGGGTCCTCCCGAAGGCTGTTGACCCGAGGTTCCTGTCATTCGGGCCGGCGTTTAACGGAAAAAAACATGTGAGAAACATTATCATTAAGATTGATTAACCGTTAACCATGAAGAATTTTTGGGGCAATTATATCATATTTTCACTCAACAGTGAAAACAATTTGTTGACTGGAGGCTGTATCTGTGGCTGATCTGCTTCAACTTGTACCATCAGATCATCCAAGTTTTAGGCTGATTGATCTCGCGATATTATTCGCGACGAATCAGAGCACCAACGACCAGGTACGTCCGCTGGCCATTTTCGACGGCGCCCACGAAGCTGGGCTTTGGGCACCTCTAAGCGGGCCACGGATTCGACGGGAACCGGATGGAAGGTCAAAGGCTCCTGCCGGGAGGATTTCGATTGAGATTTTGGGAAATAGGAAAATGGAGGTTTACCCTCTGGTAAACTAACAGTTTGCGAACTGGAAAATCACTATATGACTATATGTTTAATTGGTAAATCCACTATTTTGACTGGGCCATTTTCAAGTTCGCAAACTGTAAACGTTTACCAGAGGGTAAAATGCCATGGAGAACTGGGGGTTACCCCTATGACGAAACCTCCAAATATCTCCAAATCATTTCCAAATGGCAAACATTACCAGCTTGTAAAATGATTTCATGGACACCTCCAAATGGCAAACAGCAAACTTTTCGCGGGTGCCTTAGCTAAGTTTGTAACTCCAGCCTTTCACTCTAGGACTCATTAGGACTCATTAGGACTCATTGGTAGATAGATCTGCAGTGAATTTCAAGCCTCTTCAATGTGGATCATCATCCGATTTTCTCGGATGGACAATGAAACATGTTCGCTGCAGCCCCTAGGTTTGCCCGCAGCCAATCCCGCATATCCTCTGACATGCTCAAATCCCTGCTCAAGGTTTAAGTTTTTCACTTTCCAAAACAACAAACACCAAAACCCTAAAACCTAAAACCCTAAACCCTAAATTTAAACCCCAAATCCTGAAAACTTAAAGTCAAAATCACTGCGTATAGCCAGTGTTTTCATTCATCTTCTGGTGATAAGTATATCATATTGTTTGGATGTGTTGTTTGAGTGTGGGCGAACCAGGGGGTTACGGGGAACATGTTTGAAAGGACTTGATGGGAAGTCAAGCGCTGGCAGCAAGTATTAGGATGCAAGCAACAAAAAAATTGTGGATGTGTGTTGGAAAAGATCAGATTGAGACTTGATTGGTGAATTCGCAAAAACCCAGCGTGAATCCAATAAACATGTTCAAACATGGGTTTAAAGGATATGTCAAAGGTGAAGACTTGATAATTCAAGAAATGTGGCTTTCAATCAACAATTTACATATATACAGTATATATATAATATTATAATATATATATATATGCATCTACATAGGGGGAAAGAAACCACAATACTTGGGATTGTTCATTCGCAAACAACTTGGAACGGATAAGTTGGCGAACAACTTGGGATTCAATCAGCAACATGTTTTTTTTCAGATTCGGAATAATCATAAACGTCTGAAACGACAGCATACTGATCGTTGTTTTCCAAAGATGCTTCAGCCATTCATTCAGCCATCTTCGCAGATTTGCAGGTGACAACTTGCAGGCCGTTCTGTGGATAATATCATATGGTTATTTCATGTAGCTATGGACAATCAACATGTTTAGTAGGTACATCGTCAAAAATCATCTATAAATGTGATATGTTCCATATGTTCACCATGGATGGTTGGATAATTTTGAAGATGACCGCAAGTTCTGCGCGTTGTTTTTACACACATCTCCCGCTCACCAATTTGCCAGTTCCACAACAACTCTCACGGCTTTCTATTTCTGGAGATTCCCAAGAAGATCAACATGGGACATTCACCCAGAAAATGCGAAATACGATTGGTATTTTCCAGAACATTTTCTGAAACAAATGGTAAACATGCTCAGGAAATCTTCAGGAAATTCACCAAATAAGCAAACAATTTAGTTTCCAGAACAAACAAATACAAAAAAAAATAGGATTGGCTTTCGAATCGTCCTCTGCTTTTTCCAAGTGGAAGTCTGGCAGTGGCTCCTCTGGACCCTGGAACGACGAGCTCGTTCTATGGTCAAGCCAAGAAGACTCGACTGGTCGATCTAACCTACCAGTAAATAGCCTTTATTTGGGTATGTCTGACAACGTAGTTATATGGCAGTGTGTCAAAACCAATAGTACCCCTGTAGTTCACATCAAAATAGCTGGGATTTATGGATGTTCATCCCCCTAAAAATGGTATTAATAGGTATTGATCCATACCCATATCCCAAAATCGTCCTTTGAAATGGGAAAATTATCATATTGGATTTGGAGGTACCCATCTGAGCCGACAGCCAGCCAGTCACTGAAGTTCAACGTTCAGCCAAGCAGCTGCAGGTGCCACGCCCCAGTTTTCCACTGGTGGTTGAGCCCTAGCCCTGTGAAAAATGATGGAGTAAAAGTAAGTTGGGATGATGACATTCCATTCCCAATATGATGGGAAAGTCATTCAAAATTCCATATGGTTCCAGTCACCACCAATCAGATTACTATTGATTAACCAATATTAACCATTATTTAACCAAACCACCAAGCAGTCCATCATTCGGGGGAGAACAAAAGCCACACTCATCCATGACATCGATCTTAAGTTTCTCCCATAAATGTCAGCAGACACACTCGAGCGGTGTGTACAATCCATTCAGGGATGCCAAGAAAGAATGGTAAACAATGTTAAACATATGTTATACATCTGTTCATATCTTTTCTGATTATATAAAACATTATAATATATATATAAACAACAATACATGTTGGGCGGACCACATAAGGGCTCAAACCTTTTAAGCACCTTTTATGTCCCATGATGTCCCATACATTCCCGGCCTTTGGTGAGAGTGCCATCAAGCCGTTGACCTTGAAATCGGCAAACTCCTCCTGCCGCCGGAAGCTTCGAAAAAAAATGATGGCTGCCCTGGGAGGGACATCACAGATGTCGTGTTCCGAACTGCCAAATGCTGGGCAAACATGGATAGGAAACTAATGCCGCTTCATTGGAGACAAGGTATGGGCAGCTAGCCCAAAATGGGACGGTTTTTCATGCCAAAAATGACTAGTCAGTCGTGTTTTTGCACCTGCCAGTAAGTCTCTGACTCAGACATGGGGGCATGATGGAGCGTGAACGTTCCTCTCTGGAGAAAAATGAACATGAGAAAAGAACATGATTTAGCATCTGATTTTCCCGCTGTTTTGAGATATATTTTCTTTGGCTAACCAAATAACTTTCTGAAAAAATACCAGGATCCCCCCTTGAAAGTGATTGAAATTTGCTGTCCAAACCACCGCAGTTTTCACCAAAAAGGTCACAGAGCGCGGGTTGGTGGTTGACCTACCTCTGAAAAATATGATTCAGTTGGGATGATGACATTCCCATATATGATGGACAAAAAACATGTTTGAAACCACCTTAACCAGTGGGTTACTTGCATCGAATCTTCATCCGGAATCCATTAGTTGCCACCTGGAAGAGACAAATTCCAGCAATTGTCAAAACCCCATGGATCCAGGTACCGTACCTTCTGAAAGGAAGTGGGTTTAAGGGGTATAATTTACTATTTTTCATTTGGAGGCTTTTTTGTATGTACCTTCTCAGACAGTGGCCATGGATCCATAGGGAAAAGCATCTGTCGGTCACGGGATTCCCCGCCATTGGATCTGATGGATTCCCCTCCATTGGATCCTGGAAAAAACAGCGCTGCTTCAGCGCAGGGGTCATGTTATTCATGTAGTCCCGGAGTCCCAATGAATCTATCGTTAAAATGTTAGGAAAACCCCATTCACTAGTTCGATGTATCTACCATAAACATCTATAAACCATCGAATTCACCTATAGTTAAATTATATTCACTAATTAGTTCGATATATATCATTAAAACATTCATAAACATTCATAAACCATAATTACCCTAATTATAGACCAACTTAATCCAACTGAGCTATCTAGAGGGCTTCACCGAGGGATCGTGACACCGTGAAATTACACAACTCGCCTCCACCGCCACCACCTGTTGCGTGAAGTGCACTGCAAAGCGTGCAGCGTAGGCGCGGGGCGGAATCGTCGCCTTGTTCCTGGTCATGGTGCCGGTGCGAATGTGTGTTGTGTAACGTATTCATCCATATTTATAGGTTCCCATTGATCTAGATTAATTATAGATTATAGATTTCATAGGAAACTATGTAATTCCCATATACAAAAAAATATAGATTCCCATTCCCACCAAGAGCGGTGAATTCATTGAAAAAAACATCGAAAGCGTGTCTGGAACAGCAAATCAAAAGCAAGAGTGTAAAATCATCAACCAATTATTGACTACTGTATATACTTAATTGTATCATTAAATTATTGTACATGTGTCAATATACACAAAGACAGAGAGAAAGAGAGAAAGAGTCATATATATACAAATATATATATATAGAGAGAGAGAGAGTGATAGAGAGAGAGAGAGATGTGATCAGTTTCTGTTTTTTTTGTACCAGCCAGTCCCCTTTCGTTGATAGTGCCCAAGCCACTTCTCAAAGACTTTGATGGCACGAGCCACACCTCAAAAAACCCAGCCACTGACCCAGCCAGTCGCACTGGATGTTGGTCATGTCTGTCATGTTTTTTTCATGTGAAACACTCCAAGTCCAAATAGAAAAATCGGAAGACAGGAGCAGCGCAGGGCAGCGCAGGGCAGCGCAGGGCAGCGCAGATCCTGTGGTAAAGGAAACAGCAATGAACCAATCCAACCTTCGCCATAAAAAAGTATCTACGGGATTTTTCTAAATGTACAGCAAGTTAATTTGCGGGAAAAACTCATCGTTGATGGTGCATTTATTAGCCATGGGTGCACTTTTGATCCATCCTTCATGCAGGTAGCCTCAAGACCACCCATGCGGGTGAAGTAAAACTATACATGGATGGTATATGGGTCACTGGCATCGGAAAATCTAGGGGAGAACGCGGAAAACACCACAATCCATTGGTTCATCATCACATTGGAATGCGATTTGTTTCTACACTCAATACAGTTATGGCCATTTATTTGTTATAATTATAACTGGTTATATCTATGGGATTAGACATTCTATAAATGGGGTTTTGTTAGTACGTAAAACTGGTAAAGGGCCATAAGTGTAGAAGAACATTGTAATGATCATCAACATGTGAGCAGTGTTCAGAATCCCTCTGTCATTCCATTATACTGGTCGGTTTATAGGGATTCCCCTATTGGATTATTAGAATCTGCCATATTCATCAACCAACCAGGGTTTTGAACACTGCCCATGTTCCCAATACCCTCTGGTGAGCATAGCGAAGCCATGGACGGCCAAGTGGCGCTTCCCCATGGTCCAGCGTTGCCTTGAGACTTGTCACGTCCAATGGCTTGGTTGACCCCATTTTTCATGCGGAAACGATGAATCGTATCATCAAGTATGATCAGATATTTCTCTTCCATATCATCAAGTTAAATGTGAACTCTTCCATACCCATAGGATCCATGGTGCTGGTATATATGCTAACATGACTGGGGTATATTGATGGGATCCATGTTACCATATATAGCAGCACCATGGATCCGTCATGGGATATGGATCAAGTTGATGAGTTCAAATCGCGGGGACTTTTCACTTTTTAAGCCTTCTGAAGAAATACGACAGTCGTTGGGGATCCATCCCAGGATTCATCGACCGACCTATCAAACATGGCTGGGAAAATCATGGAAAATCCACTATAAATGGAAGTTTTCATGGGTATACAACATTGAAATAGATGGATTTTCTTAGGCCATCTTGGATTACCAAAGGGTAGATGTGTGGCTTGAAATTGGTGGAACTAGCTTTACACCAAATTCTTTGCAATTGTGGCTACTTGAAGACTTGGAGGTTCAAGCTATGCAATAGTGTATTTTATGATATATAAGCACACCATGCGGTTGTTCATGCTGTATAGTTATTAATGCAATAATCTATGTAATATACACACAGTTTGGACAAACGGTGATCATTCACAGGGCCAGGCTGGCCAGGTGACAAGAAGTCAATGATGGCAATGTGCACTGCAACAGGGCCATCTTTCCTCGGTACTGCTGGAAATGATGCGCCCAGTGATGTTTGCCAGTTGATGCTGTTACCCCATTGACTATACATATAATATATCTACTAGGAACCCTAGTCTTGGGAGTCATAAACTTACCAAATTGGCTTTGGAACTGGGGCACAACCTTATAAATTGAAAAAAGCGAACTTTCATTTGGGATAGAAGAAAACTCTACATCTTCACTCCGATTTAGGACCACGACCAAAAGTGATCAACAAAAGGAGGCAGTCACTGAGTTTTGAGATACGCCAAACGTGGCGTTGTGGAGCATTCAATCCAAGCTTAAGTTTGGCTTCGGTGATCGTACCTTCAATTGGGATTTCCCACCAGAATGGTAGCTACATACAGAGTATGGTACCGTTATTCGTTTCTACCTGGCACAATAAAACCCCTCCCAAAACCGAGTCCAATTTCAAGCCAAATACCCGAACCTACTTGAAAAAACAAACACTTTGATTCACGTGAGTGAAATTCATTGGGTCCATGTTTAACCCAACCACTTCCATAGTTCATTCCAGCGAGGTGCGTTTGGCGGATGAAGGGCTGTCCACTGGGCAAACCGATGGTGCCTTCGTCCTTCAGGTCTTTGATGGCCACGAGAAGACCTGAATGGCCATGGCCAGGGGGGTTTGTTCATCAGCTGCTTCGGAGGGATTTGTTTCACCCATGTTTATCCATTCTTTTAAGATATAATATACCCATTCCATAGTACTGCCAGGGAAGTTCATTACATAGCTGATTGTGAAGATAAACATTCCCATTTGTTTGATGTAACTGTTTCATCGTATCTATAGGCTCCATAAAAATGCAATTATATATAATATTATACATATATATATATACTGTATATACAAATATATACAAATATATACACATATATACAAATATATACATATATATATATATACAAATATAATTATACAAATATACATACGTTATATATATAGATTCTTCAGGACTCGGACACTGAGTTCCTTGCAATATGGAACTAGGATGAACTGTAACAACTAGCTACTAGCTATATATCTTGTTGAGATCAGGGAAGCCCTGCGACAAAAAGCGAGGGCTGTCCTCATGATATGCTTAAGGCTGGTTGGTGGTTTTAACCATGCTGGAAAATATTAGTCAATGGGAAGGATTATCCCATATAATTATTATGGAAAATAGCAAATGTTCCAAACCACCAACAAGTTATGGAAATCATGCTACCCGCTGCTGCTACCCTCCACTTTCATCACCAAACCAGGACTCCGTGTAACACTTTTGCCACCAGTCCCAATGAATCATGGACATGTTCAACGAGAATCCAGCTAGTTGATGCTAATTGGATGTTGAAAAAATATACACCCAAAACGTTTGCAACAATCTACAGTTGATTTGAATTGTTGAACGATTCCACTTACTATTTCCCGCCCGATTCCCAAAGAAACTTAATCATCCAAATGATACCTAGATCTTTCAAGTACCTAAAAGAATTGGGCAACCTAGCCATTACCTTGGAACGTTCACCCATGAAATCATGTGTGCAAGAAGAGAGCCTTTTTGTTTGGATTTGTCAAATATGTCCAAGTGAGCCATTAACAATCCCCATATCCCATCGATCCCTACGTTAGTTGTTCGGTTTCCCCTAATACCTTATCAAAACCCCATGGAACAAGGGGATGTCTCATGGTTCAAGTGATTCCCAGACTATATAGAAAGGGGGGAGTCATGAGAGTCATGAGGGATCCCCAGTGTCACCAGGGTGGTTTTCGTCATCCATGACTTGGATGATTGGGGCTACCCTTATGACTTAGGATCCCCGACAAATATTTTCATTTACAGTAATATCATTTAATTATGGTGGATGTCCCAATATGTTCCCAACTTTTCCCATGAACTTCCCAATCAACCTCCATTTACTTCGCGGATGTTCCTCTGAACCCAAGCTGGCTACCCAACCAGTTGCCACCAAGGGGCTGTAGTCCATCAGCCGCTGCCCGGCCAAATAGGACACATCCCGTCGCAACGCCTCCAAGACCGAATCCTTCTGAGTGGAGGTCACGAAGAGCTGCGCCTGGCACCGAGACTTTTGGGTGATTTAAACATTGAACAACTGGAAAAACTTTTATAAAATGTATATCACTATACAAAACGATTGTGATGAAAACTAATATACCTTGACCCTCTATTGAAAAACATACACTATTAAACTATGAAAAGAACTATATATAGTGTTGTTGATAGACTATTGTGTTGCGAACCGAAGATATACAGTATGTTGATATTGTCTATTTGTAGCAGTGTGGTCAAGGCAATCATGTTTGATATTGTTTGATCCCATATTTTTTTATACATAAACATGCCTGCGGACCGAAAACCGTTCCCGTAAAACGCACGTTTTTGAATATCGCGATTGTGGGGTGGGGTGGGGTGGGGTGGGGTGGGTGGGGTGGGGTGGGGTGGGGTGGGGTGGCGTGCTAACGTTCGGTACATGATATATTGCCATGCTGCTGAGATCTCGTTTACGTACATGTTGCTACGCTGCTGATGGGGTGGGGTGGGTGGGGTCTGGTGCGGTGGGGTGGGGGTGGGGGGGGGGCATGTTAACGTTCTTGTACTTCGTACATGATATTTCCATGCTGCTGAGATCTCTGGGATCGTTTACTACGTGACATGTTGCTACGCTGCTGAGATCTCTGGGATCGTTTACTACGTTACATGTTGCTACGCTGCTGAGATCTCTGGGATCGTTTACTACGTGACATGTTGCTACGCTGCTGAGATCTCTGGGATCGTTTACTACGTGACATGTTGCTACGCTGCTGAAATCTCTGGGATCGTTTACTACGTTACATGCTACGCTGTGTATGGGTTTGGGTGCGGTAGTGACGCATAGGTTTTCGGTCCGCTTACATAATCACATTTTGATGATAGTATATATGTGAATAATGTCTTGCTGGGTTGCTCATTCTGTGTGCTGCAGGTTCGCGACTCAGGGACCTGGCATGCATTATTTGGGTTCCGACATATTGGGGATTCTAATATTTACAGTAATGCAATGGAGATGCATTCACAAGAATGCTGACTGCCAGCTGATAACGGTGCATGCGTTGCAGCGATGACGCTGAAAAGCCAAAAAACGCGCCCCAAGTTTTTCCAGGATTTCCAATCATCAAATCAGCACGGCACTGCGGTAAAATCACCATGTTTTTTTTAAAAACGTGCGTTGTATGGGCACGGTTTCCGGTCCGGCGGGATAAACATGAAAAACATGTACCATTTGATGGACTGTTGTGGTGATAATAACAACACCATTCATATGGTGAATGTATATATTGATGCGTTTTGCAATCACATGGTCAACATACGTTGTCATGTTTGGTGGTAGAATTGGATAAAATTGACATTCCTGAAAGAGGTAAATTCAGGGCCTAGCTGCCCAGCTAGTCATTGACCCCCACTGTGAATTACAGGGAGCCAGGAATTTGACCCATTCCTCCAGCCTGACCAGCGAAGCAACGAATTTGAAACGGGATGTTTTTAAAGGGAACAATCATGACTACAGAAAACCGCAGCTACAGAAAGAAATATCAAAACTATCCCAGATTTCCTGGTTGGTTTCAATAACATAATCTTTATCTTTAGAATATGAAGGTTGATTCGGAGAATCCTCCAGGCCGCAGATCAAACATATTGAAAACAACTGGCTGAGGCAAGCGCGATCTGATGCGCTCTGATGATGTGCGATCCCCATAGTTTTGCGGATGATGTTCCCAAGATTCATCGACTAAATCAGACAATTCCCATCTGTGGATGATCAATTTGATCCCCAATCTTCCTGAAATGTTCCCAATGAAAATATCTTAAAGTCCCAACAAAATCCCATTAAATCCCATTATATTCCGTTAAAATCCCATTAAAATCCCAAAATCATTCAAGTCCCATGAGAATGGTCGACTCAAATCCCCGCCTTGCGGGCTTCCACCTTGCCCCGGTGATAGCGTCGTCGAGCCGAGGACCAACAGCAACTGCTCCACATGGCCACATTCCTCGACGCGGCGCGCCCGGAAGGAACAAAATATGGGGAGCTTTCAACATGACATGGGATTTGTCATGTTGAGTTACCATTGGGATTTATGTCAGGGATTTATGGGATTTATGTCAGAAAATTAGATTTATTGAGATTTAGTTCTTTGATATTGTTGGATTGATGTGAAGAACCTGGGGTTTTAGATGTGATTTACCATTGACAAATTGGGATGTCGATGTGATATACCATAAACACATGGTATTTAGATCAGATTTATATTTTGCGTTGAAGTTGGTAAGTGGGCTGAATTAACAGTTGATTTTTTAAAAATAAATATACCTACTTATTTGGTTGATATACCTCTAGGATGATGTTAAGCCATTAAACCGGGATGGGACCGCTTGTGGATGACCATGACTATAGAGGTTGTAACAAGTGGAGTTGCCTCATTTAACAGATCGACATCCGGTATCATGACAGTAACCCAATTATATATTATATAATGTACAGTAGATGTTGTTTAATTGTTTGATGGTATATGCCTCTAGTATATGTCACTTTGGAACAGTCTTGATGCTGACTTTAGGTCAGTTGGCTCATCCACATTTTTGCATCCGTCACCACGGATCTGATCGAGACATATTCTCAACACTGGCTCTCCATTGGTTTGTTTTTAGTTCACACTGTTGAGAAATGGTAACCTGGTTGGTGGTTTGAATCCCTCTGAAAAATATGAGTTCGTCAGTTGGGATGATGACATTCCCAATATATGGAAAAAAACATGTTCCAAACCACCAAAAACATGATCCCATCTTCCGAAACCAAGCAGTAACCAGCAGTTCACCAGCAGTTTGCCACGTTCCAGCACCGGCCCACCAACAGCTTTCGCCATTCAGTCGGGTCTCCAAATTCGCTTGTGGACTGCTGGGATGACGATGCCATCCTTTTCCAACGTCTTGTCATCTGCGCAACCTTTGAGATCATACAGTGCCTCGCCACAATCCCAGGATCCCAGGATCTGGACTCAGCTGGATTCAGCTTCACTTCTTGTCCTATGGTTCCAAGGACAAAAGGAAGAATGTCCAGGATGTCCAGGACCTCCCCCTCCAAAAAAAGGGTCATTTTTCTAGAGATCATATGAGATGATGATGGTTCACCAAATGGAATTCGCTCTGAAAAATACCGTTTTTTTTTTGGGCCGCCAGAGAAGCCCAGAGGGGCCCTGCAAGCCCTGCCTTGAAAGGCCCTTGGCCAACACAATTCCTTGGACCGATGAGATACCCAGAGATCTCCAGGGAATTGGCTTCCTATAGTAGTAGTAGAAGCAGACCTGTCACATCCTGTCACATGTTTGCCATGACCGAACAAGTTACCCTCGAGCCAACATCGGAGAACAACATGAAAAACATGTCGTTTGACACCACCAAATTAAACAACAAAAACAATTTTTGGTGACTCGTGACATGTTCTATTTCGCGATTGTATCAAGCTATGTTGGTTTGGTGGAAAAATACCAATCAGAGATCCATGATTATTTAATCAATCCAACTTCAGCCAGGTCTCCGCATGGCAAAAAAGGTGCGCTTAGTGGCCTTATCTCCTTAGTTGTTCATCAGCGACCCTCTGTTGCATGCCCCATGTCCCAAGCAAAAAACACGACAGGTTGGAACAGTTAAGTCCACTATCTTTCGTGTTCATGGTTGATCAATATCCAACTCATGGGGGTTGTGAACCAACTTATACCTCTGCTATTAATAGTTGGTCATAATTGTTGGTGTCACAATTGTCATACTTGTTGGTCATACTGTAGCCAGTAGCCCCTGTAAAACCGTGTAGATAAGGTAGTATGACACCCTTACAATACAGCAACTCATTAAACATATTCAAATCTGCCCACTGCTCATTTGCTCCTGTTGGAAAAACATGTGCCAATCAGAGTGAGACACAGAGATGCTACTATGATGTCTAAGATTCATTTGCGTCTCAGATTCACTTTGTCCGCTGGAATCTGAAACATAAGCAAACTATTCTTATCAGCGTGGCAGTAATACAATTACAATGTGAGGCCCCCCAGTTATAAGTTGATTAACAAAAGCCCCAGTAACTATAGTTTTAATAATAAGTACCATAAACCATAGTTAATGGAGTTATAAACCAACTTAGCTATCTTGGGGGCCTCACATTGTATCCCTGTGGATGAAATTCACCGCCTCTCTGAAGCACAGTTCCGTCTAGCCATGTCTAGCCATGGCCTCCAAAGTACTACCGAACACACAAAAGGACCCAAAATCCCAGGCCGACTGTGTCTGGTTGGTGGTAACCTACCCCTCTGAAAAATGATGGAGTAAAAGTCAGTTGGGATGATGACATTCACAATATGATGGAAAAGTCATTCAAAATTCCATGGTTCCAGTCACCACCAACCAGCTGTTGATGACCTCAGCAGAGGTGCACCGCATGCTATCCATGGGAAAATCCACTATATATTTCAATGGTGATTAGCCATAGTGTTTTGTTTATACGTTTACCATTTCGGGTAAATCTGTGAACATGAAAAAATCAGGTCAAGTGAAGCGCGATACCTGGGTTCATCGGAGAATCGGGGACCTCGTGGCAGAGCCATTCCAAAATATGCCCCTTGATTTATATCATCATTCATCCCATGTCTAGGTTGGAACACATCTGGCTGAGATACAATTGTTATTCACTGACCTCACTTAATAGCTCTTATCATGTGGCATCAACCAAGTCACCAAGTCCAACAAGCTGAGTATTATCCTGCCTATCTCAACATCATCCCACTTCATGGAAAGTGAGAAACAAAACGGCGCCATGACCGCGCCCATCCCGGATTTGTTTGTGGATCATCTTCCCAAAGATCATCCGATTTTTCCAGGATTGTCGAATGTGTGGAACATTACAAAATCATGGAATTTATCACAAATCAACCTGTAATAGAACTGTATTTGGTAATATATACCCATGAAAAATCTCACATGTTGTAGGTTAAACATGGTTAAACCACCAGTCATCTTTGACACTTCTCCTGGCGTTCCAAAGTGAACCAGGCATCTAAAGTGCAGAAAAATGGGCGACAGCAAGGACTTGCCAGTCCTCAGGTGCTCGCCTTAGATTCCGGCCACGAGTCATGCCGGCCACGCAGTGACGCAGTGGCACCGAAACGGCCATGGCTAGCTGCAGTAAGTTATGGCTATGGCTATTAGTTATAACTGGTTATTTCTATGGGATAAAAAACATTCTATAAATGGGGTGACTTGTTAGTACTGGTATAAATTGGACCATAACTCTGGGAAAGCCATGTAAAAAGAGGCTAGACCAGAAAATCATCTATAGAAAATTGCTAGAGTTTCCATTGTGTGTGGTTCGTTTTTTGGGTCATATTTCGGGATTTTTGTTTTTTTCAGCTAACAATACCCATAGGATCCATGTATGGTATATATGCTAACATTGGGGGTATATTGATGGTAAATGTTACCATATAGAGCATACATGGATCCTATGGGATATGAGTTGATACTCAGTTGACACCTGCTTTGTTTTCCAGCGTTCCTGGAGATTTTCCCTGTGAACAGCAGGAAAAACATGAAAAAACGGCGCGAAATGGGACCTTGGATTAAGATATGAAGTAAAGGTTCCACATGTATCCACATGTAAAGATTAATCATAAATATATTAAGATGCTAAAACGGCAACACCTTAAGATTATCATGCGTAAATCTAATGTGAGTCTTTACGCCGAAAAGAAATTTGCAGCGGATGCAAAAATACCAACACTTTGAGGTAAAACACTCCTTTTTTTGGCATTGAATATCCAAATATATCCAAATATCAGAATTATTGACTTGCTATTTTGATTTGTTCATAAAATACTCATGTTCAACAACAATGAATTTCTTAATGAAGGCGAAGAATTGTTCCGGATCAATCCGGCTGACCAGGAGTAAACATCACTCAGGTGTATCTTCCTTTTGGGTGTCCAAAAAACGGTGGACAACCTATGGATATGGCAGGGAAAACAAACCTGGTTGGTGGTATACTTACCCCTCTGAAAAATATTAATTAGTCACTTGGGGTGATGACATTCCCAAGATACGGAAAATACAAAATGTTCCAAACCACCAACCAGAAACGATAACAAAATTTCACACTTTGAAGTCGATTGATGTAAAACAATGTTACTAAATCACACGTATGCAAACAACTACCAGCATTGGATGTTCTATTTTTCGAACAATGATCATAGTATTAACCAACATCTAACGGCTATGATAAATCATTATCATATATCATAAATCATGATCCTATGTGAAAGAGTATGTTGAAACCATTTGAAACCCATAAACCATGATCATTTTATCATAGATCTGGGTAAATTATAATATTTCACTGACCTGAATTAAGGCCATTTGTGGATGATTTCCCTTATTAACCATGATTTCCAGTGAGGTCGCAGTGAGGTCGTTTTAATTTACCCAGATAGATCACGTTCATGCTCCACATCCCCTCAACTTCCACCCACGCCAAAACATGATCCAAGCGTCTAAAGCTTTCGGTGATCCGCAAGAGCGTTTGATGATCTCCTGGCCCAGCGTGACATGTTTGCTTGATCTTATACGAATTCACTCATCTTAAATATATGGCTGTGGACCTGAACATGGGGTGTTTATATATATATATATTTATAATAATAACTATATATTTACAATAGAAAATACAAATTTAATAGTATATCCATGTATATCCCCATTTTTTTGAATAGTATCTTACACGCGTTGCCCGCGGGCTGTTGAACTACTATGGAAGCCAGGGCCTGTAGGAATAGATGATTAAACAAATAAATAATAAAATAAAATGATCATTGATCATGTTTAAACAGTTTGTACGCCTGCAAATGGGGTATATCATATATCACCAAAACAATCAGTTTAATAGGGAACATGATGATGAACTATAGCGCTTCTTTGGGTACTGTACACCAACCAATATCTACCATAAGCCCAACAGTTAATAACGTTATACACCAAATTAGCCAGCTATTGGGCACCCCCTCCAGATCAATTTCATGGGACCATACCTGCCACGCAGCAGTGATCTCCTTGAATTTTTGCAGCCACGGGAAAAATCGATGCCTTCATCCCTCCCAACGGATGCTGAGTCCACCGCCTTTGCTGAGCTCTTTCACAATGAAGTTGTCCAAGCGAGCCATTAGAGTCCCACCTTTCCCACCACCTGCCACGAAAAGCGGTACCAACGGTACGCATGGTTTTACGAGGTACCAACGGAGCCAATGGATTGGTTTGTTGGGGAAATCTTAACCGGAAACCATGGCTTTTAGCATCAAATTGCTTGGGGTTTCCTGGAAATGTTCCCATCATCTGAACCAAAACCTTGGAGCACAGAAAAAGATCCAACCTCTAGGGGAAGCGATGGGGAAAAAATCGGGCGATCTCCCACATCATTCAAACACATGCTTTGACTGAATATGGGTTGTTCCAAAATCCATTGGTTTATTGACATATTTCCATAACTATAACAATTGCTCCAATTTGGGGGCATACCTAAACATTTTTTGACAAAACCACATTTAAAGCACTACTCTTCCCTTCTTTTGCAAAGGTTCTGAATACCTGAAGACTTGATGCTACCCTGCCAGCGCCTGCAGATAAGCCATCGATTGACCAACTATTTATGAAATCTTCAGGCCTTAGGGACAGCGGAAGTCACCCATCTAGCATTTTTTTGTTGCAGCTAAGGTCAAATGAAGCAAAACTGAGTGTCATATCAAATCTGAAGTCTGCTACCAAGGAACCTACAAGGACACAAGAACTAAGACAAACGGTCTCCTAACATTAGCCATTTGATATATCTCTGGGACCTGGGATTTGTGGAACCAATGACCTCTGACCAGGAATAAAATTCTGAATGGAATTCTGCACGATCTTTGGGAGAGTGTTATGACTACAACCGCCCTCGCGATTGCGATATTTGTTTTTCATCCCTGGCTCCGAACAAATCCGAGCTGGTGAAATCCACTTGGGAAGCTGGGATTGTCAGCCAGTCCCATGAAAGCACTGAGCACCTCAAGAATTCTCACTTTTTCCCAGTCCTATAGATAAGATTGAATCAACAAAAACGTATGAATGAAATACGATGAAATACTATGAAATACTATGAAATATGAGTAAGGTGTGGGTCAAAAGAACAGGAACCGCTAAACCGCTAAAAATTGGAAGCCACCCATCATCACCCATCTGGAGCTCCCAACACCCCCGCACGCTCCCGCAGGGGCCGAAAGTAGTATTCGTTGAAAAGCCTGGGAATTGGACGGAGCAGCTCAGGACCAATGCTGGGCGCTGGACAGCTTTTCCCCCAAAAAAAACTCTTAGGCAAGCTGGGTTTAAGTAACGTTCAAGACATGTTCATTGGTTATAAGCAATGTTTCAGAATTGACGAGTGTTCATTTACTAGATCAAGTATGGTTTATCCTCCCACCCACTAACAATCACAAACTGCATCAATATAGTTTTGGTATTGGAACCTATCTACCCTTCAATATCTGCTGTCAGTGCATGCGGGGGAAACCTATGGCATTCCATCCGTGATTCCGATTTTCAAGGACAGCCTTACCAATTTGGTATTCAATGTTTCTATACCAAATTGGTAATATTGTTTTACTTATGCAATTACCCACCTAAACCCACCTAATGCCATGTATAACAACCTATTTAGCGACATGCTATACCCCCAAATTGCAATCTCAACAGGGAAAAATCAAGGAATACCCATGGAGTTAGGCTATCCCATTCTCAAAGAAATCCATATCGCGTCGTTCATTATGTACAAATTAATATACATCCCATTGATCCCATCATCTTATTCCCACCAAATTCCCCTTATACAACCCGTTTTCAGCCTGAGTATTTCACGGTTGGTTGTCGCTTGGCGGTGCAGTTAGGGTAGTGGCTATGATAATAAACCACATCACCTGGGATGTAACCTGTGTAGTTATGTCTATAGAAACCCCCAAATCATCCTTTTTAGCTCGATTTTCCATTACCAAGCCTCCAGTGGGGTACCCCCATAACTTAGGAAACTCCTAGCCCCTCAACCACTTCTTAGTGATGCCCACCCCCACGGTCTCATTGGTTCCGCCCCCGCGTCCAAGGTGCTCAACTTCGCGGCCTCCTGGACAAAGGCCCTGCGGTCGAATTTGTTGCAGTTATGGCTCAAAACAGCCGTATAAATGGGCTTCCAATGGACTCATCATTGGACCACTGTACAGAACTACGGAAAATCAGCATGTTTAAAGGTAAACCATTGAACTAATGTTGATACACTCGACTTATGTTAAATCTTTGGAGGGTTTGAGGTACAATGCGGTGCCCACAGGTGAAAAAAACACCCTTTTGCTAGTTGCATATATCAACCAAAAACCCTAACTGTCTTGGTGATAAACCAATGTAGCTAACTATGGGGCACCACCTTTCATAATCAGCCGACAGGAATCCCACAATGGGAATCCGTATGCGGGGTATATTCCTGATAGGTGGATTGAAAGACCATGGTCAATCTTTGGTAGTCCACAAAAACACGTTTTTTTTTTGCTGGTTATGGTTATTTTCCATGTTTATAGCAAACAACGGATTAAACTGCCTATCCAAGGTTGGGTCTGAGACCATCCTTCAAAACTGGCAAAAATCAGGGAAGAATAGGCGTCTGAGCATGGCACACATGGTGGAGGAGCGAATGTTTTTCCACAGAAATTGGGGATCAATAGCCCAAAAATGCGGATACAGGACCAACTATACGTATATTATTACAATGGCACAATGGGATAAATATCATCGACGGTCTGATGTGGGTTGCAAAAACATAGGAGCAACTCCAAAATTACATTCTTCTATGGGGAACTGGTGATCAACCGTTGGACAACAGAACCACAACAGAACCACAACAGAACCACCGCGACACGCCTGAGCCATGGTAAATCCCCAGCACAACTGCTGGTCTCCCCAGCGGCTCTTTGTCAAGTGCTATGCTGATGTTAGCTGCTGGTCATGTGGCATTCAAGCTGGCCATCTACCCCATCCCCAAGTCATTGTGGCATTTTTCTGGCTGCGATGCGATTGAGTTTAACCATCCTGAAATGGGAGTTGTTTATGGTTTCAGGGTTTCCCACATGTGGAATCTCCACTGTTAATAATGTTTTATTGGCTGCAACGTTGCATTTTTGGCTACCTGTCACTGCTGTTTGGTTCGGCTTCGACGCACTATCATGTCTTTACGTCATGTGTTGGCCGTCTTGGTGTGCGTGTGCTTTGTATTGTCTTCACTTTGCATTTCGCTGCTACAATTCTTCGGTTCCATACATGGACATATTGGATTGGAAATAGATGAAATAGGGAGGATCAATGGTAACTCATGACACTCATTCATCGGAGTTTGTTCACACGTGAGATCGGAGAAATCTGATGTGTTCGAAGAATAGGACATAATACTGCTGAATCAACTTCCCCCAATAGCAACTTTAATGCGGTCAAACCAAAAAGGTCAAACCAATCATGAAACATCCCAGTAAACCATGACTGGGCATCCTTGTAAATCATCCCAGTCTATAGCGGGTATACCATGGTATACACCATTTCACACACCAAGGTGGGGGGGATCCATTACAAGTATCATCAATTCATCAATTATCCCGCAAATATCTTGACTTCTCTCATAATCATCCCAAAACCAAAATCGGGATGATCTGTGAATCTGTGGCATTGCTGTTGAATGTGTTTGACACATGGGTATGGGGTACCTCAATAATTGGATGGTTAATACCAAACTAGACTAACATCTGTGGTCCCCTAGGTCTTCCATTTTGACCCACATCCACATTGCTAGAGCTCCACCCTGGAAAGACCTGCCCTTGTTTCACTTGCTGAGGCACTTTCGCTTCTGCCCTGGGCGCAGTGGTCCACTGAGCGGTGGACTTTTTTTTATCCAAAAAAACATCGGTAGATATCACATATAGTCTCATATAGTGATCCCCGAAGAGATAGACAGTCGTGTTTCCAGGATGGTGATACAATGTGATACATTTCCAGGATTTTCCAGGTTTCCAACTTTTCCATCTATGACTTGGGGGGTGTTTTTTTGAATGGTCCCACACAACTTTTTTCAGCCAAAGTTTTGGTCCTTCAACTGGTGTCGATGTGCCATCATCAAAGCATGGATCAAAACCTTGTACCCTCTGGTAAACTAACATAGCTATTGAAAATGGCAATTTATAGGGAGTTTTCCCATTAATAGCATGGTGATTTTCCATACTTATGTAAACGTTTACCAGAGGCCCTGGTGTCAAAGTAGCTGGGATGGAGGATGACCGTCTGCAATATATCACTTGTGTAACACGATGGCGTTTGTATAATTTGTTTTGATCCATGATTTGGGCCAATTGATATCATGTGTAAGAGGAAAACTACCCGGAATTGGGATTAACCTCTGGTTATTCAACAGTTCGCCATGGACAATCATCTATAAATGGGCCATTCCCCATGGCTATGTTAAATAACCAGAGGGTAATTATCAATGACTATCTGAAAATTCCCGTGTTCATTCCCCACAATGCCTTCACATATCCCTGTTGGTGTGGTTTCTACACCACAAGCGGAGCGTCGGCCCGCCAAGACATTCCCGCCGATAACAAACCCACGTCAGATGGGACCCCAACAAGAACAAATGTGCGACTAAATCCAACTAAGGTTTCTGAAGATTGCTACGATCACAATGATCTTTCTTGTTTTAAACAATCATTGCTATTCTAAGTCCTAATCAGCATTAGCATCGATATGAACGGATGCAATCATCATGATGATAGTGATGATGAGGCAAACTCACACATATATATATACATCATTATACAGTGTGTATATATATGTATATATATATATATGTATATGTGTTATTATTAGACGTATTTATAAGTTACAATATGTCGGACTCATTCGCCAACGGAGAAAAAAAACCGGGGCCACGTCGGGTGCCTTCTCGCCGTCCTGATCCATCCCAGGATCCGTGGCTTTCGAAAAATGTGGAACCCCCAAGAGCTGGATGGCTTATGATGGAAAATCCGAATCGAAAATGGATGACTTGGGGGTACCCCCATGACTTAGGAAATGTCCATTTCAAGAAGGAAAACCCAGCTTCAAAGCAGGAATTTCCTGGAATTTCGAGGGAAAATCGTGGACATTTGAGGGATTTGATGGGATTTGTTGGAGTCCCATTCCCCTTCCTACTCCCCAGTCCGTGGTCCTCGTCATCAAAATTCATGATCGCAAAAGGGAGAAGGTCCTGAGCGACAAAGGCACTGCATCACTACCGTATGACCTTCGAAGTACCTTCGAAGTAGCTGCAAAAAAAATGGAACAACCAACTACTGTAACTATACAGTCAATATTATACTGCACATATATATATATATATATATCATATAATTTTATATAGATATATACACATACAGGTTAATACATGTGTGTATGTGGGTTAAACAAAAATCATTGTTTTTGTTGATTGTTTGAAGCTTTCAATCATAAATCTTCAGAATCCAGCCCCCGGGCGTTGTTTCACCTTAGTGACAGCACTTATTTCATCCCATTTGGAACTGTTGAGGTCACTGCGAATCACGAAGAATCATCTCCATTATAATTATAGCTATGTGTGTGTATTTATATATATATATATGTATATACGAGAGCTGCAAAAAATACATCAACCAACTTGGTCAGTTGGGGTAAACTGATGAAGCATCGTCTGAAAAGGATGTGTCTGAAAATGGTGGTATACGGTATACCTATCAAATAGCAATTGAAAAAATTGGCAATACCCTGATTCTTCAATCAAATTAGCTGGTTTTCCCCTATTTGTTCAAACAAACCCATCTAAGCACCTCCAATCTACAGAAGTACCCATAAACAAATTGGGGTATTAAAACAGATATCGTTCTGCCATAGTTTTTCTCGATGCCCTGCCGCTGGGTGCTACAAGCTTCATCGAAGTAGTCCAGCAGGGTGCCACAGTGCTTGGCCAGCACATCCTGGTCGATAGAAAGATATGATGAACTCAACCAACATTAGGAATGGGAAGAGATGATGCATTGAATGCTGCTGTGATACCATCCTTTGAATCGTTTTTTTTTAAAGATGGCCGAGTTTAATGACCCAAAAAGATCCAAGAAAAACGAACTGTTTGCTGTCGGGGTCCAACAAGTGACGAAATGTGAAGGGAACACGCAGCAAGTTTTCCCTCACATCAAACATTCAAGATAGAACAGCACTCATGACATGGAATCAATCATGGAACCTACATGAATACTTCAGCATGCTGCAGTTTCTAGAGCTGGATATCTGGCTGAGCAAATATATCTCTGTTTAAGGAAATAGATGACTGTCGTACTAAGTCACTATGCATCCACTTGGGCGACGCCGGTCATATCCCACTAATCATCAGTAAGAATATCCGCAGTTTATCAGTTTATGGATCACATATCTATTATATTATATTGCTAATCATCAAAGAATATCCATGGCAAAATCCCTATCTCCACATATCTCCACATATCTCCACATATCTCCACATATCTCCATATATCTCCATATATCTCCATATATCTCCATAGCACTGAAACGTTTTTTCGATGAGTGGCCAAATTCAACAAGATGAAGGGCAGGTGCGGTTCGATCTCATCCATTCGCTCCATGATCCGATCCAGGTGGGGGCGCACCACCTGAGCTCAGCGGAGCCCGGATTCATGGCATGCTCTCGTTGCAGGATGCTGAGTTAACGTGGCTGATACATTAAAGAAAAACAAGGTCGTACGATGCAGCAAAAATCTATTGACTTATGCCCAAGAAGTGTGATCCCATTGATTAAAATACATGATTCCAGAGTTGGGATGTACATGCACTACATTGCAATGCAACCATGGACCAGAATCTCCTTTTGTGCTCAGAACAGTGAAGGGAGGCACGTTTATCCACAAAGTCCCGAACCAAGTCCACTGGGTTTAAGGATTTGATATCAACCACGACCAGAATTGATTTTGGGGCCCTAGTTTCAGACAAATCCAAAATGATGTGGGGCAAGTTGGAACTGAACAAAGCCACAAATGAGAGCAAACATCCGGCACCACGGACCCCAAACCATCTGGCAAACATTCACTGGTTGTCCAAACATGAGGTAGGCAGGGGAAGCGCCCAAACAACCCTTCTGAAACAAAGAAGTACAGCAGCACACCTCAAAGTACGGGTCCAAAATCCGCACAATGCCTCAAATCGCAGTCGTTGGCCCCAAAATGTTGCAGGATAGATAACATGGCACCCTTCAATACCCTGCAAGGTGGTTTTCTCCAGTTATGTTTGTTGCCTTAAAATTCTTTAAGTATAGATCTATCCGATAACTTGTCCGATAACTTACCACGATTAGCCACGGTTTAAACCAACCTGCCAACGACTAGCTTTCAGCTAGGCATTGTCTCCCTACATTAGTGGTTAACAATGGAGGCAAAAACATGAGAAAGGATCATGATTGATGCAACAACAATCCATCCACATCATTATGATATCCAGACCAATCACATAGATTACGTTTGCCCTGAATGACTATTATGTATTGAAAGATTCATGATTACAGCTCCCTCTCCTTTCCAACCTGATAGCTTGGTTGGAGTGAAATATTCTGATGAACACAGATTCTTCTTTCCGTGGCAGAAAAGAACAGATCTCAGCGCAACAAAAACAATATCCCCTTCATGTGCACACGGAAATGCAAACGAACTAATTGGGCTGGAGGCATTTCTTGAAACTTTCATGCCTGCTTCACAGGCGTATGTTTTTTTGTGTCCAACATTTCTTCAAACTTTGCTAGTTGGGCCTATGACAAACAGAAAATGCAGCCCTTACATCGGGCCCTTCGGGCCACTTTCGCAACCCAAGGCCTCAAGGCCTCAAAGTCGAGCCAAACATGCTCCAGCTGCATCGGCTAAGCGACTTTTTCTGGATGTGAAATTAGAAAAAATTGGCTAACCATGGCTAACCTCAACGGTGTGTGCTAAGCGATTCTAAGCGCACACCTCAACTAATCCCCTGTCAAACATTGTGTATCTGTGCATCCAGGAAAATGTCAGCATGTCTGTGTTGACATTGGGAAGCTCATCATTTCCCCCATGAAAGTTGTAGTCTTAGAGTATACATGAGTATACACTATTACCATCTATTACCAAACAAAACCACGGAACTCTTCAACCAAGAAGCCAGGCACATGCGGCTCAATCACTGAGAGTCGGGTGTAGATTGATGGAAGGTGCGGAAAGATCCTGGTCGAGCGAATCGGGCGATGTTTGGAAAGCAATAGTTTGTTGACATCTGATCATCTGACTGGTTGGTGGTGCAATAACCATCTTCAAAATTGATGGAGTTCGTCAATGGGAAGGATGACATCCCACATATATATATATTATGGAAAATCAAATTCATGTTTGAAACCAAATAATTGAAACCACCAACCAGGTTTGTTAACATCTGGTGTTAATATTTGTTCCCCCCTTTAGTTGCCAAAAAATATTTTGAGGGGACTAACCACTGAGGTGTTGATGTAGTTGAGGCCCTCCTGAAAAAATATCGTCAGGTCGCCCGGCACCATTTCCAAGGTTGAAAACGACAAATGATTGAAACCGCCAGCGAATTTAAATGGGAAACTATCTGATTACAGTAACTATCTTTGCCGGAATGCAGGTGCCGCAATGAGGTTGGCATACTTTGTTTTGGTGCCGCGTATGAATTGGATGTGAGCATTACAAGAGTCAGTCAATAGTTTATTGTTTGTCGTGTCTGATCAGATTTCCGAATCTGATCCTGTTTCCGGAAAGAAAAGGATGCTTCACTATCAATCCTATACGAGTTAGATCATGTTAGATCGTTCACAAATGTCCAAACAAACAGTGATACACAATGGTTATACGATGGTTATCGCCAAAACGTTTCGTATCGATGCGCCCACAACATGTCTCATTTTTGGTATCAAACTATCCAGTTTGGGAGGTCAATAATTGTAATTCATGAGGAAAGTGGAACAATCCCTGTGGATCCAAATTAAATACTTCCGGAGAAACGACTCAACCCCCTAAATGCTTCCTCAGAAGGCAGCGCTGGATCCATAGAGAATATACCACGACACCATGTTCATACGCAACGGCGCCCTCAGTGAAATGTAAATTGGCTATGTTCACCTATCGAACCATAGATAATCATAGATATACATTAATCCAACAGTTCTTCCACCAATTTAGCTAGAATAAATCAACTTTAAATCACCATTTTCCTTGGTGAAATGTGTTATTGTATGGTAAATTATGTGGTAAACAATGTCGTCGCCATGGGCACCGCCTTGCTGTTTTGGTGGTTGAGCCTGCCCCTCTGACAAATAATGGACTTCGTCAGTTGAGATGATGACATTCTCAACTGATTGGAAAGTCATTCAAAATTCCATGGTTCCAGTCACCACCAACCAGAGTTTTAAATGGAAGTTGGAAATCGCTGGAGACAACAATTCTACAATTCAGATCCCTTTACGGACGCAAGATCCGGTTGAAAAAAGTGTCTTCTTTTCAGCCAGATATATCCAACACCAATCCAATCGTTCGCATAGTTACAGACCAACTTGCCTTTAGTTTTCCTACCGTTCTGGGTGAAGCCTCTATTGACGTAGATGGAACCCTCATTTCTACAGCATCAATCCCCAACTTGCTGCATAAAACCAAAACATCTGACTAGTCGACTCAGCAATTTCTCATAAGATCTCCAATTTCATGGGTAAAACCCCCACTTTCATGCTTAAACCCTTACAATGTGAGGCCCCCGTTCGATAGCGTTCAGTTGGTTTATAGTTCCAATAACTATGGTTTATGGTACTTATGACTCTGGTTTCTGGGGCTTTTGTTAACCAACAAACATCACAATGGGGGGCCTCACAGCCAGTAGAATTCTCGCCAGCAAAAACCAGCGGCGGTGGCAACACTAGATCGCTCCTCGGGGAATGGTTGGCAATGGATAGCGCCAGTGATGGTTGCTGGAGCAGCAGCCACGCCACCTGAGGGCAAATTCGTCACAAAAAAAAAGCCAAGCAAATCGCAGTTGCTTGCGCTGATTCATGGTAAATATATGTAAATATGCTATGTTTTAAACTTTCATGTGCAAATAGCATGAACTATCCGGATATAATCCTGAGCGCAAATCCATATAATCCATGCATTCATCATATCCTTGTAATTTAGGATCCTGAGAGCTCTACCATGAAAGACCACAACGTGATTTTGACTATGAAAGAACAGACCCAACAGCATGTAACTGCAGGATCCTGCAGGTGCAATCCATCGACCCCGACCAAGATACGGAAAGCCCTGCTTTGGTTTGCCTTGGCTGGGTCAGTCCAGCCAGTCAGCACCCAATAGAAAACACGACGCTTGCTCTGGGCTCACAACATATATATATATATATATATATATATCTGTATATATATATACATACACTAGTTATACATGACATGCCTGCACAGTCAAACACCAACTTTCAACTCGTTCATGTCCTCAGCACTGTTCGAATTTCTTGCCATCATGCCATCACTATCATGCATGATCTATATCTGATATATCTTGCAATGTTCCCACGCCAGCATGATTCATTTCGGTTGGAGGGTGTCGAAGTGATTTGTTGTTCATGGTTTGCCTGACATCCTGCAGCAGCCGGTCCATCTTTTGCGAAGTTTCAATCTCAGTGCTTGCCGTGGGCCGAAGGGGGAACCAACAAAAACATGAACCCAATATAGATCCCCATTTGGGTTGCTTAAATCATTGAATATCATTGAATCATATTGAATCATATATTGAATCCATTCAAATCCCCAATGTTTGATGGTTAAATCATGTTAAATCCCCAGATCATCCAGATCGATCTTTGTGCAATGAAAAAAAGCAAACATCATAATTATTTGGTGCGAATGGCCTCCAAGAAATCAGTGCGGAAATCGGCCCGACGCAGTCGGATGCAGTCATTGGCAGAATTACCGGGGGGGCTGGGTCAAACTTCTTATATTCCAACACCAAGAGAGAGATAAACAAATCCCAACAAACATGACCGAAGTTGACCCGACCACATGCTTGCACATCATTGCCCCACCATGATGGGTCGCCAGTCGCCAGGCAGTTTCATTAATTAATATGGTGCCAGCCAAGCAGGTCATTTGTCACTTTGGACAGTCGACTACCTTGGGATCTGCCAACGAAATCTCACATGCTTCACAGATCTAGATGATCCAGACCTAGGCCATTTCAGGACATTCTACCTCTGAACGTATCAGCACTCTCAGCGATCTCCCTGCGAGCGAGTGGGGCCCTTGTGATCTTGTCCCACAGATCTGAGTCAGAGCTGGACCCGTTCCAATCTGCATGAGATTTGATGATCTCCTGAGCCAGCTCGATGTGGGAAGCCTCCGAGTCGTCGTCTTCCAAGGCATCTCTCACTTCATCCACAAGCCTTGGCGGTGGAAAAACGTCAGACCTTCCTCAAAAGACAATTCGAATCTGTACCGCCCTTGGTTCCCCACGATAGAAGAGACATAAATAAATATATATATATATGATAATTATATGATATTGATTAGACAAATTACAATGTACCTATCGGTTTGACATGGATTTGGGCAAAATTTTCTGACATGACATCTGTCCTGACATGGCAAGGTCTGTCCGACGATGTCGACACGAGAGCTTGGCGAACTCGAGAGGAGAGAGAAGCCGAAAAAAAACTCCCAACGAATATGGGCGATGGTTAAACCTTGATTGAAACATAAGGGTTAGGTGCACGTAGACGTATTAATAGATCAATAGTGTATACAAATTGACATATAATTATATTCGAAGCGTATAGACCCTCAAGATGGTATGTGTGGGTGTATTTTCCCTCAACTTCATGATATGTTGTTGTTTTAAGACAATCATAATCATAATAGTGCTTTGATTTGGGATTAGGCCACCGCCCCTATAGATGTTACACATTGTTACACTAAAACATTGCTAAAACTACCTCATTTGCAAGCCCTGGGTTTGTCTGTAAATAGGCTACCCCATTCCATCCACTGGTTTATCAACGGTTTATCCCCATTGAGATTGCCAAAACTTGTGGATAAACCACATGTCCATCCATTTCCAAACAACCCCAAATCACGGTGGATGTGCCATGCATCGTACCCTGTTTTCTTGGTATTCTCTCTCTATCCCAATAATTAAGCCTGGTGTTAGATCAACAAAACCACCAAGGATCTCATGAAATCACCTTCCAAACACTCAAAATCATCAAACCTCAACCAAAATCCCCAGAATAAATCATCAACATCAAACAATATCAAACATCAACAGCTAAAAAAATTAGCCCCAGATTCTGCCGGCTGGTTTTCATGAGCTTCTCATGAAGTTCCAAGCGCCACTCTGGTTTCAGTTCAACGGAGTCCAGCAGAAATTCGTAGCGCAGGCGGCTGAAGCTGCGTAGCCACAGGGGCCAAGAAACGACCTGTTCGGTCTGAATCACCACCAGAAGGAAGATCAGGACGCCATGGAAATACCAAGCCTTTTTTGGAGGCTTTGAAGGGATGGGTGAAAATCGGATGTTTGTGTATAATTATATACATTTATAATATATATATGATATTAAATATTATTCTGATTCTTACTATAAACATGATTATTATAATCATCATCATTATCGTTGACATCATTATTATCATTATCATTATCATTATTATAATTATTACTATTACTTTAATCATGATTATTATTCCCCACCTGCCAGGTGAGGGTCGTTAGATTTTATCAGAGCGCTCTTCCTCCGCCTCCTCGTCCTCCTCCTCCTCCTCCTCCTCGACTAGCTGTCCTCTTCCTCCTCGTCCTCCTCCTCGCCTCCTCCTCCAGTTTCTCCTTGACCATGTCTGCATCAACTTCCACCTGCACTTCCGCCTTGACAACCGCCAAGCTCTTTGCCAACTCTCTTCGCCGACTCTCTGCGCCAAGCTCTTTGCCAACTTCCCAGCTCAGTGTGCACCGCTGGACCTCAACCTGGGATCTGCCCAGCTCAGTGTGCACCGCTGGACCTCAACCGGGGACCTGCACAGCTCAGTGTGCACCGCTGGACCTCAACCTGGGATCTGCCCAGCTCAGTGTGCACCGCTGGACCTCAACCTGGGATCTGCCCAGCTCAGTGTGCACCGCTGGACCTCAACCGGGGACCTGCACAGCTCAGTGTGCACCGCTGGACCTCAACCTGGGATCTGCCCAGCTCAGTGTGCACCGCTGGACTTCAACCGGCGACCTGCACAGCTCAGTGTGCACCGCTGGACCTCAACCTGGGACCTGCCCAGCTCAGTGTGCACCGCTGGACCTCAACGGCCAGATAGAATGCCAGAAGAGATGCCAGATAGAATGTCAGATAGAATTTCAGAAGGTATGCCAGATAGGATGCCATGAGATATGCCAGATAAAATGCCAGAAGATATGCCAGATAGAATGCCAGATAGAATGTCAGATAGAATGCCAGAAGGTATGCTTGCCAGATAGAATGCCAGAAGATTTGCCACATAGAATGCCAGATAGAATGTCAGAGAGAATGCCACAAGGTATGCCAGAGAGAATGCCAGAAGATTTGCCAGATAATATGCCAGAAGATATGCCAAATAGAATGCCAGATAGAATGCCAGAAGGTATGCCAGAAGATACGCCAGATAGAATGCCAGATAGAATGCCAGAAGGTATGCCAGAAGATATGCTAGATAGAATGCCAGAAGATTTGCCAGATAGAATGCCAGAAGATATGCCTGAAGATATGCCAGAACATATGCCAGAAGATTTGCCAGATAGGATGTCAGAAGATATGCCAGAAGATATGCCAGATAGAATGCCAGAACATATGCCAGAAGATATGCCAGGTAGAATGCCAGAAGATATGCCAGATAGAATGCCAGAAGGTATGCCAGATAGAATGCCAGAAGATTTGCCAGAACATATGCCAGAAGATATGCCAGATAGAATGCGAGATGGAATGCCAGAAGATATGCCAGAGGATATGCCAGAAGATTTGCCAGATAGAATGCCGGAAGATATGCCAGATAGAATGCCAGAAAATTTGCCAGATAATATGCCAGAAGATATGCCAGATAGAATGCCAGAACATATGCCAGAAGATATGTCAGATAGAATGCCAGAAGATTTGCCAGATAGAATGCCAGAAGGTATGCCAGATAGAATGCCAGAAGATTTGCCAGAACATATGCCAGAAGATATGCCAGATAGAATGCGAGATGGAATGCCAGTAGATATGCCAGATAGAATGCCAGATAGAATGTCAGAAAGAATGCCAGAAGATATATGAGATAAAATGCCAGAAGATATGCCAGATAGAATGCCAGAAGATATGCCAGATAGAATGCCAGAACATATGTCAGATAGAATGCCAGAAGATTTGCCAGTAAGAAAGTGTATAAATGTCATGGTGGGGATCACACGAAGTAAAGTAATTATTATTTTTATGTTTTACAGTTGTGGTGGAATTATTTCGAAGGTCATGTTTCCATCTGGGAAATATTGGTTTGGTGAAATAAGTTTGCCATAGCTGTTCCAAGAGACCCAAGAAGCCTGCAATACGTTGCCCTTCAATACATTGCCTTCCCCGTCTCTCATGCTGAGACTGTTGATCAGGCTCAGGGTGGAGAGGAATGCTGACAGGAGAATGAACATGGCCACAAGACAGAGCGTGAGCATGATAGCATGCCATCGCCTCTTCTTCAGCTGTCCAGAAATCACTGGCAACCTCAGTTGGTTGATCCCTTTCCTGGAAGGACTTGACATTGAATCACTTTAGTAGGATGCAAATGGATGCAATACACTCAAGATATACCCGGATAGCAAATACATGGATATACTATCACTTCATCTGTCCCAAAGAACTCCTCAATTCGGTGCATTTCGGCGGCCGAATCGGCTCTGTCAGGCAACAGTAGATAGCTATACATTTGGTAGAAACCGTGGACCACCAGGATTAAGGGCACGATGATCGCCACAAAATATGTTCCGTACATCAAAGCATTCTCGAAAGAAGGACCTGGGTGGTGAACGCACCTGGAAAAAGGTGACAAAATGACTGCCATGACTTGAAAATCTGTGGGAAAATAGAGCAAAGAAACACGCACCAAACATGCAGTGTACAATACAACATGTGTATATGCACCTATATAATTACATATATAATACATTAATCACATCGTTCCCAAGGGGTTGAAAAGAACACATGAGATTGTCTGAAAAGAAAATAGCCCCAATATAGCATATACTTACCATATATGTTTGAATTTGTCCAGCTATTGGGCTGAGATACTGAAAATGCCTGTCCAAATGTGATCATTTTCAGAGAGAAGGACCGCCTCCATCAATAGTCGCCGGAACAATGGACCAATGGTGAAGGGTGCAATGAAAAGCAACTGGACCAGCAACCACGCAACAGTCAGGATTCCTTGCGGTGACACGTTCGGGTACAAAAAAAAAGCATCTCACTTGATGCCTTTTAAATTTTGACTAAAATGATGTAACCATTTTGTCTAGTTATTTATTCCCCACCTGCCAGGTGAGGGTTGTTAGATTTTATCAGAGATGTTCTCCTCATCCTTCTCCTCCTCCTCCTCCGCCTCCTCTTCCTCCTCCTCCAGTGTCTCCTTGACCATGTCTGCATCAACTTCCACGTCCACTTCCGCCTTGCCAACTTGTCGCCAATCTCTTTGCCAACTTCCGCGCGCAGTGGGCACTGCTGGACCTCAACTGCCGGCTTCCGATCTGAGTGGGCACGGCTGGACCTCAACCGCCAGGTTCTGAGCGCAGTGGGCACCGCTGGACCTCATCCGAGCTCAGTGGGCACCGCTGGACCTTCAGAGCTCAGTGGGCACCGCTGGACCTCAACCTGGGACTTTCCGAGCTTAGTAGGCACCGTTGGACCTCAATGGCCAGACAGAATGCCAGAAGATATGCCAGATAGAATGCCAGATAGAATGTCAGAAAGAATGCCAGAAGATATATGAGATAAAATGCCAGAAGATATGCCAGATAGAATGCCAGAAGATATGCCAGATAGAATGCCGGAAAGTATGCCAGGTAGAATGTCAGATAGAATGCCAGAAGGTATGCCAGATAAAGTGCCAGAACATATTGCAAAAGATATGCCAGGTAGAATGCCAGAAGATATGCCAGATAGAATGCCAGAAGATATGCCAGATAAAATGCCAGAAGGTATGTCAGATAGAATGCCAGAGGATTTGCCAGTAACAAAGCGTATAAATGTCATGGTGGGCATAACTCGAAGTAAAGTAATTTATTTATTTATTTTTGTTATTTTTATTTATTTATTTATTTATTTATGATGTTAGGTTAGTAAAGCAAACGTGAAGTACCATGAACTACCCATACTTTGATGGTTTATACACCCCATTTTTATAGTCATAATACAATCATATTAAGAAATTGTCCATTGTAGAGATGCAAACTTCATAACAGGTTTGTGACCCCAAGGATCGGGTTCCCGGAGATAACCATTGAAGGTGCTGAAAGGTCAGTTCAGGATTTGCCGCACAACCGACACCCTCATCACCATGCATGTTGACCGTCAATAAAGAATCCAAAGGGTTGGAGGGCAATGTGTCCCGGACAACCCTGAATGGGACCTGGTAGACGGCTGAATAGAGGTAGTCACCATGAGCAACTGAGAGATTTAGGTTTCCCAGTCTTGTCTTTGTAGCTTGCCATAGGCCAAATGGAACGATCAAAACAATCAACATGCTGTATCTTCTTAACATGAATTAACAGTGAAGAAAATGATCATCTGGCTGGTTGTGGTTGACGTGACCGTGGTGATCGTGAGCATCTGGACCAATGAAGACCTCTACCGAAGTAGCAGCCCACGAGAAGGCTGCAGCGCATGTGGAGACTTGCACGATAAAGGTGAGCAGTCCGATTGACAAGGTCCATGTCTCTGCGACCCCACAGAGCAATGCGGAGTCATGCAGAATGGAAAGTACGGTCCACATACCGAGGCTGATCATGTAGACTGTCCGGGAAGTTCCATGCTCAAGGTGGTGATGCGGCTTCACATTCGATGAGTTTTTGCATAGCTCTGGGCTCTCAAAAATCTTTGCGTGGTTTCGATTCACAAACAAATGAGTTACTGTCGCTGGATACCAAGAATAGGTATAGGGCAACCAGTCCCAGAAGTTTAGATCAGGTGCCTCCGCATGCACATATTTCCTTCCATTCTCCACTTCAACGAATAAGGGGAAAGGGAACAGTGGTTTTGAGAGGTTTCTTTGATCCACCGGCTCAATTCTGCCCTTCATATCCTCTCGGAAGGTTGGTGGTAGATGGTCTTGGCAATCGCTGTAGAATTGCATGAAGATGCAGGGGTGCTGATTAGAGTCGCAAGCCTTGGACATATTGATATACCATCTGGTTATGACTAACATAGCCATAGAAAATCACAATTTTTAATAGGTAAACCATCTATAAATGGGCCATTTTCCATGGCTATGTCAAATAACCAGAGGGTAATTCAGGAACTTCTAGGAACGCCAAAAGAAAAACCTATTCCCCATCTTTAGATTCCCCAACCGATTCGTGGATTTCAACGGATCTTTCACATCAGCAAATCCCCAAGAAGCTTGGAAGTCACTGTCATCGTTCCGATGCTTCACCACCGCAAAGAAAGGATACACCAAGAGGATTGTGAAGACCGCGCATTTTGCACATTGGATCCACACGACTCCACCCATGGCTAAAGATCTCACCCTTCGCACAAGAAAAAGGGTTATTCCGTCTCTTGACTACCCAGTGATTCTATAGAAACCCTGCAGAGCCTTGTGTTCCATTGAACTTTTGTTGCACCTGACCTACCCTTGAGGCTTGAAATCGGCAATGGATCGTGGTCGCCCAACGCCAGGGTCCTTTGTCTACCAGAGAAACATGACTTTGGACTATGTCATCCCCATAGGATTATCCCCAAAAAATGGACCAATATGGTACCAAATCGAACCTTGAGAACCAATCTACCAATCATTTTGACCTGAAAAAGGCTGCCCCAAATTTTGGCGATCAATCATGATCTATCATCCTTTTCCATGTTGATAAATATAGATACTCTCCCAAATTTGAACGAAAACACCCGTTTTGAGAAAATGCTCGGTGGCAGTTTTTGTTAAAACTTCGTATTGTTTTCAATGTTGCACGGGGCTTATGTTAAACCATTTTCAAGGGAAAAACACAAACTGCATTAACATAACCCTACAGAGAGAGCTTCTGTAGGTGCATGCATCCACCGGATTTTGTGTTTGCAACCGCCAGGGGTTATGTTAACGCAAGATATCATTCTTCAGGTGCTCTGCGAGAGGTTATGTTAAGGTAGAAGATCAGGGGGTTGTTGTCATGTCCTTCTAAACTCTGCGTCCAGACTGTGCAAGGCTGACAATATGAGGAGAGCAAGAGGGTTTTCCAGGGTATTTGATGGTCTCCGATATAGGGTATATCCATAACCCAAAAAAACTACACAGAGTCCAAAAAACTACACAGAGTCCAAAATGCATGAGGGCATATTCAGGGGATCTATGTTAATAGCAACATGTGAAACCAAGGGGAAATACAATTATGTAACATACACCTACCGAAAGAAGGCCCAACAAGCTCTGACAACTCTCCGACGACGATCATTAGATTTAGCAGCGCAGTTTTTTTTCGACGGCCTCCCCAAGGGCATTCTCGGTTTTTCTGTTCTGTGCTAATGTAAACTCATTTCAACGCTAGTTTTAAACGCGGTTTTCCATGACACAGTTCAGCATCTTCATCCCTTTGTCTCCCGGAAAGGAAAACCTAAGTTATAAGCATAGACCCTATAGTAGTTCTAGAATCAACTTCAAAACTTGTTGGATGTGAAACAGAAGTGGATTTGGGGAAGCGGGGCGCAAAAACGTATTTGTTTGATTTGGCAGAATATTGCGACTTGTGTCTCTGGCAAACGGTCTTAACATAGCCCTGGTGTGACTCGTCTTCTCCAGATGATGTGAAGCCTTTTGGGTTATGGATTTGTAGCCACCTCCGTTACTGACTAACCGGTAGACCCTGTAGCAGTACTGTGACATTCTGTTTAAAAAAAACATATACAAGAAAATCGGGGTATCCCGCAACAAAAATCAACATACATGTATATATTTTGTGGATAAGTTCCTTTAAAAAAATGTTGATTTGTAATATTTTTTGGACCTGACAAGGGGGGGACCCACGAGACAAAACATATGCCCTTCTGCATTTTGGACTCTGTGTAGCTTTTTGGGTTATGGATAGCTTTTGTTCAGCCATACCCAATATCGGAGACCCTCAAATACCCTGGAAAACCCTCTTGCTCTCCTCATATTGTCAGCCTTGCACAGTCTGGACGCAGAGTTTAGAAGGACATGACAACAACCCCCTGGTCTTCTACCTTAACATAACCTTTCGCAGAGCACCTGAAGAATGATATCTTGCGTTAACATAACCCCGGGCGGTTGCAAACACTAAATCCGGTGGATACACGCCGGTTGTATTGTTTAGCCATACCCAATATCGGAGACCATCAAATACCCTGGAAAACCATGTAGTCCCAGGCACAGCCCAGACACCGGAGACTCGTGTCTCCCATATATTAGTATAGCTTAAGCGGAAACTGCAGAACAAGGGATTCATGCATCGTCTTTATCCCCGGGGCCGTGGGAATATATACCATTAAATACGTTTACTATATATATATATATAATACACTATGATTAACCTATATTAACCATTATTTAACCATTTACCATCTGGTTGGTGGTTTCAACATGTTTCAACCCCTCTGAAAAAATATGAACGTCAGTAATTCCCAATATGATGGGAAAGTCATTCAAAATTCCCATGGGTTCCAGTATGTTCCAGTCACCACCAATCAGATTACTATTGATTAACCACTATTAACCATTATTTAACCATTAAAAATCATCAACGACCCCCCGTTGATCACCACGTATCACCATTACCGCGAACACGCCGCGCTGCCAGAGGAGAAACGCCAAAGGGTCCGGCGCCTCAGCCAGGCGCTTCAGCAAGATGCGCAGCCTCGTAGCCGGTGCCGGTGCTGCCACGGTCTCCTTTAAAGGGCACTGTTAAAGAACCATGAGCCAGAAAAAGTATCAAAATTGGTATTTTTACAGCAGGTGATGGATATTATGGGCTGGGATAAGTGGCAAAACCTAACACGTTGCCATGTTGAGTGGGATATACCAAGGTGGATAAGCATCTTGACATATCTTACCCTCTGGTAAACGTTTACAGTTCACGAAAATGGCCCAGTCGAAATGGTGGATTTACCCATTATTAATAGCATGGTGATTTTCCAGTTCGTTATGTGAGTTATGTGACAATTTCCCAGAGGGTAAATGTTATGAATTTTCATGGTTATCGAATGGTTTCGATGGCGATGGCGTGATTCATGGTGCTTTTTTTCATGTGATTTTCTGGTGATTTCAGCCACCAAAATGATGATGGAATGGAGAGATTAAAGGGATATAGTTTCCACATATCAAACAGAGCTGGGAAATATCCTGATTTTTCGAACGCTACTTGCACATTCCCGATTTGTGGGTTATGAACGGATATGCCATCTATAAATGCATTACAGTATATATATTATGGCTATGAACCTTTTACGATTCGTGGGAAAGTCTTCCAAGTAGCCTATAGATGGTGTTGCCGCAAAAACCATCGAACCAAATGGTGGATGAACATTAATGGAAACAACTAACAACCATTTTTGATTTCCAAAACATGGGGCATTTTCCATTGCGTGTGAATTAGATTCCAACTGGTGGAACAAAAGCACCAATTTCTGATTTATGTCCGTCTAAAAATTACAGAGAATGATGCTCAACAATGGATTTTTGGGTTTTCCCCACAATCAACTGAATTGGACCATGAATGTTGCTCTGTTCTTAAACAACAAGGGAAAACAACAAGGACGGCACTAACAACGATGTGGAAATAGTGGTGATTAAGCAATACAAAGTGCATTGTAGTGGGTATAGTTCTCAAGAGCTCAAGAGTGTGGATATCTGGAAACGAATGGAACACATTAAAAAAATGTGCGTTCGCCAACAAAAACGGATACACAAGGTCGAAGGGTTGAATGGATTTCTCCATCAAAAACACCCTCAATCGAGATCCAAAGAAACAAATCTGGAACCAAACTAGCCACAACCAGCCGCAACTTTGGCCAGGTTTGAAAACTATATCAATTCAGCCACCAAAGAATTGACAATACACAACTTTGGACAGGGCGACATGGGTATGGCGGACAAAAATCGCAACTCAAGTGGATCCAAGATCATGTTGAGATATTTTTAGTATGATTTGAAGCAGCTGACTTTTTTGGGGACAATCATATCGAGCCATAGCTACTTCGATGACCAGCTCAGAATTTCTATCAATTTTGCAAGGTACCCTCTGGTGATTAAACATGGTATTAGAAAATTCCCATGTATAGAGGATTTTCACATTGAAAACAACACATTGAACTTGATGAGGATTTCCTTGCCAGGTTTGAGTACCGGTGGGTAAGTCGCATGCCACTTGGGGTCTCACGTCCGGTGACCACCGGATTTTCAGCAAAGTCGCGCGTTGTTTGGAGCGATGGTGGCTGATGCCTGCAACCGCCACTACAATGTGAGGCCCCCGGCCACGATAAGTTGGTGAACATAACTCCAATAACTATATGGTTTATGGATGTTTATGGTACGTAAATAACTATAGTTACTGGGGCTTTTGTTAACCAACTAACATCACTGGGGGGCCTCACATTGTATGATATGTCAACCATAAACAAATAGCGAAAAATAGTAGCAACTTGGCTCATAACCTGCGGCATGAATAGATGCAATACTAAAATACAACCTATAGTACCTATAGGAGGTTAATCCCTTCCCCTGTTGTTGGTATGGTATAATTCCGTCCATCTACTAAACCACAATTTCCTGTACAATCCCTTCTCTCTTCCCATTTCCAAAGATATCCATACGGAAGGCGATATTATGGACCATTCCATGCACTAATGAATCATCACATTCTCCATGAAAAAATGACCATAATTATATGGTATATCGGTATATTCCTCTATACTGTGGATGGTTGCGAAATCCTGCACCAGGCACGGTAGATGCCAACTATCCCTTGAAAAATCCCATGGAATTTGTTGTTTTTCATAGTTCCCTGCATAGTTAGCCTGCCTGGTGAGTCCTGTCATCCCGCTTCAGGGGGGAACTTCAATAACATCATCATTTGGGGAGCAGGAGCTGCCAAGGTCCTCACTTTTGAAGCTTTAAGGCAGTGAATTTTGTCAATCTCCGCCCATTTGTTGCGTGGTTGCCATGGTTTGCCCCAATCAATAGCCAGGGATCAAGTGAGCAATTTACATCGCTATGGCAAATCAAATCCACCAGGTCAAATCATTTTACGTGGGAAAGCATGGTTTTTTCAATATCTATAATTATGCTAGATTCCCTCAGGGTAATTCCCCATTACATAAAGCAGTCATGATCTGTCATTTGATGTAAATACAGGGGGGCGTCATTAAATACAACTTTTTTGCTTCGATAGACTTAGATAGGCCTAAAAATCGAATTAAATAACCCCCTGAGTTTACCTCTGGCGCCAGTCTTAACTTCTGTTTCCAGCCTCCAAAAGCTTTGAACGCAGTGTCTGCAGGCCCTGCAATCGAATGGCTCTTGGTGATGTCATGACGGCAGTTTTAGTATGTCATGGGACCGGGACTGGATTGGCTTAAGGATGCCCCCCGAGTTTTCAAATATCCCCGTCATGGGGAACCCCAATAGGAATATATAGACATCACCTATAAGCAAACTCAGGAAGAAGCATAACTTTGAAATGGGGTCCCAAAGCAAAGCCATAACTTCGATCAAAAAGCTAATATAGTGCAAAGGACCAAATGTGCAGCCAAATACATACTGTATATGAACGGTTTGAGCACCCGAAGCCCTGCAAAAGAACTGGATATATTCATAGCATCATTTGTCAGAGGGGGGCATCAACAATTGGTGATCTCGAAATAGCAACTTTGTTAGGAAAACCACGCACAACAGAACGATGGAGATCGCGTGTTAGCCAGCCAACCCCCTACAAAAAAAGGATGCATCCTTCCTTTGTAGGTAATCCCAGGAACTCCAACCTCCTTTATTTAACATTTAAGGTAACCTCGCTTGAGTTATTTAAGGAAGGTTAGCTTAATTAAGGAAGATTGTTACTAAGGAACCTTTCTTAATTAAGAAAACCTTCCCTTAAATAGCAGAACCTTTCTTAAATATTACCTTAATTAAAGATGATTTTCTTTATTAAGAAAGGAAAACTCTTAATTAAGGCAATCTCTCTTAAATAAGATAGGTTGATTAGGAGAGGTTTCACTAATTAGGAACGGTTTCACTAAATAACAAAGGTTGGAGGTTCTGGGATGTTCTGTGAACATCCGCTAGTACTCCAAATACAATAGTTTCTAAGAAGGTGTTTGGACCTCGAAAAAACAACCCAAAGTCGAGTCGAAGGTGTTTGGAACAGGATATTTTTTCAGGACATACACGAATCCTACGATGATCGTGCGTTATCCATTGTCATCCTCCACCCCTCTGGTAAACGTTTACAGATTCCTATAGAAATAGATTTATATTCATTTAGTTCGTTGATTTACCATGATTTACCTATAAAAAAATGGCGATTTTCCAGTTATTTACCATGATTCACCTATAAAAAATTGTGATTTTCCAGTTATTTACCATGATTCACCTATAAAAAAAGGTGATTTTCAGTTATTTACCATGATTCACCTATTAATGGCATGGTGCATGGTGATTTTCCATTTATTTACCATGATTTACCTATAAAAAATGGTGATTTTCCAGTTATTTACCATGATTTACCTATAAAAAAATGTGATTTTCCAGTTATTTATTATGATTCACCTATTAAAAACGATGATTTTCCACTTCGCAACGTGTAAACGTCGACCAGACAAAAATCGCCCACCATTTCCCATCGACCTCAGCATCCAATTTCCCTCGAACCAGTGGCTTCAGCCCAGCCAGAATGTGAGAATAGACTTCGATCTCTTCCTGAGAAAACGGTGTGGAGAACATCTATAGGATCTCATCAATCTCATCCATTTTGATAAACAAACTATTGGATAAAGTAAAAATGGATAAACATCTGGATTGTTGATCCCATTTTCATGGTGCCTTTCTTGTGGAATCTCCGTCCTGAACTATGATCCCATCAGGGTCAATCAAAAATCGACGGGACAGAGCATCTGCACCACTCAGTGGAGTACAGCATTCATGGGGATGAAACAGCAAACATAGCAAATTATAGAAGCAACATTATTGATAAGGGTGTTTAACATACCTCATAAGGTAATGTAATATATATTTGTGATATATGTTATATGTTTGTCTCCAAGATATCCAAAGATTTCACGGCTATCTTGGGGTATCCCCTGGTTGGGCGAATCCAAACAAAATCCCCATCATTCCCCGGTGACAGGAACATACGAACAAAGGTGTGTTCTCTTGGAAACAAAGACTATACTGTCCTGCTTTTATGATAGCCAACAGAGGTCAAAAGGATGTTATAAACGATTTATGCGGCCCAAGGCCTTATAAATCAATTTCTCTTTTCTTGGGATGTTACACTTCTGTGGGCATGCTCCGCATAATTTTCCTTCAACCGAACGAACATGTGACATATGGCAATTTAAAGATCATCGCACGTCTGTCAAGACGATGAAAACGTCGTTCAAATTTGCTTTTTCTAACTCTACCACAGCACCCTCAGCAAATTTGGAAGGCAATCCTTTTTAGACCATGGACATGCTCCTAGGAGAGCTTGACTTTTGGATCCCACCCCACCACACCATCAGCAGATGCCACGCATCGCCAAGAGCACGCGGCCGGCCAATCACTCTTTGATTGCATTGGACTTTCCATCCCTCAGCAAGTCCTTGACATTAAGCATGCGCCTGCATGATACTTCTATTAGACTTGTTTCTTTTAGGCTGGAAACTTCCGCGCCTGTACGGCGCGCGTGCCAAATATATAAGGTTGGCCTGGAAACATCACAATATCAGGTTACATTTAAATTTCCATTATTTATTTTCTTATTCTTGAGATATCCACCGTTTTCAAACAATCCCAGAGCGGTTTTTGTTTCCTCCAAAAATGCGAAAGCAGGCTTACACCTAAAGCATTTAACCAGCGGGAACCCTCAAAAGCACCAGCAATAAAACAAAAGAGTAGTCTCAGGACACGAGGAAGATAAAGCACCATTTGTATTGTATTGTTAACCTTTGCAGTTCCTGGACACTGTTTTCTTTTGCAAAACGTTTTGGTATAGCAAGGCAGCACCATGCTCTTCAGGGCAGCCCACATTGACAGGTAAAGGCGCTCAAACACAGTCGACAATGCTTTTCAATGCAAGCATTCCAAAAAGAGCAAGCGTGTCATCATTGGAGCGGCCCATGCCGCGCCCGCTTGTGCCCGTGAGGGGCTCTTCAGCTTCATGCGCAGTGATTGTCGGACGGCAAAATATTGAAAGTTGCAAGTGCATACCGGGGGTTGCTCTCTGGCTTTATATATGTGTAAATATATATATATACATATCTCTTTACTGCTATTTATTTTGTAAATCTCTCTCTTTTCCCAGAATAAATATATATATATATATACATATGTGTGTGTGATATATATATATATGTATATATATATATATATGTGTGTGTAGTTTTTTTTTAATATATATATATATATATATTCATTCTCACGCATCTCAACGTGTCAGGCTTTTAAGTAGGGATACGCTTCCTCAACTCCCATAGCCAATTTGCAAGTTTCGGTGACACGGCGGTCTGAACAACCATCGTCGCAAGTCCACATATACAGGGTCAAACTACATGCTTGATGTAAAAAACTACTAGCAGTAAAGTCGGCGACTGCGGTTTCGCTCCGGTATGCACTGCGACGAGATCAATGCGACAAAAATCATTGATGGAGGAATCGACACAGCGGAGTCAAAAAAAGCCATGCCCCTACTTTGCGGCACAAAACCGATCGTGGCAACATTGAACTGCTGTATAGGTTTCTAAGCGGCCCGGGAAACAAATAGGAAGCTCCATCCGACTGCAATCATGCATGGCTGTTAATTACCACATTCCGGAAAGGTTGCCCCATGGGCTGCTTACACAGACGCACAAAGCGTATATGTATTTTTACACGCAGGACTTTCTGCGCATGTCATTTTTTCGCCAAGCCTTTTCTAGCACTCTTCTCATGTCAGCGGTCAGCTGGTTTTTTTGATCAAGCACGCTTTGCGCAAAAACACATCACACAACCTGGTGATAGCATGGTTTGGCCACAGAGAGAGAGGTATTACCGGAGTTTTTCTCCTACCAATTTTTCCCCGGCGAGGCCCACGCAGGCTTGCCAAACAACCAAACAAGAAACATGTTGCAAGCCCTACTGCCTCTGAGCATAAGCATTCAACTCTTCTCGGAAGCAAGCGTTGTGCTGCAGCTCCCGGCAATAGCGGGCTCGATGACGTTAAAGTTCTTCCCGAATTAGATTTCTATGGCATGACCTTTGCCGCAAGGCTGTCCATGATGCACTTGTGCTATAGAGAGGCGTCATGTCTCCAAGGCTTTCAGTTTTGTATGTGGCGGGCATAAAATTTGCACATGTTTTTGCTGCATTTGGGATAAAAAGAAGGCGCTGCTTATACATACACTCTGCATGCCTGCCACCTAGCCGAAGATTTCCAGCACTGAATGAGTCCAAATACTTTGCGAAACATCGCTGGGATCTGGAAACATGAATTTCACGAAATTTCACGTTAAGTAGCTTGCATAAATGATTTATATCGTCTTTTTCACGAAATTTCACGTTTCGTGTGTTCCGCTTTTTCTTCCTCTTCTCACCTCGGATTTTCTGGACTCAAGAATAATGAGCAATTTCATGAATTTCACGCTTCTTTTTCGTGGATTTCACGCTTCACGTTTCATTGTCTGCTGAATTACATGAGTTTCACGCTTCTTTTTCGTGAATTTCATGAATTTCACGTTTTCTCTGCTGAATTTCATGAATGTCATGAATGTCACGCTTCTTGTTCGTGAATTTCATGAATTTCACGTTTTCTCTGCTGAATTTCATGAATTTCACGCTTCTTCTTCGTGAATTGCATGAAATTCACGTTTTCTCTGCTGAATTTCATGAATTTCACGCTTCTTCTTCGTGAATTGCATGAAATTCACGTTTTCTCCGCTGAATTTCATGAAATTCACGCTGAATTTCATAAGATTCACGTTTTCTTTGCTGAATTTCATGAATTCCACGTTCTCTTTTCGTGATTTCCTTGCTTTTTGGCCAAGTTCTTTCAATTTCATGAAAACTCATTTTTTTCCACGGCTGCGCTTCATGAATTTCATCCGGCCCTGTGAGTTTCATGTTTTTCCCCCTTGGGTTTCGTGACTTTTGCACGTTTCGTCCCTGAAATAGGTGTGATGTTTTCACATGTTTCCTTGGAACTAATTTTTCTATTTATAAATATTACGCATACGCCATGCTGTGACTGACATATGTATATGTATTGGTCTTATATATTTTTACTTATATACGTGTTTGTGCGATTGTGGTTGTGCATGTTCGTGTACATCCATGCACAATAGATACATGTGATATGTGTATATACATTTATATATATTAATCTATATACACCATGTTGCAAAAAATGCCTTATGTACACATGTGTTAAATAGATTTGCCGTGTCTATGCATGGATATGCAAGCTTGAATGTGCGTATATGCTTTTTACATTTACACATGCGTGTATGTCTGCAAACATAAACATATATATTTATATATACATATATATTCAAGATATGTATATACTTGGGGGTGCCGTTTCGATTGCTTGAACCACAAGGCAACCTTTTCCGTGTAGGGGATATATACAAGCTTATGGATTCCTGTGGCTCTAAAACCAATCAGTTAACCCAATTGCACCACCAATTTTCCCGCCCAGCGAAAACCATATCGTCTCTAGGGCATGTTTTGACAACGTTGTCATATCGGAATGCCCATCCTGCAGCATGATCTTGATCCTACTGCATTGCAGGAATTTTGCTCAATGCTGTTTCCGGGCAGGTACACATTGCAACATGCAGGATGTAGAGACATGGGTTTTCAGCGCGAAATGCAGCAATGGTGAAACAAAGGTGCATCACAACACACATCAGCTTTTGCTCAGTGCTACACCACAACAGCCATGCCCACGATCTGAGGTCAATCGCTATTGTAACTTTACAGCGACCAACCCATGCAACCCACAAAAACCGATTTATACGACAAGCATCGATCTGTGTGAGGTGGCTCGAACACTGTGACAATCGCTGTCATCACAATATACGGCGACCAACCAAATTTCTCAGGCTCCTAGGGAGAAAAATGCTTCAGCAGCGACCAACTGGGTGCACCGGCTAGTCGCTGTTCGACAGAAGAGCGAACATTGGGCGCAATTCTGCTTGAACAGCGACCAATGGGTGCACCCGCAAAAATCGATTTATGGCACATAAACCGTTTTTTGCAGTGGTTCGAACAGCGTATGTGACAGTCGCTGTATGAGCTACACAGCGAACCTCCCAAGCTGCGCAAGCCGGTTCTAATATGTGATGGATGTTGAAAACCCATACCTCCTGCACATTGTTACTGCACGGCTGTGTACACTGCGGATTCAAATCATAAGAGCAAAGCTGCGCAAGCCGGTCAAATATGTGATGGATGTTGAAAACCCATACCTCCTGTACATTGTTACTGCACGGCGGTGTACACTGCGGATTCAAATCATAAGAGCAAAGGTGCGCAAGCCAGTTCAATTATGTGATGGATGTTGGAAACCCATGCCTCCTGCACATTGTTTCTTTGCGCACTCCGCATTTCATCATTAAAGCAAAGCCGGTTCCTATGCAAGCCAGTTCCAGAACATCACGAAATGGCTGAGGGGAGGTGAAAGCCTATACCTGCTGCATGTTTATTCAAGATGCATGTACTAAAACCTTGCATGGGCCCTGCAAATCATTGAAGGATTAATCTTGAAAGCAATAGCACCCAAGCCCACTGAAAATGCTCGATTTATAAGGTAGATTGATTTATACAGCTGTTTAACCTGTGTTGGAGTTGAAAAGGTGGTACTGTATATTTGCATCTTTGGACACCACGGTTACTCCACCAACATTCACTACTGGTCTGAATTGGGCACCCTTAGAACATCTTAGAACGCTCGCCAGCGGTAGTGAATTGGGTCCCTTAAGACACGCGCTACCGATAGTGAATTGAGAATCCTTAGAACGCTCGCTACCGGTAGTGAATGGAAACCCTTAGAACGCTCGCTACCGGTCGTGAATTGGGAACTCTTAGAATGCTCGCTACCGATAGTGAATTGGGAACCCTTAGAACGCTCGCTACCGGTAGTGAATTGGGAACCCTTAGAACGCTCGCTAGCGGTAGTGAATTGGGAACTCTTAGAACGCTCGCTAGCGGTAGTGAATTGGGAACCCTTAGAACGCTCGCTACCGGTAGTGAATTGGAAACCCTTAATTGGAAACCCTTAGAACGCTCGCTACAGGTAGTGAATTGGGAACCCTTTTAGAACGCTCGCTACCGGTAGTGAATTGGGAATTTTGTCAATGGGGAGCCCTTAGAACGCTCGCTACCGGTAGTGAATTGGGAATTCTGTCAATGGGGAGCCCTTAGAACGCTCACTACCGGTAGTGAAGTGGGAATTCTGTCATGTGGAGCCCTTAGAACACCCACTACCGGTAGTGATTTGGGGATTCAAAATGTATAAAAAAATGGTGCTATTAAGGTAAATAGTGTTCTAACAGGGAGTGATGGTCGCTCCCTGTTAGAACGCTCGCTACCGGTAGTGAGTGTTCTAAGGGAGGGTTGGGAAACATCGACCCAGGGATGATCTTGTGTTTTCGCCGGGGTCTTAGTGAGAAGAACGCAAGATTGATGGTGCCCCAGCGACGGAAAAACTCCACTAGAACGCTCGCTACCGGTAGTGAGTGTTCTAACAGGGAGTGACGGTCGCTCCCTGTTAGAACGCTCGCTACCGGTAGTGAGTGTTCTAAGGGTGCCACCGGAATCATCGACCCAAGGATCATCTTGTGTTTTCGCTGGGGTTGTACTGAGAAGAACGCAAGATTTAGGGTGGTCCAGCGACTCCAAAACTCCACAAGTGCAGTCGCTACCGGTAGTGAGTGTTCTAACAGGGAGTGACGGTCGCTCCCTGTTAGAACGCTCGATTTAGGGTGGTCCAGCGACGCCAAAACTCCACAAGCGCAGTCGCTACTGGTAGCTTCATCTAGTGTGTGTGTTTTTTCTCACTGGCTGGGTCTCCACAAAAAGCGTTGACAAGGGAGTTCAAAAGACCTTCCAAAGCATTTCAATTTTCAACCATCCCATTCATTTAAACTTTGGGCTCCATTCAACTGGGGCAGTGTCCCACTATCATGCAACGAAAGGTAGTGTAATTTGTCTGCAGCTACTGGGGCTTTGTTTGTCTTCCTTTTTTGACAATCTTCAACTTGTGCTAATTCCATTGGGTGTTAGTTGGGCTTACCTCCGTCTCCAGCAGTATCAACTATTCAACTAGTTTCCTGCAGAATGCTAGAGAGTGTCCTAGGGGTACCCCATTCACCTGTAGTCCTGTAGTGATCGTTTCAAGAATGCCTCGATTCGTACCAGTAGCGAATACTGGTGGGTGACCATTCTGTCCAACGATGCCTATACATTCAGTACCACCTTTTCAACTATCATAAAAACAGGTCAGTATAGGGGTTGGTTTGGTATACCATTGATTATCATTTACTGTACTGATTGTGAAAAATGGTTAAGCGATGTTAAACGGTTGGTGACCCCTCTGTTCATCAACCAAACAATGCGATTTTAGGACATCCATATCTCATTATAATGGTGAAACTCCTCTGTTCAACCAAAAAATTAGTATATACGGTATATGTTAAATAGTTTAAGGACATCTTATACCAAAATTCCCCTGATCAATGCTTACATATGATACGATGATCAGAAATTGCTATTGCGAAGCTAGGCTCAATCTTCCCCTTATCCGCTTTCTGCACATCGTCGATGACGTTGCGCACGCGCGAGGCATAGATCACGTCGGCGATGGTGGAGACTCCCGCGTGGCCTGGTGGAGGTCAAACATCGGAAATCCAGGAGCTGGAAATGGTCATGGGACAATTTACTTGTTAGTGGTATACCTACCCCTCTGAAAAATATGAAAGTCAGTTGGGATTATTATTCCCAATATATGGGAAAATGTTCCAAACGACCAACCAGATTTACCTATTGAAAATGGCCATAGAAATAGTGGATTTACCCATGAATAGCATGGTGATTTTCCATAGTTATGTGACAGTTTACCAGAGAGTAATAGGAAAAGATGGAACATATCGAAACATCACTATCAAAAATGGAGGTTTATAGCCGGATAATAGGAACTTTTTAAGAATATATATATATATATTAAACATATATATATATAAAAGCATATCGGAAAAAATAACTGAACAAAAAACGGTATGTAAATCCTGATCCCAAAAGCAAATCATGTGATTTCCAAGTGGCGGTCTTCATATTTATGTCTCGGCGCTTGATTCTGAACTGTTTGAACTAGAGCTTGTTGCATCTACATCAGAGCTGCTTTCAGCTACATCATATCCGTAGAGAAAGTTTTGTTCAGCAGTTCTTTTTCTGTGGGTTTTTGTGGACCATTGGTCATTCTGACTGAAATCCGGATGTCGTTCAGAGGTCGTTCTGAGGTCGTTTGGGAGCCGAGAAAACTTGACCTTTGAATACACAGTAATTGTACAATCTGAAAATCAGATCCCTGTCTGAATTCCCCGGAACGGGTAGGGTCCTCTATGTTTCTAGTGCACGTGCACTTCTGCTTACTGCCTTGGGTGTGCCCAGGATAAATTCGTTATAAAATGGCCCTGTCTCCAAACATTTTTTGTGCACGTGCATTGGTGGCACAGCATGGGGAAGAGTCTCGGGCTCGTAAAGAAATGGTTCTAGAGGGAACCCGCTCAGGCTACAAGTGGAAGGGTTAAGTCATAGCATTTCGTTTTAAGTCATTGCAGGGGGCTTGTTTTCGCATGGAAACGCTGCGAACGTTTTAAGTCATAGCAGCTCCGTTTAAGTCATAGCATTTTTATGGTTTCACCACGGAAACGCGTACGGAATGCAATGGGTTTTAGGATCCTTGTTGTTCTGTTTAGCATGGCCTGACGGTGAAAGGTATATGTCCAGGGCATGTTTTGCACATATGTTTTGTGTACAAGTTACATTGGAAACGCGCGTTGACGATGGATATGTTGGGTACAGTTCATAAGCGAAAACCCAATGTCACAGACATGATTTGAAGATGTCTAGGAACGGCAATTGCGATGCCAAACACCATGGAAATGCGAGCGCAGGAACCATGGTCAGATTACAGTTGGTTTTTCACGGACAGGGCAAGCAAAAGCAATCAACAAAACATACAAAAAAAAGACCAAACAAAGGCTGGTCACGAACGAGGTCCGAACGAGGTACCAAACGAGGTCAAAAACTACCCGGGACAGACCCTTACCCAAATCCTGGAGCTGGAAGATTTTCGGCTTCAGCAAACAGTTGCAGTGGAATACGCTCATCCAAAAACGAAAAAAACAAATACAGAAGTAACCCAAATGGTGATAAAATGATACCATGAAATATATCAGTTTACATAGTGTATACTACCCCTTCATGTTTGAATCCTGGCCAATGCTGATAGACAAAGAACCTCGAAAAAAAAGCACCGCATGGCACACACTCATCCAAGAGCAAAGACAACATACATGACTAACCCAAAATGTTTAAACGTGATACACCAGAATACATCACTTTACATACTATTTCATGCTATTCTATCATATTTGAACCTTACCAATCCTCACAAACATATATGTTGCGAAAACAAAGCAACGCATGGCAGACACACATCTAAGCATAGAAACAACATGCATAGCTTATCCAATATGTTATATGATGCTCCCCAATATGCCTTTCCGCAAGGCAGGCGCTCATCCGCTACGACTTAACACACGATGCAAGGACTTAACCCTAGTACCTAGTAGGGTCTCGTTGCAGAGATGACAAAAACGGTGCCAGATGCAATTTGCCAGCCCCAAAAAAGCATTTAGGGTGGTTTCGGGTGTAAATATATACTTACGCATTTGGCTGCTGATTTGTTCTAAATGCATCTAGACCTGTAAATATATGTATACTTATATACGTATATTTAGGAGGTTGTTCCAATGTTGTTCTGGATGTCGTTGAGAGGGTCGTTCCCCAACTAAATGGCACATTGCAAAATTACCAAAAACATCAGAAATAGCTGCGGTGGTGCCTGGAATTCTGAAAGAAGAATCGCACAATATTACTGTAAATCACCCCCCCTCTTTTTGGCTCAAATGGAAGTGTATAGCTGGGAACATCATCTTTCTGCAAGAAACTAATTTAAAAAAAACAGCGTACTCCAACAGACCATGTTTTTCACACTAGGCTGAGCTGAAAAAAACAAATGCCAGATCAACCAGGCTAAACCCCAGCCTAAGCGGTCATGCTCTCTTTTTTGATGCATAATACAACGTCCCATGAATTCATGACAGGCTTCTGATGGGTTTTGACCATCTCATTCTGCATTTCACGTAAATCTAAAACACATGTAATCTGGTTTTCTCTGAAATTAGGATCTTGTGGTCCCAATAAAAAATCGCCATCGATTGCCATTCACTAGGGAAAAAAACCACGGCATTTTTCAGGTCACCCCCCAAATGACATCGCGCCAATTCTCTCACCTCTGGTGAGCTTCACATCATGCGCCAAGATCGATGGGTAGATCCCAATTAGCCTGAGCTTTTGCCAATGAGTTTTCCAAGGGTCGCAACTGAGGCCGTAGCCTTGTTGATGGTCCAACTCCAAAAATAGCTGAAATAAGGCTAGTTCCCATAGGATCCATGGTGCTGGTATATATGCTAACATTTGGGGTATATTGATGGTAAATGTTACCATATATAGCAGCACCATGGATCCGATTGGGGATGACAATTGTCGCAATCTAACCAGCATTCCAGTGACGTCGGGAGGTGAGGGGATCAAATTCATCCAGATCATTTAAGACGTTGGTAAACGTTAACGAAAAACGATGGAAAGATCCACCATGCTATTAATAGGTAAACCCAGGTAAACCATCTATAAATGGACCATTTTCCATAGCTATGTTAGTTTTCCATAGCTATCTAAGACTTTCATTTGTCTTGTGCAGGAGAGACCATCTAGCTCATCCAGTCAACTGTCAACCCGTCAAACATGCTAATGATACTAATTTCAGTTGTTGACATCCTTGCTTCCCCCGTTGAGTAGTAAAAAAAACCCGAGCATGCTTTGTGCTCCCCCAATTTCTAGACCTCAATTGAAGGAATCCCAAAATTGTCACTGTTCGATGGCTTCTATTTATATATATATATATACATATGATCATAAATGATGTATATTTATATATATAATACCAATAATAAAGAATATATGTACTGCAAGAGAACATCGCATCCGGTTTTTCAAACGTCAAAGATGAATCGACGTCCACCGAGACACTCCAGAGCCTTCTCCCGAGATGAGATGGCCGCCAAACGGCTCAAGATTTCGGCCACGTCGTCAGATTCCACCAACCTAACTAGATCAACGGCCATTTCAGGAACCTAAATTGGAGGTACTTACCATATATAAGGCCTATTTCTTGCAGGCCTTAATAACTTCAATATTCCCACAATTCATATGGCCCAAAATATGGTACGTTTACGAACCTCCATTTTGGAATCCTGAAACTCCTATTGACTAAACGGGATCCCCGGTGGTGACGCACAGGTCACTTCTTCAAGGGTTCATGGGGACTTGCAGTTGATTTATCGCACAAAATAAGTGTTTGGGATTGGAACAGATTTTTATATAAATATATAAAATCACCAAAATGAAAATCTATAGTTGATTTGATTTATGGAAAGTTGGTTGAAATCACTAGCTTTACTGTGGATTATTATGGATTTCTGATGATATATGTCATATAGTGCACTTGGATCGATAAATTTAATATACTTTCAGCATTTTTTCAGAAAGTCGGGGGGTGGAGTCAGCCAATCCTCTAGATTTAGATGGCTCTAAATTGGAGTACCAAGGCATCCAAGGCCAGGTACAAAGCCAACGACTTTGCGTGAGCGTCCCAGAGCTGTCTCCAATGACGTTGAAGCCGGGTGAAGCTTAAGCAACGACAATCGCAATTCGTTGCATCCATAAATAAGTACTATATATATATATACATACATACATACATACAGATATATCATACATCATATGTTATATAAAATATTTTACATCTAATTGAATATTATATATATATATATATACCATTATATATATTAATATATATATATATACATATAAATTCAAATATATATATAAATATTAATATGTATATATATATATATTATATATAAATATTCAAATATATATATATATGTATATATATATATATTCGCACTTGGATATATATATATATATATATACATATAATTCTATATATATATATATTAAATATATTTAAATATAATATACTATATACATAATATATTATATATCATTTATTGATATTACATGCAAATATATTTAAAAATAATTATATTATTTTATATTAAATACATACTGGTATATATATATATATATATTACATTCATATATATATATAAATATGACGAGATTAGATTAGATTAAATTATACTATATTATGTAATATCATGTTATTATTCAACATATATATATATATTATCATATTTTTATGATGATATATATATATATATATTATTATTATTATGCAAATGATATTATAGATTACATATATATATATATTATGATTTTTTGTCTTATATACATATTTTTTAGCCCATTATGTCTCCATCAAACATCTCTAATCGATCCCTCTAATGGTTGTAATACTATCACCCGTTCATATTAAAAACCCACGTAAACCATGGTCAAAAAAAGTAGGGGATGAGAACACATCTTATAATTGTTTGGGACCATACAATGTGTGTGTTTCAATAACATGAACGGGGGCTAGGGTTAAATTTTATAAAATCGGATATGATCCCAAACAGCAACTTTCCTGGAGAACATGATGATAATCCATCAAAATATGTTGAGACAGACCCATATATCGAGGTTTTTCGCTCTTCAAATCCACCCCAAAAAAATCAAAACACCAAGAAACGAGACAAACAACATGGGCCACATCTCGGCTTGGATTGGCCTCCCATTCCTCCCCAAAGCAAAAACCATCATCCTGGTACAGAATGGTGCCCCACAGTTACAAGTTGCTTTATAACCCCAATGTAAATAGAATTCTTTGCGTATCGTGCGCTACAGTTCTTATACTTAGAAAACCGAACCCCATTAACATCGACTAACTATACTTATATCTACCATAAACCATAGAATTCAGCCACTTATAAGGCAACTTAGCTAACGACCTGGGGCCCCATCCCAGTCTCATTGCCAGGTGGCAAGGGGGTCACATCAGTCTCCACGATCTCCAGCGCCTGGTGTTCAGAGACACCCAACGTCTGTACCAAGCGCGGCCAGCGACGTTGCAGATCCACGCCTTGTGTCTCTGGAGATAGGCGCGAATCTCGGGACTTATCTGGATATAAATGAGGTTACCCTCTGGTAAACGTTTACATAACTATGGAAAATCAGCATTTGTAATGGGAAAACTCACTATAAATGGGCCATTTTCCATAGCTATGTTAGTTTACCAAAGGGTATATATAACGATTTACATGCATTCGAGCTGATTCTTACTGATATGAATCTATATCGATTTTGAAGGCCAGTTGATATGGATTTACCATATTTATATACCATCAAACATATGGATTTACATGGGTTTATACTCAATTTATGATGGCCAAGTTAGCTTATTGCTGTTTGCTTTTTTGCCACCCCCTGAACAAACATGGAAAGTCAATTGGGATTGGGATCATCATCATCCAGTCAACATTTTAAAAAGACAAATAGTTCAAACCACCATCAAGGTATATTATTTGATGTATAATTGATGGCATTTAAGTGCTTACTGGAACACACATATATATATATACACATATATTCATAATAGTGAATATCAATGGGATTTTTTTCCCCCAAGATTGGGAACATGAACAAAAAAGTGGTCACCAATGTCATCAGTAGTTATGCGGGTTCTGGGAGATCATCGGGGATCATCGGGGATCATCGGGTTCTGGGACTGCTGAATCACCATTATCATAGATTCAATAGCTCCAGACATAGTGGTGAATGATGGTAAATGAATGTACATAGGAGTAAACATCACGCAGGCGTCTCTTCCTTTTGGGTGTCCAAAAAACGGTGGAAAACCTATGGATATGGCAGGGAAAACAAACCTGGCTGGTGGTTTCAACCCCTCTCAAAAATCGTCAGTTGGGATGATGACATTCCCAATATATGGAAAAATACAATTCATGTTCCAAATCACCAACCAGATGTAAATGTGTTGCTTAGGTGGGCAATGGAGTTAACTAGCTAGATCACTCGCTAGGAACCAGAAACACAAGGGCTGGATATCGGGTTATAACTCACGTACCATCCAGCTAACGCACTCCCTTGCCTATCGGCGTACAGCTGGGAATATGGATGGCACTATCCATAAATAACTCCTCTTTTTTGGAAATGGAATATAATGGGAATATCATGAGAATGTCATGAACACATGCTGGATACGGCCCAGTATAATACCGTATGAATGAATTTAAATGCATTGAAGATGATGGGAATAGTTTAGGCCCCCCAAGCTGGTACTGGCGAGTATAAAAAAGTGAATGTATAGTATTGAATAGGCGAAGAATGGCGAAAACAACGTCAGTATGCCGAAGAGAGAGAGAGAGATATATATATATATATACACACCATGTTGACTGATCTTGTTTCGGTCCCCGAAGTCGGAATTAGTTGACAAGTAGGCACCGCAATTGTCGAACACAATGAACCTGTACTGAATGATGTGTCAAAAATCATATCAATCTTGGAAATGTTTAGACTCTGCAAAGCCACTGCTCAGGCTTTAGAACCTCAATTTCTCTAATAATGGATGCTCGCAATTGAGGAAAATTCATCATTTTCAGACCCATGGCATCTGTAGCAGGGCCCAATATAGACTTTATTGGGTGACTTTCTGATCGGAGTCGTCTATATACAGTGATGCACCGCAAAACTAGGGGCTTGATGGCGAAGCTCTTCTTCCAAGCGCTATATCAGTCCTATCTACTTCATCACGTCCCCGTGCCAATGACCACAAAACACAAACTAGGACCATGTATCATGTCCTGCTGCTACACTCCATTCAGATACAGCCAAGAACCCACCAACAAGCAACAATTGTAAATTTAAATCTATAGAAAATCCAAAGATACAAATACCATGTACTGTACCACTATTCAAGATTATTTTAGTAGGTTCCAATTATCTAACCGTCCTATCTTTTTGAAATTGGGAGCTGCAATATAATATATAATATATAATATATAATATATAATATATAATATATAGTAAACAACTGCAACTACTTGTCAAACCCTACAATATAACTTGGTTGCAAGGCACGTTTGAAGGGCATGGCCAAAAAGGCCTCCCGCGGTCTGAGAAGATACCCTCTGGTCATTCAAATTTCAAAAAAATGATCATTCAAAAACCTAAGTTCTTTTATGGGAACATATGGGTCTGTCTGAAATGAATTGTCGAAGGAAGTTTAGAAGTCAAACTTCCGACCATATGGACAGATGAAAAGCAGAGCAGGGCAGAGGCAGAGAGAAGAGAAAGATCAGAAGAGAGAAGAGAAGAAAGAAGATGCAGATGCGCGAAAAGGTAGGAAAGTCGCGATTCACTGTGTTTTTCCAATGATTTGTGGCTCCGGAGGGTCGAAAAGTAAGCTCGCTAAAGCGGCGGGTGCGGAGCCAGCTGGCCAGATGAAAGATGAAAAAGCGCACGCCGTTGTGGCGAGAAGCACATTTCCAAGTCAAAATGCACAAAGCACACCATTCTCGGACCACTTTTGGAAGTTGAGATGTCGAAAAAGTGCACGCCGTTGTGGCGCGAAGCACATTTCCAAGTCAAAATGTACAAAACACACCAGGTCCGGACCACTTTTGGCAGTTGAGATGTCGAAAAAGTGCACGCCGTTGTGGCGCGAAGCACATTTCCAAGTCAAAATGCACAAAACACACCATTGTCGGACCACTTTTGGCAGTTGAGATGTCGAAAAAGTGCACGCCGTTGTGGTGCGAAGCACATTTCCAAGTCAAAATCTATAAAACACTAGGGGTTCGGACCACTTTTGGAAGTTGAGATGTCGAAAAAGTGCACGCCGTTGTGGCGCGAAGCACATTTCCAAGTCAAAATGTTCAAAACACTAGGGGTTTGGTCCACTTTTGGAGGTTCAGATGTCGCTTCGCTTCACTACACTACACTACATTACACTACACTCCACTGCACCGCACTACACTACACTACATTAAACAAACTGCGACTACAACTACACAACTACACTCCACTAAACTAAATCACACTACACTACACTACATTACACTACACTACACTCCACTACACTTCACTTCACTACACTATACTACGCTACACTCCGCTGCACTACAACTACAACTACACAACTACAATCCACTACAATACACTCCACTACACTAAATTACACTACACTACACTCCACTACACTACGCTACATTACACTACACTACCTTCCACTACACTTCACTACATTACACCACACTACACTCCACTACACTACAACTACAACTACGAATACACAACTACACTCCACTACACTAAATTACACTACACTACACTACATTGCACTACACTACACTACATTCCACTACACTCCACCGCACTACACTACATTACACTACACTACATTACACTGAATGACACTGCACCACAGATAGACGGGTCGACAGATAGACAGATAGATACATAGATAGATAGATAGATAGATAGATAGATAGGTAGATAAACAGATAGATAGATGGATAGATGGATAGATGGATAGATGGATAGATGGATAGATAGATAGATGGTTAGATGGATAGATAGATTGATGGATAGATAGAAAGAAAGAAAGATTGATAGATAGGTAATTAGATGAAAGAGAGAGAGATATATAGATAGATCGATCGATCCATCGATAGATAGATAGATAGATACATAGAGAAGATAGGTTGGTAGGTGGGTAGATAGTCAGAGAAAGAGAGAGAGAAAGAGAGGAGACCTCAAGCACCTTTTGGTCCATCAGTGGATTCGCTCTGCCATCCCTGATTCACAAGAACCAATCTCTCCTATAGGCTTCCTATTTTTGAAACTTCCGCCACCGCCTTGTGCGGTACTACTGGTATATTATACCACCAAATTGCCATCAGATAAAGGGGAACATGAGGTTCTTGATCATGTTTCCCCCCGAAATGACGATTTACCATCAAAGTTGTGGGTACCCTATGTTCAAACAAACCTGTATGTGATAATCATGGACACAAATGGGTGATTGTCCGCAGCCATGTTAAATTACTGGAGGTAAGACGAGCAGCATCGGAAGATGCAAAAATCAAATTGTTGTTTTGTCTCGGAAAGCTTCAATATCTTCATTCCTACAATGTTAGAAGACTTCAATTTGCATTGAAATTATTTTATTGATGATAGTTCAATGAAGGTTGTTCTACATAGTCAACACATCTGACTAAAACAAGTGATTCGCATTGAAGTTAAACGGGTATGAATTGAACAAAAATTCAGTGGCTCTGGGTGAGTTCATGTTTTCTATTCACAAGTCAACTTACTTCAAATGCAAGTTCCGCTTTCCAACGAATCACATCCAGAAGTGGCCACGGCCTCATCTCGAATTGCCTGACAGCTGGGGACTGGGTAACCTTATTGTTGGGTTTAACACATTAATGCGGGTCAAAGAATAATAAGGCCATCCCAGACATGGGTGGTTTATGGCGTTGTTTTACCCACATGACTGGGTTAGTGGTGAGTCCCTTTCCCCGGTTGAAGTTCTAGAAGTAACAATACGCGCAACCGCGCAACCCCCCCAGTTCGCCCACACAACTTCTTAGGGATTTTAAGGAATATAAATTCCGACCCCCGTTAAACTTTACATTCAATTGGGAAAATCAACAAGGGTATTAGGAATATAAATTCCCACCCCAGCTGAACTTTAAGTTTCGATTGGGAAGATCAACACGGGCATTAGGAATATAAATTCCCACCCCCGTTGAACTTTACATTCAATTGGGAAGATCAACAAGGGCATTAGGAATATAAATTCCCACCCCCGTTAAACTTTACATTCAATTGGGAAGATCAACAAGGGAATTAGGAATATAAATTCCCACCCCCGTTGAACTTTACATTCATTTGGGAAGATCAACAAGGGTATTAGGAATATAAATTCCCAGCCCTGTTAAACTTCTACATGGATTGAAGATCTTCAACAAGGGATTAATTCTCCCACCCCCGCTAAACTTCTACATTCATTAAAGATCTTCAATAAGGGATTAATTATCCCACCCCGTTAAACTTCTACATTCATTGATGATGGTGATGATCCTGATGATGATGATGTTGATGATGATGATGATGATGTTGTTGTTGTAACATTCAACGCACAGGTAGCTAAGCCGCGCGTTGCAAGATGAAAGCCATGATCATGGACATGTGCATTTTGTCCCACAGAACGCAATGTTGTTTGATATTCGGACATGTCGTCGGCGTCGGCGCGGGCAAACTGAGCGGTTTGCCCGCAACAATACATGCCACAACCATGCAAGATCAAAGAAACCAGCAATGGGATGCGATTGAAACGCCACCAACGAAACTCGGACACTTGTGGACTCTTGAGACATCAGGAAAAAATGATCCGACATACCCTCTGGTAAATCAAACATGGCTATTTTAAACAAAGGCTTCTAGCTGGGAAAAGAACATCTATCAATGAGTATGTTCCAGCAAACCACATTTGATCACCAATCATATCCGATTACAATCCCATCAAGTATTCCCATTTTGCCACCTGTGAATGATGGTGAAATATCCCCGTTCCAATCATGGTTGAATTCCCAGTAAATCCCATTAAATCACCATTAAAGAAATCCCAATCAAATCCCCAGTAAATCCCCACACATCCCCATCAATCTCCACAAATCGCCATAAATCACCATTCATTCGCCACTAAATCTTTTTTATATCCATGATATCCCCATCATATCCCCATTTTAAATTCTTAATCATACTTAATCCCCAAAACATCAGACTTAAACCCCATTAATTCCCATTCAATCCCCCAAAAAATCACATTAATTCCCATTAAATTCAACTGAATCCACCCAAAAAAACCATTAATTCCACCCATGAAATCAGCAACACAGAAGCACCTCCGGGTGCTGCTCCTGCACCAACTGCCACAGCCGCTCCTCGCGATGAAAATGTTGATGGTTTAATGAGGATTTATATCTGTATCTATATCTCTATATATATATATTATATATATATGTATGATATGTATATTTAAATATATATATATATACATATAAATATACGAATATAAATTTATATATATATATAAATTTATTTATTTATTTATTTATGTAGTGTATATATATATATATATATTCTAGGATTTAATATTAGGGCCAAGTTGGGGATAGCAGCAACCATTGGGGCTTCCACATTTATCTCCTGGCAATCCCACCATTATTCGGAATACTTGTCTTGTTGGTGGTTGACCTACCCCTCTGAAAAAAATATGAGTTCGTCAGTTGGGACGATGAAATTCCCAATGTATGGAAAAAAAATATTCCAAACCACCAACCAGATATCCTTAATATACTGGATTTAGATTATTATCACATAGTTGATGATATTACTAAGGATACATGATGGTTAATAAGATTTATCCTAGGGTAAATTAACAGTTGGACCCTGAAAATGACTATTTTTTTAATTCAAACTAATCTTCCAACCCCTATCTGGCAGGGTCTATGTTAATTTACTGGAGGGTATATCCTTAATAAATCCTGCGTTGATTATACTGGATTTATCAATCTATCCTTACGTAGGATTAGAGTTACGGTTTAGGGTTAAGGTTTGGTTATACCATGTAAATATCCTTAATGGGATATATTACGGGAATATTTTGATGGAATTTTATTGTAATATTGATGTACATTTAATGGGATAATCATGAGATTTTCATAAGATAATACTGGGATATTCATGTGATATTGATGGGATATTCATATCCCAAAATAATGGTTTGAAAAAATGTGGTTTCACCAGCAAACAGCAACGGTTGAAGGACTAAACTGACTTGGCGGAGTGATGAGACCAGTCCATGGATCGGTTTGGGTTGATCGTACTCCGGCTTGAAAGTTAATGACATATATCCTGTCAAGATTGTATCCAATATTTATGTATGTGTATATATACATTCTATCCATATGTATATAAATACATATATTTATGTATGCAGCTATTGAGTTAGTGCTGGACAAGTCACCAATTTTCAAGGTTTAATCAGCATCTGAAAGCCCTTCTTCTCTTCAGGTCTCATCTGCGATGGCGTCCTGAAGTTCTTCATCAGGAGATGCCTGGCTGTGACGAAGTCGACTGGTGCGTTTGAAGAATACCTCGCGTGGTTAATAACTATGATAACCTACTTGGATGTGCATCCAACTTAGGGTAAAAGGTTCATAAACCACATATAACCCCTATCTTATCCCATATATAAGTGGGGATATTCCATGTATCTACAATATTTGTATATATATATAGTTGGGGCTATAATCCATTTATAGTGATTTAATCTGAAAATTTCCGTTATATTGGGATAATCCTCCAAATCCGAACCATTATTTCAGTGAGGCCGTGTAATAATAGGTCGTTATAATCTACCCAAATGATAGCGTGTCATCAAATATGGTTAGCTGGGAAAACCCCGATCAAAATGGATGTTGTAGCTGGCAAAATCAAAAAATGGTGGATTTTCCATTGCTATGGTTGAATACTGGAGGGTACACATACACATACACATACACGTAGAACTGCATGACTTGGGTTTGTCTCACTACGTACCATTTAAATTGGCCTATACAAATGCTTATCAGCCACATACCGAAACTTCAGCTTTCTGAGCGTCTAGCCTATAGGTACCCAGTATAAACCCATACCATCCCGGTATGCTAGTGAGACAGGGGTTCTTTTTTGGGGGTTCTACGATGGAGTAGCGTTACAGCCCCCAAGTCAATAGTAGATGCAATAGTACATATATAGCAATTACATATTAAACCATACATATTAAACATTATTAAACCAAGGTTTCTTGAAATTGTTTAGTTTCAAGTGCTCCCGGTATTCCCTATTTTTTCAACAATTCTCAGATCCGAATCTCACCATTTTCAGGCCCCAAAAACATGGTAAGTTGGTTATCCCACTAACATATCCCACTTGAGCCATGAACAAATGCCCCTATCCCATCCCATTCCACTGGCGATAGGTATCCCGATTATGAATTATCATATATTTCCGTAATCTCTAAACAATTGTGCTATAATGGATTATTGAATAGTTTATCCCTAATTGTTGGGATCATATGTGCTATCTACAGGTATGATAAAAACATGTTCCAAATATTACTGTAGATATTACTATTGGGATCCCCAAAATTGGTTCACCAGATTATGCCACACACATATACCACTTAAATCCTTCACTTATAGATGACAAAACTGAGGGATTTACCTCAAAATATTCAAAATGGTGATTTTCTACAGCTATTCAGAAACCATATATCCCACAAGTAAGTTGGCTATCCCAACAAAAATACATATCAGAATCTCCAATTTCGCTCATTGATTGTGTTTATCCAACTGTTAGATATCCCCGTTATGGATCCTCATAACCTCAATCATGTTCCAGTATGGAGGTTTCCTAAAATGGGGGGGTGCTCCGAAATCATCTAAGTCAACCTTTGTGGTATTGAAACCCACGGTGACTTGGGGGCCCCCCATGACTTAAGATCCATCCCACCCGGCCCTGCCTGCTCTACGGCCTCCGCGTCAGCCTTCGCCTTCGCCGCCTTCGCTTCAGCCTCGGCTTCTTGGGCCTTTCGACACTCTATGAAGCTCCGGATGGCCACCATGTTCTCAGCCTGCGGCGTGCTGGGATACCACGGTCAAGTCATTGATCAATCATGATTAATCAAATGTCTGTATATACATATATATATATATAAAATCGTCGGAGGGAGTTCAGAAGTCAAACTTCCGACTTATGGACAGATGCAGCAACAGTGAGCAATCGGAGAAGACAAAGAGCGAGAAGAGAAAGAGTCAGTATAGAAAGAAGATCGAGGCAAGCGAAAAGGTAGAAAAGTCGCGAAAGACTGTATTTTTCCAATGCTTTGAATTTGTGGCTCCGCAGGATCGAAAAGTACGCTCGCGAAAGCGGCGGGTGCGGAGCCATCTGGTCGGATGAGAGATATCAAAAATTGCCCGCCGCTGTGGCGCGAAGCAAATTTTGAAATCAAAATGCACAAAACACCTCAGGTTTCAAAGCGTTTTTGGACGTTGTGATGTCGAAAAAGTGCATGCGAGTGCGGCGCTCTGAAGTACATGCCGAAGCCAAATCGTACAAAACACCTCATGGTCGGATCACTTTTGGAAGCTGTTCAAAGTGCAAACGACCGAGGCGCGAAGCAGATTTGCAAGTCAAAATGGTAAAAACACACTATTCTGGAATACTTTTGGAAGTTGAGCTGTTGAAAAAGTGCACGCAGTTGTGGCGCGAAGCACATTTCAAACCAAAAAAAAGGTAAACCATACCACATGTTCGGACCACTTTTGGACGTTGAATCGTTATAGTCAAAAGTGAGAAAACCATGGCAGGCACAAATTTTGGAGGAAGTCTCTCGTCAAGTTCAAACATTGAGGAAGTCTCGCAGACTTGCTTCGTTTTTGGTGTTGTCAAGCTACAAACTTGAGAAAGTCTAGAAGAATGGCTTCGTTTTGATGTTGTCAAGTTCAGAATTGGGGAAGTGTCTCTGGATTGGTCTTTTTTAGCTAGATGCGTGGATAGATAAACGGGTAGATAGAGGAAAAGAGACAGAGATAGAGAGAGATGGACATGGATATCGAGATAGAGAGAGAGAGAGAGAGGGAGACATATATATATATAATACATATTATATAGTATATACATATTATATATATACACATATATATATAATGGTGGGATAGGTCGGTAGAAAGACAGACAGACAATGACAGACAGACAGATAGGTCGAGAGATTCAGAGAGATGGAGAGACAGAGAAAGAAAGACACACAGAGATTTTGGGAGAAATTAACAGAGAGACGCACACATGGATAGAAAAAGAGATAGATAGTCAGAGAGACAGATAGAGACATAGACAGACAAACAGATAGATAGATCGATAGACCGATAGCTGCCACGCTAGATACAGTAGATAGATGGATAGACAGATAGGCAGATAGACAGATAGACAGCTAGATAGATCGATAAATAGATAGGTAGGTAGATAGATAGATAGATAGATATATATATATATATGGATGGATGAATAGATAGATAGGGAAAGAGGAAGACACAGAGAGAAGGAATCAGAGAGAAAGAGATTAAGATAGACCGAGAGAGTCCGAGATACAGAGTCAGCTAGATAGACAAACAGATAGACAAGCAAACGGATAGATAAAAAGAGAGAGAGAGAGGGAAGGAAAGAACGAGAGGGACAGACAGACAGAGAGAGAGAGACTCAACCACCTTTTTGTCCATCAGTTCGTTCTGCCATCCATGCGTCACAACAACTCACCTGGGTACTACCGGTATAGTTGTACGCACGGTTCTTCATTGTGATCCTTTTAAGGTTGCGAAGGGACCCTTGTTGGGGTTAAGTGACATCGAGTTGGTGGTTGAAAGATCACTTTGAAGAACCAGCTAGTCTATTAGTCTTAAGCACATCTGCGGGTCAGGATGAGAGGATCCCAAGTTTGACCCATATCCATCCTTTCTAGCCATTGCTTAAACTTAAACTTGTTTGTTGCGCTTTGCACTACTTCCAAGAGAATTGACTAGGATTCTGGACTTCGGGAACTCAGTCAGGATAGTTCATGACAAGCTCCAAAACCTCATCGAAAGAAGGGCACGAAATTGATCCTTTCCACGGTATTAAGCACTCCCATTATGTCCCCCTAATAAGTACCGATAAGGACGAGCAAGGGGACACAAATGTGGATTCTTGATAATAGGGAGAAGGAGTTCTTCAGATTATAGCAAGATCATAAACACCTACTATATACCACACTTTGATTGGCTATGGAGTTGGCTGGTTAGTGTTTTCAGTGGTGAGTAAGTTTTAAGCCGTTAGATACTGAAATATGTTTAGGGTAAACTAGCTAGCTACAGCAACTCTTTGTGTATGTATATATATATATTGCGATCATATTTCACAAGGTGCTTCCCCCATAGTTAGCCAAGTTGCTTTATATCACTCTAGTATAGCTAGGGCTTTTGGCTATGGCAAATATATCGAATATAATTATCTACAGTTAATAGGAGCAAACACCAACATATAAACCACGCAGAAAAAACAGCACCTCGTAGGCAAAGCTGGGCAAAATCGAAATTCATCCTTAAATTCAGCTATAGTTGAGCTCCACAACTTATAGGAACTAATGGTTTCGCCCATATGATCACAGACACTCACTGGTTGGTGGTTTGAACCCCTGTGAAACATATGAGTTCGTCAGTTGGGATTATTATATTCTCCATATATGGACAAATAAAATTCATGTTCCAAACCACCAACCAGTTATGTAATAGGCAAATCATCAAACTAAATGCGCCAGCCATGTCCCTGATAGATCTGAGAGATCAGGACGAGGACGTTCCCTCCCATGATATTCTGGTGCATCCTCATGAACCATCATGAACTGTAGTTTTGTTTATGTATATATATATATATATATGGTTAAATATTCATCATATACATATACATATATATATATATCATGGTTCCAAACCACCAATCATATTACTATTGATTAACCACTATTATCCATTATTTAACCATTATTTAACCAATATTATAATAATTCATAGCAACCAATAGGAACTCCATCGCCACAGTTCAAAACCGCGCACCAT